AGGGGTTGACCTGATAACACAGCTACCTAACTCCCAAGGCTACGATGCTGTCTTGGTTTGCACAGACCTGTATGGAAAACAAATTCACGCTATTCCTTGCACCAGCTCCATCACAGCCGAAGGCGTTGCCGATATTTACTACCGAGAGATCTTCCGTCTCCATGGTCTTCCTCTTCACTTTAAATCCGACCGCGGACCCCAGTTTGCAGCTAAACTCATGCGATCCCTTCTTGCTAGGCTAGGAATTAAATCAGATCTAACCTCCGGATACCGTCCTCAGTCTAATGGCCAAACCGAACGAGCAAATCAGGAAGTAGAGAAATACATCCGCCTCTATGTAGGACGACGACAAGACGACTGGGCAGAGCACCTTCCCATGGCGGAGTTTGTGATTAACTCACGGACTCATTCTGCGCTAGGCATGTCCCCGTTCGAGCTAACCTACGGCTATCTTCCCCTGTTCAATATCCCAGTGGGCCAACGCAGCGGTATTCCAGCTGTGGATGACCGTATACGGATTCTCCGAGAAGCGCGACAAGATGCCGGAGCTGCCTTACACCTAGGAAAGAAACAACAGAAGGAGGGATACGAACGCGGGAAGCGGAAAGCTCATCAATTTAAAGTTGGAGACCTAGTCTGGCTCAGTGCAGAGGACATCAACCTTCAGCTTTCCAGTGAAAAATTAGGAGATCGACAGCTTGGCCCTTATCGCATTCTGGAGAAAATTGGCCCTTTAGACTACCGCCTTGACCTTCCCCTATCCCTAGATCGCCTCCATCCCGTCTTCCATGTTGATAAACTATACCCCTGGAAAGGTAACTCCATTAATGGCGAAATACCAACACCACCAGAGCCGGTATACTTAGAGGATGAAGACGAACCGGAATACGAAGTAGAGGAGATCTTAGACAGCCGGGTTCGATGGAAGAAGTTGGAATATTTGGTTAAGTGGAAAGGTTACGACGCAGGGCACAACTCTTGGGAACCCGCAGCCAACCTCAGTCGAGCACCAAAAATTGTTCGGGCCTTTCATAAAAAACACCCAACAGCGGCAAAGCCTTGACCATCGAGGGCAATGGTCATAAGGAGGGGGGTAATGTCATAAAGTACGCAGCCCCTATCATTTTCCTTTTCTCACCGTCTCGACGCCTTTACTTGTACGATACATCATCCCATCACTGTCAAACCCCCATCGATTACTGATCCATCGATTACTGATCCACCTGACCCATCTTCTCCTTCTACTGGCTTCCGCCACCTTCCTTGTTCCTAAACTGTACAGTATTACATCGTTGTTTCTCGCAGACCGGATTATGTATATATAGCCAACCCTCCACAGCCTGGTCCCTTATCTTGACCTCTCTGTCATTATCTGGGACCAGGTATGTGCTTACTTATTATTACCTATGACTACGATACTCAATATATCTCTGTCATTATCTGGGACCAGCTTGCCGCCGTTCTGCTTAGTCGCTCCGCCTTGTTGCCTTGTACAGTCGCTCCGCCTCGCCGTTCTGCTTAGTCGCTCCGCTTTCCCGCTCCGTTAGTCACTCCGCCTCTGCCGCTTCGTGACACCGTCCTGGCCGAGTAAACACCCAAGCTGATGCTCTTTCTCGTATGGCAGTACATCATGTATCAGATAGCGATGACAATCAGCAACAGACCGTCCTTAAACCTGGCCACTTCACCAAAATCGCCGCTTCAATCCTACGGAACCCCCTAGAGGATCGTATTCGGAAAGCCTCAGAACGGGAAGCACAAGTACTGGAAGGTCTGGAAACAGTCAAGAAGCACGGGTTACAACGCTTGGCCAATGGGATAGCTGAATGGGAGGAGGACAACGGGTTGGTCTATTACCGGGGCCGGGTATATGTACCAGCAGACAACAATCTACGCACCGAGGTACTCCGTCAATGCCATGATCATCCAACTGCTGGACATCCCGGATTACATGGGACACTTGACCTGGTCAGCACCCACTTCTGGTGGCCGACACTGCGTTCTTTTGTGGAGAAATACGTTGAGGGATGCGAGATTTGCGCCCGCAAGAAGATCCAACGGCACCCACGAGCTGTGACTCAACCACTGGATGTACCATCCGGCCTATGGGAAGAGGTAGGGGTCGACCTGATAACACAATTGCCTAACTCCCAGGGATACGACGCAGTCTTGGTCTGTACAGACCTGTATGGAAAACAAATCCATGCTATTCCTTGCACCAGCTCCATTACAGCCGAAGGTGTTGCCGATATCTATTACCGAGAAATCTTCCGTCTCCATGGTCTTCCCCTCCACTTCAAATCCGACCGCGGACCTCAGTTCGCAGCTAAACTCATGCGATCCCTCCTCGCTAGACTGGGCATTAAATCAGATCTAACCTCCGGATATCGCCCTCAGTCCAATGGCCAAACGGAACACGCAAATCAGGAAGTGGAAAAATACATCCGCCTCTATGTGGGACGACGACAAGATGACTGGGCAGAACACCTCCCCATGGCGGAGTTTGTGATTAACTCGCGGACTCACTCGGCCCTAGGCATGTCCCCATTCGAGTTAACCTACGGATACCTTCCCCTGTTCAATATCCCGGTTGGTCAACGCAGCGGCATTCCAGCGGTGGATGACCGCATACGGATTCTCCGAGAAGCGCGACAGGATGCTGGAGCTGCCTTACATCTAGGAAAGAAGCAACAAAAGGAGGGATACGAACGTGGGAAGCGAAAAGCGCATCAATTCAAAGTTGGGGACCTAGTTTGGCTAAGTGCGGAGGACATTAACCTGCAGCTATCCAGTGAAAAACTAGGAGACCGACAGCTAGGACCTTACCGTATTCTGGAGAAAGTCGGACCTCTGGATTACCGCCTTGACCTTCCCTTGTCATTAGACCGCCTTCATCCTGTCTTTCATGTCGACAAACTATATCCATGGAAAGGTAACCCCATCAATGGCGAAATACCAACACCACCAGAGCCGGTGTACTTAGAAGATGAAGATGAACCGGAATATGAAGTGGAGGAGATCTTGGACAGTCGGGTACGATGGAAGAAGTTGGAATATCTAGTAAAATGGAAAGGTTACGATGCAGGACACAACTCTTGGGAACCCGCACCCAACCTCAGCCGGGCACCAAAAATTGTTCGGGCCTTTCACAAAAAACATCCGACAGCGGCAAAACCTTGACCATCGAGGGCAATGGTCATAAGGAGGGGGGTAATGTCATAAAGTACGCAGCCCCTATCATTTTCCCTTTCTCACTGTCTCGACGCCTTTACTTGTACAATACATCATCCCATCGCTGTCAATCTCCATCGATTACTGATCTATCTATTACTGATCCACCTGACCCATCTTCTCTTTCTATTGGCTTCCGCCTCCTTCCTTGCCCCTGAACTGTACAGTATTACATCGTTGTTTCTCGCAGACTAGATTATGTATATATAGCCAACCCTCCACAGCCTGGTCCCTTATCTTGACCTCTCTGTCATTATCTGGGACCAGGTATGTGCTTACTTATTATTACCTATGACTACGATACTCAATATATCTCTGTCATTATCTGGGACCAGTTCGCCTCCGCTCCGCTTAGTCGCTCCGCCTCACTGACCTGCTTAGTCGCTCCGCCTCACTGCCTGGCTTAGTCACCCCGCTTCCTGCTCCGCTAGTCACTCCGCCTCTGCCGCTTCGTGACAAAACCTTGCATTATGATCTCACCACTCAAAGCCCTCACGGTCATGATCCCCACTCCCCATTCTCCTCGCATACCTCGGCTGTCGAGAGATCAGGTGGTGCCTGAATGACGGCGTATGCTTTACCCCTCGTAGCTGTATTGTTCTCTCTTTGTCCTGTACTTGTGTAACGAATTGGACAGTTCTGGTACCCAGGATCTCGAACCTCCCTGTGTCGCCTGATATTGTGCTACTCCCTGCCTGTCCGTGTACCTCGGTATACTTGGTGAAGTCAGACTGTTGGACCCAACAATGTTCGGATGCTCCCGAGTCAAGAAACATTTTTATTCTCGGTGTTGGATTTGCATACAGGGGTGTGTTACCGTGGCAGGCTATACACTCCGGCCTGGGTACAGTTTTGTAGTCAAGTACATTACTATCTACGTCCCGATCCCTTTTCTCCCACTGACGCCCCTCCCTTAGAATGGGATCAACCTGCCTGGTTGTAGGGTCAGTGGTTGATTCGGGTGGCTGGACGGATTCAAACGTACTTGGAGATCATCCTCAAATCTGCAAAAGAAAGAATTTCCCCGCAGAGTTTATTTTGAAAAACCTCATGTTATATATATGGCAATTATTTTGCAATTATTTTGAATAATCAGACCAATATTTTGTTGTGATTATTCTCAAAAATTGCTGCATATGAGCCTTATATTCTGCTAGATATAATTATGGACCTATTCAAAATATTCTCTATGCACATATTTGGAGAATTTTGTACAAAAGCCCACAATAATCTCAGCCTTTTCGGGGTGAGAAAATGGGCTCATCCCCGCAGTGTGATGATGTTCGAGTCGACAATATCAGAGGATTTGGGTGCACGTGAGCATTTTGAAATGGTTGTACGTCTGCCTTTGCTATACTCCAGACATTACCATTAATTATAACTATGCCCTGTCGATACCGGTACATAGCTATTCGGTTGCTCAAATTGACACCTATAGCCCCTCGTCACCAATATCCGACCACAGAATTGTACAGACCTGAGGGGATGCTCCACTGTCCGAAGTGTGTACATCGGTTTACGACAAACGCCCACCACTTTCTGGCATTCGCACCTTCGCTAAACTCTCAGCAAACTCCCTGAAGCGATTCGCAAGTTCGAATATACTCAACATCTCCCAAGCACACTCTTCTCTCCCAGACTCTGGTATCCAGAGAACTATTTGCAGCGCACTCTTCGCCAACTCGCCGAATGGGGACTGCTGTCGACGTACAAGATGTAATCTTGCGATATTCTCCCGGGTTTAGAATGTACCCAAGTCTCAGGGACTGAGTCCAATCTTATCGACATAAGAGCCGATGATGAAGCTTTGCCATGCTTCAAACGCGTTACACGGTCCATAACCGCTCTATAATCGCCTGCAGGTCGTTTTACGCACACACCCTCTACCCTCTTCGCCACCTTACTCCGAATCAAATATAGCCGTCGCTCCACGTTCTTTCTTCAAAATCCTTGACTATGCTGCGTAGGCTCTACTTGCTTCATGAACAACCATTACAACCACCTCCGCTACCACAACTGCTACCGTTACCGTGACAGTTCCCGCAAGCTTGAAGAAAATCAGACCTTAACGAGTCGTTCATACGTGCGCTGTGGCCTACGCGACAACGATGATGCCGGACGCTGTATTACCTATTGTTACACCACATATCTTGACCTTGGAGAAGACCATTTCGATCCCGACCTCGGCTACTTCCACTGCCGTCGTTGTAGTTGGGTTGTTGGCTTATCAACATTACACCGACCGCCACATCGACCGCCATTCCTACCAGAACTGTTTCGACCTCCAGCGTTCCGATCTTCATCACACAACCCAGCATTCCAACTCAAACGATAAACATCGTTGTATCCATTCCGAGGCCACCTTGAACACTCTACAAAGGCTATGTCGAAGAACGTTCCTCGGCGGAGTTGATACACGTGTACATACACATGTACAACGAGTGGTGATTGGGTTGATTGGGTTTACGCGTTCTGTCTGCGACGCAATTATTCGCGTTGGGTTAGGTGGAGGTGTATGGCTAGGATTGAATCGTTTAAACTACGTCAAACCTGTGTACAACGCCTGCCTCGGTTTTCAAAACGTCCTCAAAACGCTATTAAGCCTATGCAATCAACTACAGCGCCTCTTCCGACCATGGCTCTCACGTTTACCTTCATGGTTGTCCCTCCTCCTTCCGCGGTGTCGCTCACCCCCTTCCTATACCACCTACCCTACACCAGAGGCCGAACAACAGTATTGGGATTCTGCCAGGGTATTCAGGAGGAAATTACAGAGTTGGGATGCGAGGTTTTGCGGGGGCTACTCGAATTCTTCATCCTGCAGATTTAATAATGTGGACGAATACGAAGAACGTTTTCCGGTCATATCCTCTTATCAACCCGCGCTTCCCCCTCTTCAAGCTCTGCAGACTTCGAGGTCTCGTGACGCCAGAACGAATACGCGTTATTGTGGGAGTACTGGGAAGAACGAGGGGCGGGAGGAGAAGGTGGACTATCATCTACCAACAAAAACATTCCGGAAATGGTACAGGATGACATATCCTGATAAGGTACCTAATTCTATCTTCTACATTGGAGAAATTACTAATATACCTTTTCCTTTACCTTCTTACCTTCCCTCCCTTCCTGATCTTTCTCCTCTACCCATACACAATTCACACATTTGCACGCACTCGCCAGCCTCCACTAACGCCCCTTAAAGCATCCCAGCTCAAACGATCTTATAACTCAGATGAGAAAAGAGAGATAGATCGTATATCGAGGCTTGTGACGAATCGGAGGGCATTCTGTGAGAATCGAAAGGAGAAGGTGTTTTCAGTGGGTCGGGTGACTCATGGAGAGCATTCTAAAGCCAGTATCTCGATTCGCCGCAATGACGACGATTCACTCTATTCACAAAGCCGCAAGCGAGAGCGAGAGCGGACACATAGTAAGCAATGGCGTTTTCGGAATATGTGGAATACATACCAAAAGGAACATTCATTTGATTCGACATTGGGGGCCGTTGTTGAGGTTGTTTTTGATAGATAAAATCCGTCTACGATCTCGCACCGACTGGGAGTCTTCTATACGGGAATAGCACAAACAGAGATCAACGTTCTTGTCCTAGAATTTTTTCGGGAACAAATATCACGATAACATTTTCAATATTTTCCGTCAATTTCTACGTTAAAAAATAATCACTCACTTCAAAGATGTCGCCTAGAGTTTGCGATTTTTTACTCATGTTTGTACAATTATATATATGAGTCACTCAGCTTTTTGGGTGCTCTTGGATAGCTTTAGTTTTTGGGACCATCGCCCTTCATTATTTTCCACCCTGTTCATTAAATCTTTCTATCCCTCAGCTCTCCCTCACTCTATCCGCTACTCCCAACAAACCAAATGCTATATTCATCAGTCAAAACGTTGTCGTTCTCTTTATTCAAAAAGGAATTACTCACCTAGAACTCTTTGAGGGTCTTAAGAGATGTTCATTTCCTGTACATTTTTTTCTAAGTTTTTATTTTTAGTGGTGTTTGTTATGATATAGTCTATCAGATGTACTCAGCTTGTTTTGTGACATTTTATTGCTTCAGCTTTAGGGACCATCGCCCTTCAGCTCATCCAGTCGGCACCCGGATCTGATGTGGTGTGTTCAACAACTGGGAATTGGGGGAGGGGATGAAGGGCCATTCATTGACAAAGCACTTCATTGGAAAGTACACCCCCAATACTATCCGAAGTGCAATGGCTAGCCCAACACCGGCACAGCTACCTAATGCCAGCAGATTATGCAGGCAGGCCCATCATTTCCGCGCAGTGGGATAGCAACTCGCCTTTCGCCGTGGCTATAGGATATAGTTTCATTTCAGTAATGGTTATGACAATAATGTTTGAGTCCAGTCTTCAGAGCATATTCCACGACATTGAAACAAAATGTCTAGATGTGAGACACTTCGAGCATCAAGCTTCATTATGTACCCAAGGTGTATATCATAGTCGATGAATCTATTCTGTTGTTACCTCGGTTGTTTGATGAATGCTTTTCCTAGAGTTGCCTAGTGTTGCGTTGACGCCTAAAGCTAGCGCCGTATTGACTTCGTCCTATGGTCCCCTCTTGATCCTCAGCAATATGTTCCACTTCTCGGCGAAATGAAAGGGCGGCGAAATCAAGATAGCGATGACAATTGGGGCACCCGAGCTCATGCAAAAGGATATCGGACCTCGCCGCAATGGGATTGAATGTTACTGGGGGGATCAAGAGAGGATGCTCGCCCAGGCTCGCCCGTAATTCACATGTAGCGTAAAGTCTCTGTCTTTCTCTATCACATCTCCTCGGACCTCAACCCAAGTTCCTTGTTGGATTGGCCGGAGGGCGTCTAAGTAGAAAGGCTCAGGCAAGAACGATGTCTACATACAGGCGCTTAACGAAATCGTGCTCTATTGGAATGTGTTCCTACCTGTTCTTAGTTCTCTAGAAAGTCGTTCATAATCCTTCAAACCTCAAGTCCGATGAACTTCTCTGCCAACACCGTCATTCTTCTGTTTCCTGTTTAGCATACACCGGAGGCATGATATGCATGATGAGGTGGATACCTTAATGTCCAACGATGCCATTGTCTAAACTTGTAAAGAAAACTGATTAACTAAAGAATTTATGCAGCCTCCATTATTTTCATTACAAACATAGTTAAAACTGTGTATATCGAGCCTCTAGAACGTACATACATATAAAACAACGATACAAAATATTATTTGATAGCGAAATAACTTGTTGGCACAATTTTCTCATGTCTCCCGTCCAGAAAACTTTATTATTTCGGTTCATTCAAGAATCAAAGATAGCACCGTAGGCAGGGATACCTCGACTCTCCATTCCGTAGACAACCTTTCGGGTGAGTTTTGGGTTCGAGATAATGAAAACCGCCTCTGCGCCAGACTCCGCTACAAGTTTGTATGTGACTGCAACCATATCCGGACGTCCCTGCTTCCTTGTATCCCAAATCCATGCATCAGGATCTGCCTTTTTGACCATATCAATGACCTTCGAGCCATAAGTCGTTTCGGGTGCGGGGGTGCTCCAGAAGATGCGTCGTGGAGTAAAGTCGGCATAGAATAGGGAGAGTGGTGGGCCGATTCCTGAGCCGGTAGCTACGACAACAATCTTTCTGAAGAGTTTCGATGTGTATAGTAGTCCATGGAGTGGGTATCCACGAACCCAAAGTTTCTTGGGAGGATTTTGAATAACATCATTGGTCCAGTCACCGGCGTTCGAGACTACTATTGAGAATCCATCTGGTTTCCCATTCGCATCCTCGTCTGGGATCGTAGCAAACGCATGCCATTCAAGAAGTGGTTTACTGGAGACTTTCAATCCATAGAAGGGCTTCATGTTCCGGTATTTGAAATGTAACCGGGTGACATGGTTTGAAAGGGTTTCGGGATAGACATCGACCCGGCGTAGCCGTGCCCAGGAAAGAGCTGTGCAGCTTGATGAGACGATGAAAGTCCAAAAGCCAGAAGTACTGATAAGGTAACGTCCGAGGGACGGAGGATTCGATTGAAGCAGTCTGTATTGATTCCCAGCGAAGCACTGATGCATCCAAAAAGTGCATACAGCTACCCAGCCAGAGTATCGATGGACCGCTTCGAAATAGTCGTGGTACTTCCTTCGGAACGAAGGATGAGCTCCCCCGAGGATGAAGCAGAACATCAAAACCAGAATATATGATGTGACCATGTTGGCGAGGGACCATTTGGTGGGATTCGCAATATGATCCTTGGTGGTTAGAGCAGTGTACATAATGTACCACACAACTGCTGCTACACCCGCACCACTATGTGCACCGCCATAATGGAATACCTTAGCCAAACGCCTTCGAAGCCACAGCGGCGCGCTCAGTGGAATGATATCCGTTGCGAGCTCGTAGATTAAGTTCACAAAATTCTCTTGGCGAAAAAGAAGAGTGACCATCAGGTTCGCGGAGGCTGCGCTTCCTACGCTTTCTGCAGATGGTGCACCTCGGTTCCGGGCGACGAAAACGACGAAGGCTAACAAGTTCGCTGCGAAGATCACAGTGAAGGTCTTGCGGTAGTATGAGAAGGCGACGTCTAGAAACGGACAATCGGAGTAATTAATAGGTGTTATGCAAATTCGAAAAAATGAGAAGAACGCACGATATAGCCACCTTGTGAAACTGGAGATTCCGAGCTTCGCAGGAAGGGTGAGTTCCACTTGTTCAAGGTCGATGGGATCCTCTAAAACCTTCTTCTCGACATCGAAAGAGTGAACAGAGCTAGGAGGGGAAGTCGAAGATGGAGTGACATCGTTGCTATCGTTGCTGAGTTCAGGGAGCGTCACAACCTCGAGCCCTTCGGAATATTTCTCGTTCTCCTTGTGGACAGACATGTCGAAGGCAGATAAAGATTGAGACTGTGTGGTGCTTGTCCCGTTTCAACTCGACAAGAGCCACTTTTAAAGCACAGCGTAAGAGGCCTGTTTGAATTTTGGATTTTTAACCCGATAGCAACCCGATAGTCATTTTTGGATTAGCCAAGCCATCCTTGCCTTCCAAGTGATTGTCATTCAATGGTTCCCATTCTGAACGGAAAGCATTATACAAACTCGATACTTGTGCGTATGGGAACAAATTTAAGGGTGAATTTGTCCCCCCGAATGCCTCTACAGCCATATGGAGGCTGAATAGACGGGACAGGTACCAGGCGCACTTCTTTTGTCCTATCAATCCAATCAATTCATTCTGAGTAGTTGTAGTGTATATGTCTTGCATAGTACCTCGGATGATATAGGTGTATTTCGGATACGATCGGAACCTGAATGAAAAACACCAGAATAACCTTGAACCCAACTAAGTCGGAATAAACACTGTAGATCCTGAGGGGCGTGCCTGCTATCTGCCAAGTCTTCTGTCGCGTCCAGTCTAGACGAGTCTCTCTTCGAGATCCTGGTATACCGGAGGAGTCGCAGGACGCTGTGCAACCGAGAGTACTTGTCATTTTTTACTTACCGCCACAGTTCGTGCGATGCAGTGTGGACCTGCAGGCTCTCCCTCCGACTCTATCTGACCTACAGGGTAGACTCCATCGAAGTCATCACACGCGAGCCCGGTCTGCACCTGGCAAGACCTGGCTCCGGCACCGGTACAATGGGCATCATTATCCCGAACAGGCACGAAAACGGACTCGAAACTATTTGAAGGTGATCCAAAGTTAACCTTAGCCTGATTGCAGTGCGCCATGTAACAAAATGCAACAGTTCGACCCTCCTTCCGTCTAACTTGAGGGGTGAGGTGAGGAAGGTCAAGGAGAGCTTGAGCTGCATTGTTTGCAATAAGTCGGGGATAGTAGGAATCAACAATACAATCTTACCGGTTTCTGTGTTTGATTTTGAATCTGTTTCCTGAGGGATTTCCTTTTTCTTTGACACGTAGACCTAGAACTTGCTGTCCCGGTCCTGCGTCGATCAAGCTGTGAACCATCGAAGTGAAGACGAATATGGACTCTAGTACCTTAATTAGAACGGGTAGATATGCCCACATCTGCCTGAATCGAGCTTAAACTGAGGAAGACCTCGTTGTCAAATAGTATTGATTCTAGGCCAACGATATGATCCATGCCCAGACGCAGACGGAAACTCCCATTGGAGTGATCCTATTTTTGTGGTAAATGGCGCGAGCTCGGTATGATATATCTATATGGCTATTCAGGCTTTGAAGAAGAGGTTTCTCTAGCTTTCTTCACGGAAAGACTCGGGACAGTTGGCCTTGACTCTGTTCTTTATTTTGAGGTTTGGCTCTTGGCGGTAAATCCTGGACACGAATGTTCCGATAGTAATGTTGACATTGGCGGCAGCTGTCAGATATGTATAGCACCTGTCTGATCTTCTTCTCAAGTCGAAGCAGTTATTGAGGTTGTCCTTTTTGTGGCGGAGATTGTGCGGAGGTGGCACATGGAGGCCTGAGTCAAAAAACATTCTGGCGCTTATTATAGCTTATTATGCTGCAATCTTCGATGTTTTATTTGATTCCTATCTTTTCGCCCAACTTCAATATTTTCCGCCTGGATGGAGCTGATGCGCCTACGGGCCAATTGCTTCAGATTTGCTTCAGTGCATGCATCCTCCAGAAACCTCCAGAAATATCAGGAAGTCCAAGTTAGTCCAAGTTTGCAGAGGTTTTCAGAAAGGATCTGTTAAAACGTCCGTACGCGTTTCGCAAGAAGACATGCGCTCAGAAAGCGCACTTGCGATGGCCAGGTATACATATAACCCCGACTGGTTAGCTAGGCATGAGTTAGGTAGTAAATTCCTTGCTATTTTCATTCTTCCTCTCCGACTTGCCAACAAAACGGAGTCCGACCTTGACTCAGTCGTATTGAAGGCATCACACTCCGGTGGTATGTGTTTGAACCGCTCCCGAATATTGAAGCTCTAATCAGTTTGTTATGGGGCGACAACCTACTTATACATAATATAAAATGCAAGCAATCGCAGAACAAGATAACAGAACTTGGATGGGAAGGGGAATCGTTGGGAATGACACATTTTGGCAAATGATTTATGGCAAAGGGAGCTAGAGGGAGGTTCAAGGAAGGGAAAGCGACCCTAAAAGACCGCAATGGAACAGGAGTATAGAAAGATGGAGGAGGAATCTCAATGTACAATCGATGAAAGTCCGTATGTCGATTTCACATTCGGGGGCAGCTCCAAATTAAACTGTCGTGATGGGGACTTGTGGTATTGTAACAAATTTTAGTATGCATGCACATGCAGATCCCTTTCTTACGGTGACCCAGGCCATGACCTTGAACCCAGTGAGATTCTAGCTGGTTGTCGCCGACTCCGACACTTCATGGTTCATTGATCCATGATTATTGAGACTTGCTGGAAGCTGGAGTTAGGCCCGAGACTGTCACTGTGTCAGGCCGGCGCTACTTGTCCTGTTTATCTGGCGCTTATGCAATCGTAATAGCTCTCGCGAGGACTGCGATGTACAACAGCAACCTGAGTACAACTTTGTGGGCACAGACAAGCTATAGTATCTCCGTATGTCACTCAATGCTTCCACAGCCAGCGCAATTCCCTCATATCTTAACAGAATTTCTCCCTTGCGACTCGTCCAGGTTCGTCTGACGTTATATGAATACCCCGCCTTCCATATTTCTTTCTAAATCACAACAGAGAAATGTCCTCCATGCTTTAACTGTATGCTTCCCGCCTTTACCTGTGGTCAGTACGGAGACTGTGATCCCTACGATGGGCAATGTAAATGTCCGTCTGGTTGGAGTGGAATTGATTGCTTGACGCCGCGTAAGTTGTCTCTCTCAGTCGGTTTTATATCTCACTCACTTTGACTTTGTGTGTTTTTATTTGCTTAGAATGTGGCTCGCTCGCTGATGACCAAAGAATTCCGAGGGAAGACGGGCAGAAGTGTGATTGCAAAGATGGATGGGGAGGTATCAACTGCAATGGTTCGTTGTATCCATTACATTCCAAAGTTGTAATACTGACTTTCTATTGGGGAACAGTCTGCAAGACCGACCAAGCGTGCAGAGGATTTCCATTATTTGGCATACCAGACTCAGAGCAGGATGGTTCGGAAGCGCAGAACATGACTTGCTATACAGGAGGAGAGACCGTCTTTCAGAATCATCAAATGTGTGATGTAACCAGTGCGCTTCCCGTTTTCTCCTTCAATCCGCATTGCTTATCATCATATTTATCATGACTAGACCGCAAAATCCTGGACCAAGTTGGCGACAACCGTCCAGTCCAAGTTACATTCAGCTGTGACAAAAATGAGGCTACATGTTCCTTCCAATTCTGGGTAGACGAAATTGAGTCATTTTACTGCGGCTTGGACGAATGCTCATCGGAAATTACACCCGGATACGATTTCAATACTACCTCCTACAAATGCGACAAACTCCAATGCAAATGTGTACCAGGGAGGTTTATTTGTGGTCAAGATGGCTCTGTTGATATCAGCGACTTTCTCACTGAAGAAATCAAGGGTCCCGCGTCGTTTTCGTGTACATCTGGTGGAGATATTGGCTCTGGACCCAGTTTTGGAGGAGATACATCCAATAACTGCAAATTCTCCGAAGCAGCGATGAACCAGCTCATCAACGACGTCTTCGGTGACCCATACATCACGTTAACTTGTGACGGTGGCGAATGTTTACACTACTCTCAAGTACCCGGATACGTTCGTCCTCCGAAACCCGACAACACTAGATGGGTCGCTCTGAACGCTCTCGGTGCATGTCTTTTTGTAGTCTTAGTCGCGCTGCTGTTATGGTATGTCGGGCGAACCGGATCTGGTGGGGACTATGGCTTCCTAAAGAAGGGCTCTGGGGGTGGAATTAGACTACCAGAATCCGAAGAAGACTCCGAGAACGAATCCGCCAAGCTTATGGCGGAACACGTTCCTGCGTCGATGCATTTCGATGACCTCTCTTATGTACTCAACTCCAAGACTATCCTCTCTGGCATCTCGGGAGCTGTCAAACCTGGACAAGTCATGGCTATCATGGGTGCCTCCGGCGCTGGGAAATCTACCTTATTAGACATCCTCGCACGGAAGAGCAAACGCGGGACAGTTGGCGGAGAGATCCTTATCAATGGGAGAATTGTTGGTGATGCGGAGTTCCGCGCAGTTACTGGTTATGTCGATCAAGAAGATACGCTTATGAGCACGTTAACGGTGTACGAGACGGTGTTGTACAGTGCTCTTCTGCGATTACCAAGAGAAATGAGCGAGGATGCGAAGAAGTTTAGGACTTTGGAGACATTAAATGAGCTAGGGATTTTAGGTATCAAAGACATGCGTATAGGGTCCTCTGGACACCGTTCAATATCAGGAGGCGAAAAACGTCGAGTGTCCATCGCCTGCGAACTTGTCACTTCTCCGTCTATCCTATTCCTCGATGAACCAACAAGTGGACTCGACGCGTTCAATGCATTCAACGTCATTGATTCTCTCGTTTCATTGGCGAGGAATTATCATAGGACCGTGATTTTCACGATACATCAGCCGAGGTCGAATATCGTTGCGTTGTTTGATCAATTGGTAGTACTGGCGATGGGGAGAGTGGTTTATTCTGGAGGCGTCGGGAGGTGTGGGGACTATTTCGATAGTATCGGAAGGCCATGTCCGGCTGGGTTTAACATTGCAGATTATCTGAGTGGGTTTAATTTCGTTTTCGCCAGGATAATAGACTCACTTCCATCATATAGTTGACCTTACCGTTCAATCCAACGTTGAATCTAGATCTACCAGTCCAACACTTGAGAACTCTTCATCCGAAGAGGAGGATATCTCCAATGAACCTAACGGAGAACAAAATGTGCTCTTAGGAACAAATACTTCAAGGGATGATAGTACCGAGCTTCAACTGCAAACACGCGCCCACCCTCGACCAAGCTCTGTCATTTCCAATTCATCTGTATCCGGAGCTTACAACAGTATCAAACGCAAAACATCACAACTTTTCGAGGTCGTCTCTTATGGAAACGCATCGTCTTCAAGTAGTCAAAGCCAACCCCACAACCATCACGGTCAAATGGCAGCGAAATTGAGATATCTGGTTGAAGAATACAAGAAGAGCGATGTTGCGAAAGAGATCAAGGAGGATAGGGAGAGTGTGAGGAGTAGCGCGGAGAATTCGAATGGGGATAATGCCAATAGCGCATCTAACGCGTACGAGGCCCACTTATCCCAGCTCCCTGATGTCGCAACAGAGACGACCCTCTTGAGGGGACGAAAGAGGGCTAGCTGGGGAACACAGTTTAGGATATTGAGTGGAAGGGCGTTCAAGAATCTGTATAGAGATCCGGCGCTGTTGATGGCGCATTATCTATCGGCGGTGGTGTTGGCATGTGAGTCTTGTTATGCAAATCCTTGTCGTTCTCTTCTGTGCTTCCTCCTGCACTCCACCTCCTGCGCTCTTCCTGCGTTCCTTCTGCACTCTTGCTCTTCCTTCCTCCTTTCTCTGTGTTTCCATCTCACTCATAAATCCTCTTCCTATACCTTCTCTAGTATTCTGCGGGGTATTCTACCATAACATTACGTAAGTATCAAGACCGACTTGAGCGTCCTCGTCTAAAATTTCCCTTTTCCTTTCTCTTTGTTTCCCCATTTCCCCATCTTCGGGAACAGTAATGACATCGCAGGCTTCCAAAACCGACTAGGTTTCTTCTTCTTTACGCTAGCTCTATTCGGATTCTCCTGTTTATCAAGTCTTGGGCTTTTTGCCAATGAACGGATATTGTTTATGCGGGAACGGTGCGTCGAAAGTTGTTTTTCATTGTATTGCTCAACCCAGGTTGTCGAACGAAAACGCGTAGATCGAATGGGTATTATTCGTCGTTTACGTACTTTTCGTCCAAGGTAAGCCCATTATCCATGTCATTCCAGTCAATGTCTACCGCCTCTTACTTACCATCTCCAACTCCCAGATCCTATTCGATATCCTCCCTCTCCGACTCGTTCCCCCACTTATGTTCGGTGGAATCGTCTACGGCTTAATCGGCCTCGTCCCAACTGTCGGAACATTCTGGAAATTCATCCTCGCGTTGGTTCTGTTCAATCTCACTACCGCAAGTGTCGTACTATGGCTTTCGATCGCATTCGAGAGTGTTAGTGTGGCAAGTTTGGTGGGGACGTTGATCATGTTGTATAAGTGAGTACTTTAGTCAAATTTTCAAATTTCTTGTTGACATCCGACTTCATCTATTCAGTTTGCTCTTCACTGGTCTGCTAATCAATCGAGAGACGGTGACCAAGGCATTACAGTTTCTGCATACAATATCGTTCTTCCATGCTGCATTTGAGGCGCTTGCTGTTAATGAATTGAGGTATCTATCTCTGAAGGAACACAAGGTCAGTCAATCGGTTGCTTATTCTTCAAGCAACCCCAAGAATACAACTTGTTAATACCTATTGATCTCATTCAATAGTATGGTGTCGAGCTGGACGTCCCCGCGGCAACTATCCTTTCTACGTTTGGCTTGAGAGCTCAGGCAAGTTCGAGAAATGCTTTTCCCTCAATCCTCTCATACGTGTTTGCTCACACACGATATTCTTTTGCTTCCCTTTCACATGTATACAGTCATTTTGGTGGCCCAACATCGCATTACTAGGAATCTTCTTCGGAGTGTTCACCGTTGGAAGCTTTTTGACTTTGCACTTTTTCGTAAAAGAGAAGCGGTAGAAAAGAGTTGTTTATTTCTCTTGAATCGCATGGATCGAAGGAGGGGAGTAGATAGGCACGTTTTGAGAAGATGAGAATACTATTCACGAGTCAATTTTGTAGAATAACTGTGTTAGCCTACCCAGTCTCAGATATCGACATCCATACTGTATACATAATGTATTTCGTCTACATTCATTGGGGCACTTCTGTATGAGTTCTGTAGAGGATCAACGGAACAAGAGGAGAACTGTTGACTGGTGTGACAAGAGGAAGTGGGAGAAGACGAGGATGCGAACGGGGAGGAGCGCCATGTTGAAAACTTGATCATGATGTATTCCTCTTGAGCCTTTGGATGTACGGCGAAGCGTCCGGCGTCTTGTAGAGCGAGCTTTTCGATCTCGTCACGTGCCTTCTGGTAAACATTTTTTGTCAAGCACTCTTTTCACCTTTTATTTCCTGGGAGTGGGAAGAACGGAGTTCTGAGCGGTTCTCGCAGGAGACTTTCCATAAATATTGGACGCGTATAATTTTCAAGGTAGCGGGCCGTGCCGCTGGTCGACGCTGTTTGGACATGTCTGTTGCATGCCGCAGATATGCACTTCCACTAAAGATTGTGATTTGAGGAGCCAGCGGAAGTTTACCGTAATCAAAGCCTTCGGAGACACTTCCCTCGAAGGGAAACGGGGCGGGAGAGGCTGGAGAAAGGAGGGAAGCTGTGAAGGTCAGGGAGAAGAGAGGGGCAAACATAACCGCGAGTCTGTGTTTCAAGCTGTTCCATGATCCGTTCAATTTCCCACGTTGCGGACTGATGCGCTGCTTGTAACTGGCATTGTAAGTACAGATTTTTGTCTCCGACGGGTGGAAGCTCAAAATTCTTAGGTCCTCTTCATTAGTCTTCATTCTTCATTCTTCTTCGCGATTGAGTCACCGTGAAAGTTTCTTGCTGGTCAAGACAACTTCATTTATCTTTATCTATCTGTCGTCCTCCGATTTCAAAGATTCATTCGAATTTGGTCTACCCCGTACACCTTCAGTTGCGACAGTCCTCCAGAACAACCCTTGAGCTTGACCTCTCGCCCTCTTTTACGCATATACGTTCTCGCCTTTACTGCCGTAATGCGCTTCGACGTCCCATATTTGGTCTTTGGAATGCTGGCTTGTATCAGCCTACATGTACAAGCTGCGCCGTTCAATGTGAGTGGACAGAACGACTCATTTCAAGATTAAAATGAGACTAACTTGCTCGATTTCTTAATTCAGGGAGTCGCTGATGATGGTCTTGGTCTCGTAGTCCGTGATTCTTTGACAAACCCTAAGACTCATCTGCGAGTGCGAGCCTCGAGCAGCGAGCAGTCTAAGAGTGGTTCAGGGAACTACGTTAGTCTATCGGGATATGGTGATTACTGGAACGTAGTGATGGGCTCCGGGCAGAAGAATGTGATATTGGTCAGATTCGATGGCCTGCATGGAACGGCATTGACTCGTCAAGGGAATCTGTTTGCCCATCTGGACCCGACGTTTGAACCGATCGAGGACCGAGTGCACAAAGCGATCAAGCACCTTGACCCTCTCAATTCTCGCCAGGTAGTCTTTACGAACCAGTACAAATTCCACGGTGCTTGGAGAAGCCTAAACCCAAAGAAAATTGTATCCGACATAACAGGCGCCGGAATTCAATACTTAGAGCATGGGGGTAGAATTTCCATTGACCAAGAAGGCGTACCAACCATAACCGTTAAAATTCAAGCTGATGGAAAGGTCGTGCCACGCAACATAAGAGTCATGGATGGAAAGGTCGTCTGTTAGTTGTTCTTTACATCACCTTCAACCATTCTTATTCACATCCATTATCTTAGCTTAATGCATGGTGAAGACTGCTCTGTGATTTGGGGTTGGTTACAATCTGTTTCTGCTCAGAATATTTATTCTTTCCGAACCTGTGGTATTTGTCTGAAACAAATTCAATCACTGAGGGCAATGGCAAGTACTCAAGTACGTACGATAAATGTCTACTATTCGACTTAAATCGAGGTTTGTTCGGAGCCCTGATACTTGAGGCAAAGGCGAACAAACACTTTCCTTCAAAAACGTGAAAAGGAACCAGCGTGATCCAAAACCGAGGATCAAATCATTCGACCCGTTGGATATGAACCTGAATTAATACCAGTCCATGTTATATGGATGCGATAACCAACTACGCCATCGACCATTGAAATGTCAGCCGATCCACTAAGATAAAATGAAGAAGGAACAACGAAGACGAGTATGAAGAGCCCTCGAGTTGCGTCTGCCCCAGATTTGGTAGCCTCATCCTCAGGAAGCCTAATAGCGTCGTCACATAAGAATCAGGCAAGTAGAGGGCTTCAAAGGCGTCTGCGAAATCAAAGTTGGTGTTACAGTAGCTCTATCTCAAGCCTTAGGTCGCTAAAGTTTCGCCCTCATAGTAAATGGGCGGTTCCCGGTCTACAAAATCCAATAAAACAGATCGATTAACGAATTGTGTACTAGATTTTATAGAAGTGAACGATGGCAAAGCAAAGGATATAAAATAGCAGACTTATTCAATATCAAACAGAATGACCTCGGCAACCCTGTCCCCAACGTTCTCAACCACGACATCACTGTCCGAAGGAACCTGTAAATAAGCTCCGTCACCCTCTCTCAGTGTCTGCCCCGAAACTCTGATAGTTGCGCCATCCGCAGGACCCTCGTTGTACCCACTCCTCATCACAACGTGCACGTATCCCTTCAGCCCTTTCATCCCTTGGCTCACTCTCTTTCCCGGGTTAAGCAACGTCGCATACATCGTCAACGGACTCTGAACCGGCGCCGGTCCTTCTCCCTGCTTTGAACCTTCCCTCAAGTCCTTCTGCACTCCTTCGGCATTAGCATTAGCTACCACCCGAACCCAGGCATCCCGTTTCTCCTCATTAGAGAAATGACGCGTAAAGTATTTTGGTTGAAGACGGGAAACGGAGGGTAAAGACCAGATTTGAAGGAAATGTACGGGGTTGTTTCCATGCGCTTTTTCTGAATGGGAAATACCTGTGCCGGCGGAGGTTAGTTGGACGTCGCCGCGCTTGAGAACTTCGATATTGCCCATTGAGTCTTTACTGTACGTTGATCAATCAGAGGAGATTATTGAAGAGGGTAGACCGATGATTTACTGTTCAAGTTCGCCTTCTACAACGTACGAGAAGATCTCAAATTCTCTATGTGAATGTGTACCAAAACCAGTCCGAGCAGCGACTCGATCTTCGTTGATGACGCGGAGGGAACCATATTTTTCATGATTGAAATCCTGATACCTTCATACAAAGGACGAAGTCAAAAATCAGGATATTCAACGAAAAGCTCTGAATGACCACAAACATCGCGAAAGAAAACGTATGGAACGTCTTCAACCAATCATGGTCGGCATGACCTCTATCTTGACTGAATCGTGGAACGACTTTGATTTCGGACATGCTGGTAGTCGTAGAAAAGAAGTTGTTTGCAGCAAGCTTCGAGGAAAGGGTAAACTTTTATTAGTCTCTCTAAACAGAGAAATTGATTTCGATAAGACGTCCAGTGGGGTTGGATATTGTACGAGGCTGTAAGATGAATACAAAACACCCAAAGGCTTATATATATAAGACGTCCAGGAGCTGAGAAGAGGCAGTATCTTTTTGGAAAAAGATAAGTCATGGTGACAGAGCCATCTTACGCGTTTTAAATAACCTGCTCGTTCATCGTCGTGAAAATGATTAGTGGGTTAGATACCGAAGTTTCCTTTTTAGGTACTGATCCGCCCACCGTCACAAAGTACACGTGATGAAGCGTAAGCAGTATTATGCGTGCTGACCACCGGATGACCGGAGTGTAACTTGACTGAGCTTCTTTGCTCAACGTCGACATTGGACAGACTGGATGATAGGTGTTTCAAATTCCTTGCCGTTTCCACTTACATCTACACGGGTTAATGCTGATGAATGCCTGCCATGGATCACTTGGTAAATTCTACGTGATCATCTGCAGCTATCTAGATTCTACTTTCCGGATTCCTAGGGATTCCTCTACTATTTCCGGCTTCCGCGTTCAGACAGTCTCTAAGCTTGGTACAAATCATGCTGGCTGCTGGAGAGGCTGGTTAGAGGCGCTGCTGTAGGAGCTATTGGATATACCCAATCTCAGGCTGTTAGTGGATTGGATCCCAAATTCAACCGATTTCGCCACCTACCCTTATTGCTTGCTGAATACACGATCAGCTATAGCTCGCTTCTCAGCAAGGCCACTATGATCACTCAATGATTTATAAATAAACGGCATGATTTCGATCGAACGAACTGCGAACACATTCTACGCCGTTAGTACTATACCTCACTCCAACTCACGCCATGCCGCTACCTCTCTCCAAATACAATGCCAGAATCACGGACAAACTCTCACCAACAAAGTAACTACGCTCTGCCTTTATCCCTCGTTTATCCCCATCTTACGCTCTGCGTTTATCCCCATCGTACAGAAATACTCAACTTCGTGAACATTGGCTTACCACAGTTATAATTGATTTTTTCACGACCCAGGACAAAACCACGCGTTCGAACCTCCTGAAATATCATTCAGCTTTCCGAATTCCAAGAATTCCAAGAACTTTGCTGTCGATTGAATAAGACGAAACAATATTCTCAAATGATACTTATCACAGCATGTATATGCGCCATTCCTCTGAGAAAATACGACTCGTGTCGCTTTTGAATATCCTCAGCAGAACTTCTCCGCTGGCACAATGCACGAAATTCTTCAAGAGGAATTCTGTCTAATTCTGTACGCCATTGAACAGTACGTACGTACTTATTACAACGGTTGCGATTTATTGACTGTGACACTGTTACTCCAAAGGTCGCAACGTAAATCTTTAATCCTTCAATGAAAATCCTTCACATATATATAGTGTATAGTAGTCCGTTCCTCATATCGGATTGATATTAATTAGTTCACCATTTTCCCGTCATTGACTGACACAGCATGTGTGTGTAACTTTCACATCTCAAGTTCCTCGACTGCTTACAATCAAGGTTACACCAGATAATTCACTTCTTCACTTGTACCCTATCAGGGATGACGGACCCGGGTCAGTGCCATTGACATCAGCGTTAGCTTTTCCTTTTCCAGGAAAGTCCGGTGGGACCTCCCTTCAGAATCTACTGTCTTGATATCCCGACAGAATTGCATCTTCTTTTCCTAGGCCTAGGTTCTAGGAAGGCGGAGACCACTTCTTGCTTCCATGGTACATTCCTTTCCTCTCAACCCATTGTGTCCTAGTCCGAACTTCAAACTCTACATAAGTCACTCTGAATGTTTCGTCGGTCTTTGAGATGTTTACTGTGCACACTCACCACTTCTTCTGTTTACCGCCGGCGTCAGGGAAACTGAAATCTGGATCCTAACACCGAGCCTATACGGTCCTCAGTACTGTGAAAGTTTTCATTGATTTGTGTACCTCTCCGTTCTTCCAGTGTCCGGGCCAAAATTCGTGGGGGATTATTGGTGTTGCAGCGGACTCATTGACTTTCCTGCTTCGCGTCACGGTATAAACATTGCCTTCTATTTTACCTCTCGACTAGTTCTTTCGTAATCTTCGACCCAACAGTGGAAGTAAACGGCAAAGACATTACTGGGAGCAAGTGACTGAATTTCTAGTGATTTACTTCGATGTAGCACTGACCAAAATTCACCAAAATATTCAGTGTAGATACTAGATGGCGGCGCCTCCACTTCTGAGCACTGAACAGGTCCGAACTTGCAAAATAATCGTAGTCCATAGTAGATTCTTATGCAGATTCATACAAAAAATTTATCAGAAAACTGGATTTTTGTATAGGTTCCTCTTCGGCGTCCTGGGATCTTTGAAGGAGAGTCCCTGATGATTTCAAGGGATAATCATCCTCAATCAGCGGATCACAAGAACACTGATAGCTGAGTGAGACCCTGCGAGACCCAGTCAAGCAGGGTCGCAATGATTACCTTGTATGCTTTTTGATGATATCAAGATGATGTTCATGGATATCAGATCAAGTATCATCTGCATCAGTGACCAACAGCTACCTACTGCAACTAAGTACAGGTAGTTAAGGTAGAGTGCTTTATTAGTTTCGAGATCTGACAGTCGTGATGAATTTTTGGGTTTTTGTCACATCGAGCTCAACCTCATAATGAGAATTCATTACTTGCTTTAAGATTGCATAAGGCGGTAGCAATATGAGGATGATATACTACTTACAAGCTGGCTCAATGTATTCTTGAGAGTGAACCAATAATCTGCCGTACAGAATGAGAGTGAAAGAACTTGACGCGGCGCGGTGGGGATTTTTCACACAGCATATATCTCGAAATAGCTGGGAAGACTTATCTATTTTGAGCTTCTTCCATGCATATGCCCTACACCCTGTCTCACGGACGTAGGTAGTTGGGGTCTTGTTGCGGCATCATTTCGTATGTTTTGCATCAAAGTCGACTTCTGCCATGTTCTCTGCTGTTCTCTGATGGAAATCAACGCCATCTGACAGCATTGATATCTTCTATTGAACCTTATTACTTCTGTTTACTAATTCAACAAAGCTGTAATGATTCTCGAATCCCCTCAGAATCCCCTTCAAGCTGTCAGAAACGGAATAAAGCCTAAGACTAGCGCTTGTACTGTGATCAGTTCATTTGAACCATGGTTTGACTCTGAGTTCAATCCAGGTAGTATTTTGTCCGAACATCTGCATTTCATAAGGATTCTGGAACTTGAACTTAGCACAATCTTCATTCCCAGTCACGGTGTCCATGGCAGCTGACTTCATTAAGTACGCTCGGAAAAACATCAACGGTATCCTTCGGGATCATGATGCGCCGTGGCTTGAGATAGATCTCGGCAGTTCTGAGCAAAGAAAATTTTTTTTCGAGTACGTAGGTAAAGCGGTTCTCTTAATGAGGACAGACCTGAGGTCATGCATCGTGTGCACAAGCTGATAATGCTTTTATTTATATTTACACCCTTGAGCTCGCAAAAATTTCAAATTTACTTAACCTGCAGTGGAAGTTGCAATAACAACACAAGATTCAAGTGCATATAAGGATACTACTAATTGTTCATTTGAAGCAACTGCATTGAACCCCCTCATAATTTCTTGCAATTTGAATATTATATTTTAATTTTTGTTGGGGATCAAAATTGGCCACAAACATTCAAAGAAGGCAATGATTATTGAGGTAGGTTATTTTATTGAACCACTCCTCAGGCCCTGGCCTTGGCAGTCACTAACTACTAGACCATTTACTATGATGAGATACTTGCGCATTTCTGAGGTACATTTTCATAATCTACACATAGCTGGACTTCTTGCGAAATTTGTGAATTGAGTGATACCAGAACTTAGCAACCGATAGTCATATATGGTTGCTCGTGAGTTGTCTTCTTGACCAAGTGACATCTGCAAATCCTGTTTTTTGGCTAATTCTCTGAGAGCAGCTGAGAGCACTTCCAAGCAGCCAAAGCACCCAGAGCAAGTTTAAAGTTTTGCTCTTGGTGCTTCGGGTGCTGGAGAGTGCTCTCCAGCCAGTACCCTTGCTCTGGCGAACATACAGGTTTTGTAGATGTCAAGACAATGCCGCTGCGGTAGCGTATTTTACTTACGTCATGCTTACATATCGGTTGATATTATTTTCTTCCCTCAAACATCCACCATATCTTGAATGTCGCACTATCTAGACAGGGTTAATGGCTTTCATTTGACTTCCATTTGCCAAGTAACAAAGGCTTTCCGACCCCCGATGTGTTGAAACGTCTACGTCTCGCACTTCACTTAGCCAAAACTCGATGGACCTATTCACCGATGCCACTGCGTTCGAAATAGCCTCTTCACGATATCTTTCCAACGGGTTATCTCCGCGCAACGTTGATGACTTCAGGTTGTCTTAAATGATAATATCATTTACCGACCTGGATTCTGATTCTTGCTATTAGCTTCGCTTCGCCACTTAATGTCAAGATTCCGATACTTCAGAGCCCTTGTTTTCTGTGCAACCCAAGGCCAGAATGCCCGAAGCCATCGCAATTGTTTTACTAACACAACAATTGAAGCTGAGGATTGAACTTTTCAGGCGAGGGTAATTGAGCTTTTGGTATGGTACATATTTTGCATTTGGAATTGATCTTCTGACTGATCTTACTGCTGTTTTGACTGTGCTAGATGATTCGCGGAAAGACGTGGACCTTTGGGTACCCCCTGTGGGTCCATCCTCTCTGAACGATTACGTCCTGAGTCCTCGGATCCAGAAATACGAGCCAAAATAGTTGAAGCTGAAGCTCGCTATGACCTTCTCGTATCATTTTTTCCTCGGTTTTCATTTGTCCACCAAACGTTATTGGATTCGTATACTTACGGGTGAGTGCGACGATTAATTTCACACAAGCGAGGCCGGTCCTCTCCTCTACTAGCCAATAAGTCGATGCCTGTCGTTGCCCATCGTTCTGTGATTCATACTTTAGTAGGTTTCTTCGAACTTTCTGTCACGTAATCCCAAATCCCATCTCCTCGGGAGGTGTAAAACCTTTCACGATTTGTCATATTCATGATGGGCGCCTCGGAATTCTGTTTACATACCGAAATCAATTTTCACTTGGGTCTATGTGGGTATCTGTATGCTGCGGTTTTCGCCATCGTTCTTTCTGGAAACATGTCGTTCTCACACTTCGAGCCCGCCGAAATGCCTCATTGGATTATTGCATTGGGGACGATTATTCCTCATAATCTCTACTTGCTTTCAACATAAGGCCCTTACTCCCTTAAAACAAGTCAAGGCCTTGTAACAATTTGCAAAAGATTCACTGATCTTGATGATGCATCACGATGATTTTCTGCATCATGTTAGCCGCTTTATTTTTGTGTTCCGTGTACGTACCAGTTCGACTGAGGCTCGTGTAAGGTACAATGGGGTAAGCCATCGACCGAGCTGAATCCATAGTTCTGGCTCAACTCAGATTGCTTCAGGTCCTCGTGTTCTACATCATTTCATCATCAACACTTCGCACAGGAATACCCATATGCGCTTTCGATTGGGATTGGATGGCTGATTGCATAGGGCTTTGTTTGGCTGTCGGCTTCTTTTGATTCTTCATAAATACCATTCGGCCTTTCGCTTTTGATTCATCATCAACCCCGCCAAGAAGTCTCGAACGTCCTAATTGTCGCTATTCCTCGATTGCCCTATATCGACGCTAGTGACTTCTAGACGAACGGCGGTTTTGATTGAGACTTTCTCTCTGCCCATCGGCATCATCAAGCGTTCAAGAAGATTTGCGTAGTAGTCGGGAAAAGCATCAATGTCAGTGATGCATCTTGTGATTGCGACACTGACCACTAATTTCCGTTGTGATTGTGTTGTCCTTATAGAATATCGTCAACGCGAACTAAGATTTATGCCTCACCGCGGCTTTGAGCCTTATCCTATGTCGTCGTATGTGTGTTTTTTTCTCAAAAAGTTTGAAGGAGTTCACACGTCATTATCAGACATCGTCACTTCGAAAGGCGTCCGTCACCGCCCAACGCGCCGCCTATCGCTACTCTGTCATCTACAAATTCGCCTACTACGTCGGTTTCTTCCTTGGATCGCTCTTCTGTTTCTACTCCTCCAATCAGACGTTCGTCGCCCCATTCTCATGCGACGCCACAATACTACAATTCACATCCTCAACCTTACTATTCTCATCCCCCTCCACCAGTCCATCATCATCATCACGCTCATCGAGGATATGATTCACACGAAGGATCTTATTCTGTACCCAACACGTCTCAGCCCTTCCATAACATGGGAGGAATGGGTATGACGGTTGGGGGTTTGAATGGTATGCCATCTGGACGTGAGCCGTACGGTCTACAAATGCCTAGTATGCCATACCCTGGTGGTCCTATAAACAGCAATGTTCCCGTGGTATATACCGAGGACGCGGCCACGAAATTGAGTGATCGCGTGCGGAGAAGGTGCTTCAATTGCTGCACTACTGACACAAGTACATGGAGGAGAAGTAATCTCAGTCCGGGAAAAGTGGTATGTTTCCGTGAATTTGAAAATCCATGCAAGACAACTGACGACCATTCATTGCTTCTAGCTGTGTAATAAATGTGGCCTGTTTGAGCGCACACATTCTAGGCCTCGTCCTGAACAGTTCCCTCATAAACGTGGTCCACTTGCTTCTTCGACGCTACGCTCTCGTTCTCCACCTGTACCTCATTCCTTACCGTCGCCATCGATGCATAACCAGTCCACTGGTCATGGTTCGCATCCTCAAGGCTCACCTCCAATGTCAAGTCATAATACACTTCCTCCGATTTCCCCTCCTTACTCTTATTCTCATCCACCTCATCCTTCGCTAGCTCCCCTGAGCTCAGTTGCACCTCCAACATCTAATGGTAGTCACCATGAATTGAAGAGAGAGGAGGATCACAAAAAGTCATTGTCTAGGCCTTGGCAAGACCGAGGGTCCCCACCGATTTCGAAACGCTCACCCCCAAGCGGACGGGCTTCCCCAGTTCCTCCGCCAATGAGCTCTGTTTCGACAGCATCCGTCAAATCTTCTCGATCGCGCTACGAGCGTGATGAAAATTAAAGGCTCTCTTGTTCATGTACATGTATCTCTTGTTTCTCGCTATGTTGCTACTTTTTTGAAAAGGATTTGGTTACCTTCCTATGTACTCTCTAGGCCCAAGGACAGTTCTGCAATTATTTATTCTTTTTTTCCCCTCTCTGTGTGTAGCTCCTTACTAGGTGTCAGGGCCTATTGTTTGTCTACAATTCCGGACAGTCCAAAGTTGACTGAAATCGTAGCACGGCATAAAAGTGTAGTTTGTTCAAGAGATGCGATACTTGACAACTGTTGAACCAATACATGTGTAGGACATGGATTTTAGATTGTTAGTATATTTACATAACCGTGTTTAAACCTATTGATGCCCATGATGTGAGATGCAGTTTCATTTGGTCGGTGCGATATTATAGGAAGTTATTATGCCTCAAGTTAGATCTGTGCTAATCTAGGTAGAAGAAATCTCATCAGATGCGATATGATCAGGTGTCGAGGAATGCTAGGTTCGGGTATCAGTTCATCATTTTGATTTTGATACGAGGCAAAGTTTGGCTGGTCGTCAAACTTAGTCCAAGTTAGCTGGCTCTACCAAGGCTCAACAGCAACCTTACGGCCTCATGGCAGTGGTCATAGGTATCTTATCATGGAACTTACAACTACTGGGGTGATTCCTCCGATGAACAGTTTGGAATTGAAATCGAGAACAGTCCCACATAGGAAGGATAAGATAGGATATAAATTAATTTAATTCCTGTCCTGTGAGCATTACTACAGTGCAATGCATATGGACTCTCCACGGCCTTGACAGGGTGGCATTATTGGAATTCTACGGCAGAGCGAAACTTACCGTACTCATCATTCATCCAAGCTCAATATCTCAAATGTCTTTGGGGGTGTCGTCAGTACAGATGCGGGATTGCAAGTAGCAACCGGTCAATATCAACTTCTCAAGACGCCCTTATCCTCCAACTTTGGCAATGTTATGAATTGGGAAACATCAATGAAGACCTAGATTATGTTTCCAGTGCGTGATGAACCCAACGCAGAGATGAATGATGAGATAGCACGTAGATGGCAAATGAATGAATCCGAGCTGTAAGTACTCAGCATTCTTGAGCCGCGAGAGACTCGGAAAATATTATCGGGAAGTATCCTTAACTTTTTTGAAATGACAGCTACAGAAGCGTAGTGACCTGCAGTGACTCATTTAAATTCATGACCTGCCGCAGTTGGAAGCGATACATATGTAAGTATTCACCCCAAGAAAAAAAATGACTAGACGCACAGTTGCCATTCAACCTTGCCGGCGAGCCTAAGTAGGCCTAAGTGTGAACAGGATCCGGGATCCGGCAAAATACGTATTCTAGAGACCCCTTGCAATGTTCTGTCAAAAGATTGGAGCGACAGCACTTATGATGTGCAGATGATTGTCCAAACAACAGCGAGAACTAGAAACTGTCAAGTGTCAATGCAAAATTCCTAGTAAGGTTCTCAAAAAAGATCAGGAGTGACTCTCATCCAAGTTCTCCGACGATGAAGCCTAGCTAAATTCTTACCTTAGTATAATTCATGGGTAAAGTTACTATTTCGTTGTAGTGATGATATGCACCGCAGGATGTCAAACGCATAGGCGGCATAGCACAATGTTGATGCTTGGCAGAGACAATTGGTTCTTGATGATATTTTTACAATCATAAACTTCATCATCAGTTCAAAAACACAACTACGGAACAGCTGATGTCCCTGCTGATACCAAATTTTCTGTGTGAGGGAGTAGGAGAAGTGGCTCACCAACTTCAATCAGTTGATTCTCAACGATTCTACTTGGAAGGGTCTTGTAACCTGTAGACACGATCAAAGCGACGGATAATGTTAAGTATAATGATGCATTTTGATGCCTTTAGAAGCCCTACAGGGAAGAAGCTTACTGATACAAGGCTTGTGCTAGTAGCTGTTGTATGGTTTTCTCTCAGAGGCTTGAGTTTCTTCAGTTGATAGGCATGATGCGTAAGCTAACTTCGGCCCATGACAACAGAAAACGGTACTAGCCGTCTACATGTGCTCGCAGGTCAGTTGTCCTATGTTTTTTGGGCATTCAAACTTACGCAAACTTTCCCTGCAAGTGAATTCTTACATCAGACTTCCAAATACCACAAGAAACTGGGGTAGGCTTACGAAGCAAGGACTTCTGTATGTCAGATGTCTCCATTCATGATTATTCTGGTCTCGGTCCAAAGCAGAGAGAACCCTCCTACTGGCCCTAGAAGAAGTTTTATTTTTAGATCTGGCAAGTACGTCCCCATTCCAGTCTGAATTGACCGTAAATCAAAGCGCTGTGTTGATTCTGTTGTAATGGGGTAACACCAATGGAAAGAAGATAGAGGGTGCAGATAGCCAGGAGGGGGGTAGGAAAAATGAACTCCAGTAGAGCTCAAGCATGGTATTACGGTAGCACGAGACGGACGGTAGCGTCCTAAAGACATACAGGAAAAGTTGAAAAGCCGCGATACCAGGCTAACTGCCACGTGAAAGCTTAGAGCACTTTATCATCTCCAAGTGCCTAAGCGGTTGAGCACTTTATCCATTAGGAATCGCAAATACCGACAATCTCGACACCTGGTATGATAGCGATGAGATCGACCAAGCCTATTTTTCTTGCAAGGTTTGAGGTCTTGAAGTATGATATATCCAGTGCATAACTCTGCATAACTTGTTACTTGACGGCTTACTCGAAGAAATCCACCGCAAAATGACAATTCAGTGGGGCATACGAAACTTCAATCGGGTGCCAAGGTGCCGTTGTTGCGGCGTATGTTCTGATGTATAAAACATTCGGTTTGAGGCATTGGTCCAGGGAACGACCTGCGACAACTAGTATACGTACTACGTAGAAAGGAAAAAAAATTGAACGGAACATTTGCACGTGTGCATCAACGCGTGACGCAAAATCGAATCCGATGACACTGAACTTGAAGTATCTCTTTATTTAACTTTCACCACCAATACAAAGCGCATGTACTCGGCGAGTTAACCATGTGTCCTCATAATGATAATCGATACAACAACGACGCAAGGTGGCGTGTCCATTGCTCAATTGCAGTAGATTATGAGAGATTAAGTTGAAGGGTGAGGTGGGTGTTACTAGTAAGTTTTCCTTCAGATCGTTTTGCGTCTTGATTACCATGATGAAGCAATCACTCTCTTGTCCCGTGTACCTATTGGGCCTACTACTATTTCCTCTTGTGACATGCACTGCTGCTCAGGTCTTGATCACTCCACCTGCGAATCCCCTAGATTCTGTTTCCAAACCTGTAGCCAACAACTTTGTCTCCCTCTCCATTGCCATTCACTTTTTTCAAGATTATTCCCGCATTGGGACCGAGGGCGAATTACCTAACACGTTCTCTAGAAACCTACTGTCTTCTCTACAAGAATCCACTTTCCTCGCGCCAGAGATTCGCATTGGAGGTACTTCCGCAGACCGCACCACGTACGTGCCTTCCCAGAACACGACGATTTTGCAGGTTTCCGGGGCCAATGGAATTCCCTTGAATGTTACTCTAAATCAGAAATGGTTCCAACAATGTTTTGACGAGGAGAACTTTCCTTCTGGAACCAAGTTTATCTTTGATTTGCCCCTTATGCGCAACGATTCCCTGGCCCTGAATAACACGATACAAGGTTCGAAATGGGCTCTAGAAGCCATCGGAGAAAAAAGATTGGAGGCCTTTGAGATTGGAAACGAAGAGGTCTGAAATTCGTTTGTTTCTTTACTTTCCATCATCTTAAATTTCCACCCGGATAGGACCTGTACGTCGGACAAGGCGTCGTGCCAGCAAATTGGACAGTTGTAGATTATGTCGCCAGATGGAAGATATTCAGCTCAGCAGTATCTGAAAGAGCGCTCGTTCCATCCGGACTTGACTCGAACAAAAAGTGGTTCCAGGGATTAGCATTTTCAGGACTAGGCGCGAATCCAGCTTGGACTACGTGAAAATTTGAAAAAATTTCCTCATAGAATTTGCCCATTGACGAGATATCATTTCAGACAAACAGCGTTCAACGCCAATGTGAACGAGAACTTTACATTGAAAAGCGTGTCACTTCACAAGTAAGTGGATATATGGACCTCTGTGAGGTTTGTTGAGGTGAATGTCGTTAGCTACCCTGCAGGAACTGCGCCTTGGGTTAATCTCGGGAGTACGTTCGATAAAAAAAATTTAAATGGCGAATTTTGAATTTACCAACTGAACCAGATACGTTCATGAACCACACAGCGATCGTCGCGAATCTCTCCCAAGTGAAGGATGACATTGCTTTTTTGGGCTCATCACCGTCCACGGACAATATAGTATTCAATCTGGGCGAAACCAACATAGATTTCACAAATTTGAATATGGACCAGTTCGGTGAGTATGGGAGTTTCGATAGTCTGCGTAAAGCTGATGTGACTTCTGTATGATAGAGGGCGTCTTAGGCTCTGCCCTATGGACTATAGATTACATCTTATACGCTGCATCTTTGGTTAGTAATGATCGTTGTATCGAGACTCTCAACAAGTTCGAACTGATCATTTCATCTAGAGTATCAATAGAATATACCTTCACCAGGGTACAACTTTTGGCTACGTGCGTGTACCCAAAGTTTATAACAGATATCTACCGATAACACAATTGATATCGTAGGCCGCATGGCAGCCCATCGCTACCACTAGTTCCCCCGCCAAAGTCCGTACCCCGTGGTATGGCCTGAAATTCGCTGCTGAAGCCATTGGGTCGCATCAAGGTCCTATCCAAATCGCCCCACTTGATATAGTGGTGGTCACTAGCAACCTCTCATTCACCAACACAAACACAATTGCTTTCGGAAATAGTACCCAAACCCAGAGTGTTCCTACTCAGCTTCTCACCTCGGAGAAAATAAGTGCATACGCGGTCTACGAATCATCTTCACTCGCGCGTATCGCGTTGATCAACTTTAACGAATGGAACGGTACTACACCTTATCCTCGCCCAAGTGCCGTCTTTCGAATTTCCCTCCCACCGTCGAACTCAGACAATACAGGGAACTCTAGCTCCTCTCAATCAAACTCGGTTAGTACGAGGTTGCTTACTGCGCCCAACGGAGCCTCAGCCGATAGTGATTTGACGTTCGGAGGAATAATGTGGAATTATACCACGCAGGGGCTTCCTCAGCGGGTCAAGTCCGTTCCGGGAATTGTGCAGGTGGAAAGATCAACAGGGGATGGTTCGATCACAGTAAGAGTAGGAGCGAGCGAGGCTTTGTTGATTGACATCCGTGGTTGAGTACTTTTAGTACACAGCGATGAGGAAGATTGAAAGAGCACTGGTCGTGATTATGGATGACGATCATCGTCGCAACGTATAGGATTTATCATACAGCGCAAAGCTACAGAAATTCGAAGTACCTGTTATCTACCTACGAAGGAGAAAACAGATATAAGAGTATGATACACAGATTTCAATGATAACAGAAGGGAAATCGTCAGAAAAATTATCCTGTAGACCATCAAGGCAATGAGGAAGTATTCGTGTTCAAAGACATGAGGATCTAAACACGAGCGCGCCAGTTTCTCGAAGAATCCGAGCCTAGCATTGCAGAGCTTTTCTTCGTAGCCGAGGGCCTAGTGGCTGTGGTAAGGACAGTTTGAGCAAGCTGAGTCGTGTTACTCTTAGTTGCTTTGGTGGCGGTGGTAATGACCGCGGGCTGCTTCACACCTCCGAGCATGACGCCCCCAGTCATGACCAAAGTCTGACCGCCTTGGTAGGTGTACCGACAGACATCAACTTTCGCCTTGTCAACAGTAGCACGCGCGAGGCGGCGTTGAGAGCGAGAAAGACGTTGGGGAAGGCTGGAGTCAACCTGAGCAGGTGCTGGAGGAGCAGTTGCGATGTTGCGACGATGACGTGGCACGTAAACAGGCGCTTTTGCGACGGGAAGATTGGAGGTTTTAGAGACGGGAGAAGATGCCGCTGAAGAGATAGAGGACATGGAGTCGGTGGAAGACGTTTCAGAGAAAAGAGACGATGAAGTCGTCGACTCGGTATCGGATTCCGAGTCTGAATCATTAGCATCAACATCGGCATGGGAGAGGCAGGAAGTAGGAAGCGCGATCGACTTCCTGGGTGTATCGGCGGAAGTGCTGCGAGTTCGAACGGAGTCAAGCATCGCGCGCAACTTCAACGCCATTGGCGATTCGCACTCGTTGCTAGTCTGGATTTTGATCGAGGTAGCAGGTGCGTCTCTAGGTTCCGTAGACCAAATGGTCACGACATCTCCAGTTTCGCCGATGCGAACCTTCAAGCTATTCTCCATGACACAAACATAAAGCGCATTTCCGCCTAATGCACGGATCCACTGGGGCCAGGCAACGCCGGCCTGAAGGCAGGCGGCATATACGGGTGTAGGGGGTAGGGAAACGGGCGTGAGGAATAAGGTGAAGGGAGACAGAGTAGAAGTCTCGGAAGCGACGAACTGCGACACTAGGTTTGCGTGCAAGAAAAATTGCAGCTGCAACATTGTCTGGGAAGGATAGAGTTCGATTAAAGGACGTGTAAGATACGCCACGAGCTGGTAAAGGGTGATTGAAGCTGAGTTCGTAGTGAAGGAAGACATTATATGTGATTGTTCGTGAAGCAAGTGGGAGCGTGGATGTTGTTAGTTGCAGTTATATCGCTCTGCGATGAAAGAAATCGTTGATCTATGGTTGCAAAAAAGATCAGTGATTGCGACCATGGAGATGGAAATTCCAAGTACTTACCAAGAAAACGTTGAAAAGAGATGCTATAGGGATACAGTGGCGAGATACGAGCAGAGAACAGATGACAGAACAGAAACTGAGATTGATAGAGCTGACAGACACCAGACACCAGAGGCGAATGAGATGAGATGGGCTTCCATGGCCTCAGCTAGACTGCTTTTATACATAGTGTGCTTCATATGGCGAACAATGTTCATTCAATAATGGTCACAATAAAGTGCATTGTAATTTGGCGAGCATTGTAGTCATTGAGAGAACAATGGAGGGCCTTGCCGGATGCCGTAAACACAATTTTGCGTGTTTTTTTGGAATGGTCGAAGGGATTCAGGACGGCTCGTTTGACATATTTAAGCTTTCCAGTGGTTTGAAGGATAGCCTGATAGTGCAAGGTTCGTGTTGAACAACACCTAAAAAAAGTTGTACCTGTGTACAGCTACCTCAGACGCTCCATGATAAATTAGCGCCAGTCGGGCGTGCAAATAGGCAACAACACAAGCTCTAGGCGCCCAAGATCTTCCCTCTTGTTTTTGTTTTGTACAAATAACGCCTGTCACAATGAACTTTCAATTCGTCGTCCTAGCAGCTTCAGTCGAGACTCGAAGCTTCATGTTCGAGCCCACACTCGACTTGCGAACGGAATGCCATGGAAATAATTCAAAAACATCCAGGAAGTGAAAACAGGACGGTCAATACAATTTCTGCCATGCTTCAAACGCAAAGTTTCGTCACCAATTCCGATGGAGGTCGCAACCTTACCATTTTCTCGTCTCAAATGTAGAACTTGTCCTCGAGCGCAGATATCTTCGGCTACAAAAATCCTTGTAATTGGAGCTGTGCTGCGCTATCTAGATGTTTCTTACATATGAAATAGAATATCGTAGCGTCAAGGATTTCAGGAAATTCCATGTCTTCAAGTTTCAACATTGCTTCCGAATCGAATTGAACGTGGACCTCCAGGGAAAAGTTCGCTTTGTTTATATACCCAACCGTCGTACGTGAACATCACTTCTTTCCTGTATTCTCCGCTAATTTTGCCTTTTGTTCTTGATTATCGCCGAGTACAGGTTCACCTGCATATCTATAGTGCGAATCAGGATCCGAATTGACCAGGGTATTTTTCTCATATATACACACTACATAGTAGGACTACACGTCTCATTTTTCGCTGTCACCATTGGTATCACGCTCCAGGAAACGTCGATTCTGCAGAGTCCATCTATTGACTTCAACTCTACTTTTCTGGATTTGCACGGCCTCAGCAGTAGCGCGTCTCCTGTTCATCGGACTCTGGACACCGTTGTTCTCTCGAAAGTCCTTCAAAGTCCTTCAAGCTCCCAGTTTCAAGTCCGATGATTCTCTCTGCCACCGCCCGATACTCTACTGCTTCCTGTTTAGCAAGCACCGGACTCATGACATGCATGACGAGGACCTTATAGTCACACTCGTTCAGCGTATTTCTATCTGGTATAAAGATGACGATCCGAGAAAATAAAATGACGGAAGGATTTGCTCGCGACGATTCAATGTATCTATATACTCGCTCACTCCTGGTGAAGAGGATTGGTACTGCGAGAGGCATGACTCCGAGGCAACTTGTTATCCTAGCTTGCTGAAATGGTTTGAACGAGACAGATAAGAATAATCCCTTCTTCAAGCTTCAAATCCTATGAAATTCTCTACTAAAGTCCGTTGTTCGTCTGCTCCCTGTTTAGAAAGCACCGAACGCATGATATACATGAAGAAACCTTGTCCAATAACGGCTTTGCTATATAATGTCACGCTCTTAGGCTAAAGATCCAAGAAAAGAAAACGACCGGAAATTTGACCCGCGGCCATTCAATAAATATTCTCTCGCTCACTCCTGGTGAAGAGGATTGGTACTGGAGAAGCAAAAAAGAGGCAAAAGCCCGGGGAAACTCGTCCTAACTCGTCATCTTGGGGCGCTGAAGTGGTTTGAACGAGAACGGTAAGATACGCCTAGACTCTATATAGTCTGTTTCAGCCATTCACTAAGTACTAAGTACTCTTCAATAAAATTTTCTATCCTAACAAACCAAACGTGATATTCCTCAGTCAAAACGTTATCGGTCTCTTTATTCATGAAAAAGAATTACTCACCTTGAACTCTTTGAGGGTCTTTAGAGATGTCCAATTCCCATACATTTTTTCTAAGCTTTTATTTTTAGTGGTGTTTGTTATGATATAGAGTCTATAAGATGGACTCAGCTTTTTTTGTGATGTTTTTATTGCTTCAGCTTTAGGGACCATCGCCCTTCAGCTCATCCAGTTGGCACCCGGATCTGATGTGGTGTGTTCAACAACTGGGAATTGGGGGAGGGGATGAAGGGCCATTCATTGACGAAGCACCTCATTGGAAAGTACACCCCCAATACTATCCGAAGTGCAATGTCTAGCCCAACACCGGCACAGCTACCTAATGCCAGCAGATTATGCAGGCAGGCCCATCATTTCCGCGCAGTGGGATAGCAACTCGCCTTTCGCCGTGGCTATAGGATATAGTTTCATTTCGGTTATGGTTATGACAATAATGTTTGAGTACAGTCTTCAGAGCATATTCCATGACATTGAAACAAAATGTCTAGATGTGAGACACTTCGAGCCTCAAGCTTCACTATGTACCAAAGGTGTATATCATAGTCGATGAATCTATTCTGTTGTTACCTCGGTTGTTTGATGAATGCTTTTCTTAGAGTTGCCTAGTTGCGTTGATGCCTAAAGCTAGCGCCGTATTGACTTCGTCCTATGGTCCCCCCTTGATCCTCAGCAATATGTTCCACTTCTCGGCGAAATCAAGATAGCGATGACAATCGGGGCACCCGAGCTCATGCAAAAGGATATCGGACCCTCGTCGCAATGGGATTGAATGTTACTGGGGGGATCAAGAGAGGATGCTCGCCCAGGCTCGCCTGTAATTCACATGTAGCATGAAGTCTCTGTCTTTCTCTATCACATCTCCTCGGACCTCAACCCAAGTTCCTTGTTGGATTGGCCGGAGGGCGTCTAAGTAGAAAGGCTCAGGGCAAGAACGATGTCTACATACAGGCGCTTGACGAAATCGTGCTCTATTGGAATGTGTTCCTACCTGTTCTTAGTTCTCTAGAAGGTCGTTCATAATCCTTCAAACCTCAAGTCCGATGAACTTCTTCTCTGCCAACACCGTCATTCTTCTGTTTCCTGTTTAGCATACACCGGAGGCATGATATGCATGATGAGGTGGATACTACCTTAATGTCCAACGATGCATTCAAGTTGTCTAAACTTTTAGAGGAAACTGATTAACTAAAGAATTTATGCAGCCTCCATTATTTTCATTACAAACATAGTCAAAGCTGTGTATATCGAGCCTCTAGAGCGTACATACATATAAAACAACGATACAAAATATTATTTGATAGCGAAATAAGTTGGCACAATTTTCTCCTGTCTCTCGTCCAGAAAACGAACAAATTTAAGGGTGAATTTGTCCCCCCGAATGCCTCTACAGCCATATGGAGGCCGAATAGACGGGACAGGTACCAGGCGCACTTCTTTTGTCCTATCAATCCAATCAATCCAGAGTCCTGAGTAGTTGTAGTGTATATGTCTTGCATACCTCGGATGATATAGGTGTATTTCGGATACGATCGGAACCTGAATGAAAAACACCAGAATAACCTTGAACCCAACCAAGTCGGAATAAACACTGTAGATCCTGGGTGGGGTGCCTGCTATCTGCCAAGTCTTCTGTCGCGTCCAGTCTAGACGAGTCTCTCTTCGAGATCCTGATATACCGGAGGAGCCGCAAGACGCTGTGCAACCGAGAGTACTTGTCATTTTTTACTTACCACCACAGTTCGTGCGATGCAGTGTGAACCTGCAGGCTCTCCCTCCGACTCTATCTGGTCCACAGGGTAGACTGCCATCGAAGTTATCACACGCGAGCCCGGTCTGCACATGGCAAGACCTGGCACCGGCACCGGTACAATGGGCATCATTATCCCGAACAGGCACGAAAACGGACTCGAAACTATTTGAAGGTGATCCAAAGTTAACCTTAGCCTGATTGCAGTGCGCCATGTAACAAAATGCAACAGTTCGACCCTCCTTCGGTCTAACTTGAGGGGTGAGGTGAGGAAGATCAAGGAGAGCTTGAGGTGTATTGTTTGCAATAAGGGAATAGTAGGAATCAACAATACAATCTTACCGGTTTCTGTGTTTGACTTTGGATCTGTTTCCTGAGGAATTTCCTTTTTCTTTGACACGTAGACCTAGAACTTGCTGTCCCGGTCCTGTGTCGATCAAGCTGTGAACCATCGAAGTGAAGACGAACATGGACTCTAGTACCTTAATTAGAACGGGTAGATATACCCACATCTGCATGAACCGAACTTGAACTCAGGAAGAGCCCCCGTTGTCAAATAGTATTGATTCTAGGCCAACGATATGATCCATGCCAGACGCAGAGAGACGCAGACGGAAACTCCCATTGCAGTGATCCTGTTTTTAGGGAGTACTCTATACGGGAATGGCACAAACAGAGAGCAACGTTCTTGTCCTAGAATTTTTTCGGGAACAAATATCACGATAACATTTTCAATATTCTCCGTCATTTTCTACGTTAAAAGATAATCACTCACTTTAAACATGTCGCCCTTTTTTCCCCTAGAGTTGGCGATTTTTTACTCATGTTTGTACAATTATATATATGAGTCACTCAGCTTTTTGTGGGGCTCTTGGATAGCTTTCGTTTTTGGGACCCATCGCCCCTTCATTGTTTTCCACCCTGTTCGATAAATCTTTCTATCCCTCAGCTCTCCCTCCCTCTGTCCCAAACCAAATGCTATATTCATCAGTCAAAACGTTATCGGTCTCTTTATTCATGAAAAAGAATTACTCACCTTTTTGAACTCTTTGAGGGTCTTTAGAATGTTCATTTGCCGTACATTTTTTTTCTAAGTTTTTATTTTTAGTGGTGTTTGTTATGATATTGAAGCTATCAGATGTACTCAGCTTGTTTTGTGACGTTTTATTGCTTTAGCTTTAGGGACCATCGCCCTTCAGCTCATCCAGTTGGCACCTGGATCCGATGTGGTGTGTTCAACAACTGGGATTGGGGGAGGGGGTGAAGGGCCATTCATTGACAAAGCACTTCATTGGAAAGTACACCCCCAATACAATCCGAAGTGCAATGTCTAGCCCAACACCGGCACAGCTACCAAATGCCTGCAGATTATGCGGGCAGGTATGTCATTTCCTCGTAGTGGGATAGCTTCCTGCCTTTCGCTGTGGCTACAGGACATAGTTTCACTTCGGTTATCAAAACAACAATAATGTTTGTACTTAGTGTTCATAGATTCTGCGACATCGAAACAAAATGTCTCCAACATGAAACACTTCACCGGCACCATTCATAATAATAGTAGCTAGTAGGACTGAGTAGCTAGTACAACTCGTACGCGTAGATATTGAGTAGGGTATAGTACATACTACCAAACGATGATATGAAAAATTTATCTACTCCCTCTTGATTGAAGACACCTTCGCTGGCTTCCTGCCCCGAATCTAAGTGGTCTAGAATTAGACACATTGCAATATAGCAGTGAAATACAAGTTCACTTCACCTTTGTCAATGCCTTTCTGAATGGCTTAAGGCCTGATTTAACACCATACAAGTCCGAGTCCTGAAGATAAAAAAATTGAAGGCTTTAGTCGATGCATCACAGACATCAGCAACTCACGTTCGTGGATATCTTGACACGTTTGTTGCATTGAGCAGTGGGTGAAGGCGGATCCTCGAATGCGGCTCGCTGTTAGGGATTGTTATAATCAGGTAAATGATTGATTAGTAGTCACAGATATGTAAAGCCCACCTTAGTATTCTTCATTGCATGAAGAGTCGTCGGCGTCGGCTCATCGACAGCAAACGATCGATAGCTGGGAACTTTAGAAAATCTAGCGCTGTATCGCTCGGAGGCCATGAGCAAGCAAGCTCAAGTTTCAGAAGCGCATGAATAAGCCTCACCTCACGCTTCCTAGGCGTTTCGTCTTTGCCTTCAGGATCGGAAGTGGGCGGTTCGAATCTTTCCATGGTAATTGACGGAGTTGACACCGTATCCACAGACTCTTTGACCTCATAAGACCGGTATGGGGCGACTGTTTTCTTCTCGTGACGCCTGGCCGCCTATGAAAGCGGAATCAGTCTTCATGAAATTAAAGGATGAACCAGGAAAGACACTAACCGACCCCGGGGTGCCAACCGCAACGTCGTCGAGATCAGCAGGTGCCCTAACATGAGTGTATCTCGTATCAGAAGACAAAAAGAGTATACTAAGCGTAAGCTGCTCACCATCGACTATATAGACCGTGCCACTCTTCAAAATAGCGAACAAGCAAAGGTCGAATTTTCTGATCACTGTACTCAGGAGCACCTTGTCCGACTCGAACATAGAATATTTGAACTATGTTTTTGAGTACCTTGGGAGTTAGAGTGCTACCAGTAGCCATACGAGATAGCATAATTGGTATACCCTTGGCGACGAAAACTTTGCTTGCGGTCTGCGAGAAACATATTTCAGTGAGCAAATCTTATTCACTACTAAGTGAAATTCGTGAACTCACCGCAACGAAACGATCCTTAGCATTCAACTCAAGGCACTCAAACAAGTAATTGCCTACTTCTCGTTTTATAATCAGTTTTCCAGCCTTTTCGTATTGCTTCATTTGCGACGGTATTAAGTCGAGTACATCGGGTGGCATTGGCATAGACGGCGGAGGAAACTTGGTTATAGTAAATTTCAAACTTTCCGAAAACTCTTGGTCGAGCCCTAGTTGGTCGGGAATCATCTTTAGATCGTATCGAGGCATAGTGAACTTAGCAGGGCCACAAAGAGTCAGTCAGTAAAGGCGATTTGGTACATAAGCGCAAAAAAGTGCATACATGCGCGAGGATTGATAAGGTGTGTTATGGAAGTGAGCGAGATGTGAAAACGAGAGTCGTGATTATCGTGAAGTCTTCAAGACACTAATTAGCAACGGAGAAGAGAGATAAGTCGTTAAATACGCACGGATAGAGTGTTGAATAGTAGTGGTGGAGAAGAGAAAGGAAGAATGGGTCGTAAATTTGCTTCGCGCCAGCTTTTATACTGTACCAACGTGGGCATGTTGAATGACGTCTTCCGAATTCGATGCTCGATTTTGTCCCGATCCGGTTTGTGGTCAAAGCTGTTCTTCGCAATTTGGTTATTTCAGACTGTATGCCGACATCTGGCGTTTTCTTCACCGCCTGTTGAGTTGGGTCAAGGATGTAGTCAAGAGTTTATTCTAGAGGCGCAACAATTGGTTTGACTGTGATCAGTCGAAGGATGTGCATGACATGGCACCGTAGAACTTCAAAATATATCGGCTTCACGAACCAGCGGTTAGATGGGCGAGAGGCCCGATACAAACCATGAACTAGAGTTTATGAGCAAAAAATTTGTGTAAAAGGTGATTAATTGGTTAGAAAAAATTCTACAAATGTTCATACAACAGCGTACCCCCGGCATCACCCCCTCTAGCACCCATCTGCCAATAGAAGCCACTTAGATTATTATAACTATCCCGATAACGCCACAGCGCGTTTAAATTATGGAGATACTTCTCTCCTTTAAGAGCCGCCAATATGACATTGAGATACTCCAAGTTCGATGTGGAGCTCAAGCCACGGAATTTGGTTTCCACGTCTTTCCATTTTTCGATCGAAGGGAAGGTGGCAGAAGCCAAAAGGATTCCCGTTTTGTCTCCTAGAAGGTTTACTATTACCATTCCTTGCCATTTTCCGGACGGTTGTCGCACTGCTCTGAACTCGTCTGAGCCAATCTTGAGAGACCATATTTCGTCACTTCTGACAGGTTCTTGAATATCAGTAATCTCCAACTCCTTCCCATCGACACGACGCATACGTATCAGCCTAATTTCGTATGTCTGAGCTGGAGAATGGATGTTAGACGAATAACACAACGTCTTAGAGATGTCAGACTCACGGCCAATGGATTTATTTGACTGTTCTGGGACGTCGGTGACAGGCGCAGCAACGGCTATAAGCAGTAGGCTCGATAACGAGAGGAATAAGGCGAAGAATAAGCGTAAGGGAAGCATGGCAGATCTTGATACGGTTGGAAACTTCGAGTGAGGTGTAAACATGAGGTATAGACAGATATTCACGGGACGTACAATTGCGCAGGTCAAAGATTGCTTTTTTATTGTGTGAAATGTACAGGACGAGGACGACGCTGGATATAGAAACGTCAGATATGTGTTGTAGATAGGTAGTGAACGGAGAAATTCCGATAGGAATTGTTTGCGGGCTGAAGACACATACTGATGTTCTTTTTCTTTTGGATTGTTTGGTGGGCGCGTGCGATGGCGAGGATGACAACTGTTTTGAAGTATAAAGGTCAGAGAAAAGGAAACGAGGGAAAGGGACAAAGGAGAGAAAAATAGGTCACTTGCCGAACCAGCGTTGAGTGGGAGTGAGTCCTGTCAAATGTAACGGAGCGAATTGTTTTTTGGCTCTTTTTTATATGTCAAAGAAAAGTGATCGACGTCGCCCGAAAATTTTCCAAACGGACCATGCTGTTAATGAATTTCATGCAGTGCCGGATTTCGAAAGTTTGTACCGCTATTCATTTCCAGTGGGTGCTGCTTATGCGCAGAGGGTTAAACGCTGTTAAACGCACCGGGTATATATTGAAGTACAAGTGATGGGCTACAGCCATGACTAAGATTAGAAGGATTGGATTGTGCTTGGGTCAAAAAAGAGGTCATGAGCTCGAGCGAGACTCGGAGTGATGCAGGGTGATGCGCATGTCTTCGGAGTAATAAAACATGGCTATGCAAAGCTATGCGACAAACTCAGCGAATGGACGGAGGGATTTCATTTGTCAACGCTCCTAATTTCTTACAGGAGTGCACCTCTTGCATAGCTTGAAGCAACGAAAGTTGAACGTTGAATGAGCGAACGGTTGTTTGAAAGTTCAAGTTGCCGGATTACATAAACGCTTTAGGGCGGCCTTGTTCGGCAACAAATATCACGGACTGTCTCGCCCTGTTTGCTTTCAACCGGCGTACTCACTGGTGATTATACGTCTCTGGGGCGTATCCACCGTACAGAAGGCATTATTTCTTGGATGTAGTATCATCGCCCGCGAACTCGAATTCCTAACGGCCCAGAAGGTCGGTTAGCTCAATTGACTTCGCGCTGGCCACCTTTCTCAGGTTCCGATACCAGTGTTTCTAAAACTTTTCCGCGTGATTATGCCAGGCGTATCCAGATAGACAACATCTCTGCTCTTTCAAAGTCTCCCCCTCCCCAAGATATCGACCCTCTGATACTCTATACTGGACCATGTCCAATCCTGAGTGGAAAATCGCAGGCAAAGGGCACTGTATGTATATACGAGTTACTATCATTGGAACTTGATCAGGTGAGTCCATGAGTGCCCAACGTGCCCAACGTTCAACGTCAACGGTTACTAGTATGCCTGCTAAATTCTTTTCTTTCAGCTTGGGCGTCACCGAGCGGGAAACTTCGAAGAATCCTGAGTCATGAAGAACGCGTCCATTTCATTTCGTGAGTTTCGCGTCTGCAATTTCGAACCTGGATTCTCATTAATACTCGAATCATAACTTCATACAATCAATATTGTTGGATATCATGCTTAGTTTGCAAGCATACAACGATCTACGGACAGATTCTCTGGGTTACCCCACCTTGATGTATTGCAAGGAAAGAAAGATATTAGAATGACTTCACAGACCAACTTTGAAACTCACCAGAACGGGAATGCGATACTGTTGCCACCGGCTCCAAACACTGCGAAACTGAGGATGAATAGAATAATCTGACTCCCCCCGTCGAGCGCCGCCGACAAGAGATAGTTGTACTTAGAGAGTGGAGTCAGCAATAATACGAAAAAGAAATGCCGCATGTACCTTGACGAACCACCGTGGTCGACGGGTTCTAATCCACCACTGAGAAGCAAATCCAATGATGACACAAGACCACCATTGGCCATTGACAGAGAAAGGCAACCTAAACCCGGCCCCGGTGGACTCATCAGCTTCAAGGTTATTCAAAGTCACTCTTCAGTGCTCACCATCCCATATACAGCAAAATAATGGGGAAGTTGAGATACTTCATGGTACGGTTGATCCAGCTACCCTGTTTTGTGTACTTGTATACAATCCAGAAAGGGAAGGGAATAAAAATTCCAATGAACCTATGAAGCATGCTGATGTCAAGAACTGTGTTGATTAGCTATTGTGACAGAAAACATACATTGCAAAGGGAATAATCCAATAACCTGACGGTTTACCAAATGTGAAGAGTTCCTTGCCTAGCGCGCCCATCGCTACAGAGGCAGAGTTGGTCGATTGTATGATCCAACCGCTCCACTAAGGATAGTTTAAAATCGATAGAACACGGATTACAATATATGGAATGCGTGAGACTGACTATACGAGTGCCCGTAGGATCTTTAAGCACCTCTCGATTGGCATTGACAATTGTTATCATCACTGTTGACTGTTTTCAAGGAAGTAGCAGATGAAAGGTATGATTAAAACTAACTTGTATAGTTGCAGATGGATCCAATGATGGAACCCAGCATCTGGGCCGCAAATGTTACTCTTGGAGGAATCTTGGTGTACTGCCCGAGTTTAAGGTCTACATGTAATCAAGTAAACGAGGTCAGTATTTCACCACAGCTTTCCGTTCCTAAATTTACCTTGAAGTAGATACAATGTTTGAAATGCGGTGGCATTTCCGTACAGATTGGCATACATAACAGGAATAGGTTGTCCAGGAGGAAGGCAGCAATGATTTGCACGGCATACTGGATAGATATGTTGAAACCAGTGGTCGCGGCGACTGGAATCTGGAATCGATAAAAGTAACACAAGGTTCTGTGAAGGACACTTACTGAAGCCCAGGATGACCGACATGATGAATGCGAAGACTTTTATGGTACGTTGGTCATCATCAACAATGAAATATAATGAGCGGCTCACCAGTAAAGAAGATTATGCTCCATGCAGGGATAAGGACAGTGGGAGCTGCATAGCTGGTACCGATGCATACGGCAAGAGAGGCGAGAAGTAGAGCACCATAGGCCCATTGCGGAACCTCAGCTATTAAATTTGTGAATGAAAATACTTGCTGGAAGAGAGTTAAACTAACCGTATTTCAGCATCTCTGCGCGAGGATTAGGTTAATTAAGTTCATATTTTCTGCGGTGGTGGTGAAAATTCACCTTGATAGTGAGGGTCGTCCACATCTGCAGGACCACTCTTTAAAATCTGCATTTTGCCGAATGCTGAATAACACAAAGCTTATTAGGATTGACACATGACGAAAGAATACAAATTTACCTTTGCTAAGCTTGGGCCAGTGCCACAGAAGCATCGTCGTTACAGCAGCACCGAGGGACAAGTTGTAGCTAAGCTGCGCGATTGCATATGTGGTGGTGTATCGTGGCAGTCCAACAGTTTCTAGGGCAGTTTCATTGAGGCGATAATCCGAAGTGATGACTGCGTCTTGGTCATATGTACTACCATTAGTCCCGAACAGTGATGTAGACATCCAGATGAGATCGCGCCCATTGAACACATTGGAGTAGTAGCACGAAGTAAGGATGATATAGCTTAGAGCCATCCCAACTAGTGAAAAGTTTTGTTCAGGGAGTGAAACAATCTTATGTTTGGGATATACACACTGAAAGAGTTGACCTCTGTGAAGACCGGTCAGCAAATGTGAAAGGTATCAGAGTCACTTTTCTCAAACGCACGGGTCTGCAAGGGCCAAACGAGGGGAAATCCTTGGGTGATGAGAGTCCATGAAAGACTGAAAGAGAAGAGTCCAATCCCCTCGTTACTGGAACCAGCGCCAAATAGATTCCGTACAAAAGCATGCCGGCCATTATCAGCGAGGCAAATGATAGAGATAGCAGTGAGCACTGGAGATATACAGATCAGGACACATACGTGCAGTAAGTGGTTAGTTCGCACGAGGAAATGGGTATTGGGGTATCTATTAATTTGTAAGTATGAGAGGCCACACAACAATAAGTCTGGCCTAACCCATTCCCAAAAGAATATCGCTGCAAACTAAAAATCTTTTAGCTTGTGACATTCAACAATAACAGTACGAAGTAACTCACCGCCATCCAGAAAAACTTTCGTCGCTTGGCATTCAACGCTCCACTAAAATGCAAACTTTGAAGCAGGTTCACGACGGATATGTACGAAGGGTAGAAGGTACTAGAAAACATGGAGTGAGGCATATAAACGCTAGAATACACTATGAACTGACATACTAGGTTGGGTAGACCAGAAGTGTTCTCACTAGAGCACATAGGTAAGCCAAGGTTTGACATGACATGACATGTATGTTCAAAGATGACTAACATATTCCAGCGAACCCGTAACCAAGCATCTGGGTGGCAAAAATTTGGAAAATCGCAACAGCAGTATTAAGACGAATGTCATAAAAGAGGTCTAAGGATGCCCATGAGATCAAACGTGTCTTTTTGTGAATCTGAAGTGTCCTTTACTCATCGCAGCAATGACTTCCATCGCAAGGGAAACGTTAGCAGCTGTGGAAGCCATAATCACAATCGCAGTATGTTCTCTGTTAATTCAATCAATCAATGGAAGTAACCAAACTCATGAGCGTATCTACTTGATATTGAATGGACCCGGATTGAGAATGCGCCAATAGCCATGAGAAGGGATAGCTGTAGGTCCATCAGTAGGACCTAAAATATAGGAACAATGAAGCTATAGTAGACATACAGGCCATTGCAGTTCCAAGAACATACGCTATGATGAGACAAAAAAGCTGGGATACGGTTGCGTTCTGGGGCTTGAAAGTGTAAATAGTTCCCAGCACTGAAGAGAAAGCGCTCAATCCAATTCCGAGGAATACAGATCGCACAGTGACAGCTGAAGCAGTGGGGTCGTCTTGCAGAGAAATTACCTGCAGACCACGGCTATGAGGATTGAACAAATTTCAAACATAGGAGAAAACACACCTTGAGTGCGACTTCCTCTGCATCTTGTATGACTTCATCCAAAGCAGCTTCCGACTCTCCATCTGCAACTTGTGCGTCGTCCTTATCGGAGGGCGGATAACTCTTCTCGGTAGAGCCGAATTCTGTGCGAGGTGGTTTCTCCAATGTTGGCAAGGGGACCAGTTCAGCTTCGATTGTCATTGTCTGCAATGGCCGGGTCAGGGAACTTGGAAGGTGTCATGGAATATCTCTCCTTATCAGCTCCTGTACACCTCTGGAGCTTTCCTGAATCCTCTAAGGAATATCCCACCCATATATCTGGCAGCAGCAACTTTCCTGAATCTGAATCGGGTCTGAATCTGAGAAAATACTTTGGCATGGATGATACGAATATATTTGACCATAAAGATGAAAGAAAGAAGCGAACCGGGAGCGAAGGAGCACCGAACGAGTTACAGCGTAACTCACAATGGTATCCACGTGCCAAATCGCATCTTGAGTATTCCCTTCCATCCTACGTAGCTCTGAATTCTAACTGAGGTATTCAACTGAAAGACAAAAGAGGTTACTCTTTATCTTTAGTATCTCATCTTCCCATGTTACCCATTCTTATGCTTCTCACCCATATGTTCATTTCTTATCTACAAATTTCAATACCAGAGCTTTCGGAAAACAATCCTCAAAATGCCAGCTTCCCTCGGGCTCAATGATAAGCTTAACAGGCAGGTTCAACTCACTGCCAACCTCTACCATCCCTATGTTACAAATCTGGGTCAATCTTATCCCTCTTTGTGTCTCTGGCATAGCTTGGGCTCATGATGCCGGACTACAACAAAATACTCTTCAATTTGACCTCACTTTCGACACCGATCCTCAGATAGGCCTCTCTGAAGAACCGTGGACCTCCAAATACGGTGCTCAGAACGATTTGGGCTACAGCGGACCTTTGAGTTTCTCGCACTTCAATTACAAGAAATGCCTGGAAGACGCCAGCGTTCCCTTCGACATTGGTATCATTGGATTTCCCTTCGATACTACAACAAGTTTCCGCCCTGGTAAATCTTCCTCGGCTTATCTATCGATGTACGGTCAATATCGTAACTTTAGGGGCACGTTTTGGACCATACGCGATACGTTCGGGATCGCGAAGACAGTCTCTTGGTGCAGGAAGAGGTTACACGCTGGCCTGGGGAAGTAGCCCTTCAGATTATGGCTCTAGCCTCTTGGACTGTGGCGACGTGCGTATCAAACTTTCATTTCTTTGTATTTTACTCAAAACGTCCAGGTGCCGATTTCCGCTTATGATAATGCAAAAGCAATCGATCAAATGGAAGCTGCCTATTCGACATTGCTCTCCCGGCCCGTGTTTGGAGGTACCTCCGAGGTTTACAAAGAGAAAACTCGAGCCTTCTCCCTCGATGGCAAGGAACATCCCAGAATTGTCACTCTGGGGGGTGATCATACCATCGTGAGTTCCGAGCTGTTTACGAGGCAATCACTCAAAGGCTGCAGGTTCTTCCTATTCTCAGAGCGTTGCACAAGGTGTATGGACCCGTATCTGTATGTTCCCTAGGCCAAATCTTTCGTCGCTTAAATCCATGATCGTTGGTAGGTCATTCACTTTGACGCCCACCTGGATACTTGGCCTCCAAGGGGAACCACTGTCCAGGAGGGTATCACTCATGGATCGTTCTTTGCCGTCGCCGCTGAAGAAGGTTTATTGACAAACACTAGCATACATGCCGGAATCCGATGCAAGATGTTTGTGAGTCTTGAGACGCCTTAATCTAATTTGTAATGTGAATTGTTGGACAGGGCATGGAAGATATAGAACACGATGATACCGTTGGATTCCAGGTGATTAGTACAGAAGATATCGATGACTATGGAATCAAGAAGGTTATTGAGAAAATTCGACAACGGATTGGGGATAAACCAGTGTATTTAAGGTGCGACAAATCTGTCCGGGTATCACTCCAGGATCTGATCATGTTTCTAACAGTTTGGATATTGACGTAGTAGGTGAGGTTTCATTCTCATCGAAAGTTCAAAGATTTCAACGTTAAGCGTAATAAACGTTTCGTAGATCCCGGTCAAGCCCCAGCAAGTAAGCTATCAAGAGTCGCATAACTGGGATCAGTGCTAATCAGTGTCACTATGCAGCTGGTACCCCTGAAGTAGGAGGTTGGACAACCCGTGAAGTCAAGCGTATACTTCGGGGACTTAGTGGGTTGAACTTTGTGCAAGTATCTACTTTATCTTGAACCAATTCTCTCCGTAGGTTAATTTCACTCTCCTTACAGAGGCGTAGACATTGTGGAGGTTGCTCCAGCTTACGATAACGCGGATATCACTGGTATTGCCGCTGCCGACATTGTACATGACTTTCTGTCTATGATGTTGGTAGACGGGCCTCCGCAACCCCATGTTGGCCCCTTCAGCAAGACCGATTTGTTACTTTGAGTCCCATTGACTGAAAACTACTAGAAGGTAGACACGACGAGCACAGAGTCGCATCGATTTGGCCACATGTAAAGTGTTACCAGGTACACTCTAAACTTCTATATATAATGGAGTTACTTCTCGAATCTCAATCCTTACCGTACATCGTTCTTTTGCCACCTACCGATGAATTCTTGAGCATAGATTCTTCCGGCGAATTCACTCTTCCATTCTATGAATTGCCTTCAATCGGGCATTGTTTTACCCCAATGTATTGCGAGTATCCACCCTCCTGTTGAATCAATCCCCCTCGTCGAGCTATTTTTACACAAGGCTGCTCTTGTTGTTTCGGTCATGGCTCGAGATGACCTCTCTGACTCTCAATGTCTGTGGCTCATTGTTGAATACCTACCAGTGATTTCCTTGACACACTATTCTGAGTACACGTATAGTGTTAGTGTTTATGATGTTCTACCTGTCGGATCTTGAGATCACTGGCACCTCCCATTCCTTCAATTTTCTCCAAGCCCACTGATGACGCCAGATGTTCAACATGTAACTCTTCTGGCGTCATTAGTATAGGCTTCAGACAACATATAAAATTCAAGGAGCGTTGCTTTCTTTCCGGTCTTCAATTTGGTCTCTCCGTCAGGGATTGATTCGTTAGCTGCAGGGGATACTGCTTATTCCTTGTAAGATATGTCTATCGTCAAAACACTGGACAAAAATCGTTTAAAACAAAGAACAAGACAGACTTTATCAACGCACAAGGGAAGCAATAGTTAAATAATAATTGAATGTACAGCTCTACATATTTATCGTTAATTGTCATTGTCAAAGTTGTCCGGAGGTGAATGCATCATCCAACATCGTCAAAAGTCGCAAAATCACATGTATCTGCTCAATCGCTTCAGATATATTTAGTCTGCTCCATCCACCATCCACCATTGATGCCCAAAGGTAGTCGGGCTGGGGGATGATGCTGAAGAATAACCGTATGATTAGAAAAAGTTGACTTTAGAAGGTACCGACGTACCCAACAGTCGGAATGTTCGAATATCCGAGGATGCTACTTCCACCTGCACCATACCTGTACAATCAGACACGTATACAGTGAGATATTAGGTGGATCGATGAGAAAAAGAGAACTTAAAACGTACCATGTCGATTTCGTGCCATCTACCACTTGCGGCGAAACCATCGCCATCCTCAAAGAGTCCGAGGTGCCATTGAACGCGTCGATATACAATTCATGTAAGAAATCACTAGCGGACGAGTCATTCGCCATAGTCCACATTGGTTCTAGCCGCCCTGTGGGCTGATAGACAGGAACTCCGGTGCTGAAATCGTCTTTCCATTCGATGGCACCAAAATGTTCACAGACTACAGCGGCTTTGGCGTTGGCGAGGAGGTCTGGCCTTGAGGCCATCCAGTTAGATTCGTTGAGGTGGCCGCCGGACATATGGCCTGTAGTAATCACGAAGCTAGGAATGGTTAGGAAGATGAGTGCATGTGAGTGGGAACGGAGATAGTGCCGGGAACGCTTACTCGATATTGATACTGGGCCTTTTTCGGACAAGTACTTCGGCCATAGTGAGCAGAAGGATTGGACCTGAAGACCTTCCATGAGTTCATCGGGGTTGAAACGTTATGTTATGTTCTTGAAATATCAGTTACCATTCTCTTCAATAATCGAGGGACCATCACCTCCAGAAGGTCACTTCATCAGTTTCTGTATGTATGCAAGGCTCTTGATGAAAGACTCACTGTGGGTGTAAACAATAATTGTATCATTCGTACCGGCAGTTCCGCTCAGGTGTGAAATCACAGTGTGCGAAGAAACCTCATAGCTTGGTGCATTGAGCACAACAGTTGCATTGTCCACCTCCCCACTCGCTACCAAGCCTCGAATGAGCTCACCAGTCGAATTCCCAACGTACAAACTAGGAACGTCATAATGGATAGAACCATTTCCTGGTGCGCCGTCGTTGGGGAGGAATTGTAGAGCAGCGTCGTCGTCGGAGGTGTTTACCCAGGAAGCGATGACAGCGGAAACACCGAGTGTCTTCAGAGAGGTAAAGTCAAGTGTTTTGGCAGACTGCCAGTGAGGGTTCGTAAGGTTACCGATCTATTGATCAAACGGCATTACTATAAATTGCCTACTATGAACGGATGTTCTAGAAGAAAGCCGCACCTCAGGTATTTCGGTAACGGCGTCGATATCTCGAGAGGTTCTGACGAGAGGCAAATTAATACGACCTCTTGCAGAATGATTGCCTAACGTACCCCAGAAGTTTATACCCCGGAAGGGAGTAATTGTGTGTTGGGCTGGGATTGTCAAAGAATAGGACGGAACCATTCGCAGGAAGATTTTGGAGGTTCAAACTCGAGTTGACAGCCTTTTCAGTAACGTCTGAAACCGAGAAAGTACCTGCGTCGTGGATAGGTGCCGTTACACCGGCGACACCACTGTCTCCGCTGTACGGCCAGTATCCTGTCGTTGGTAGTCCAACGACGGTTCCGTTCTTGAGGGCCAAGCTCAAAGACCACCACTGAGGGTCCCATCTGAGAAAGAATCAGCAATGAGTTAGTAAAGCAAAGGCGAGTTCGAATTTGACCTATCGATGGTATAATTGAGGATTTGGACATCGAGTCCGGCGAATTGCATGGATTGCGAGACCAGGCTTGTGAGCGTGTTCTGATTATCATTCCCAGCTAACACATTGTTAACGAACTGTCCAGAACAAAAGCGAGGAAGAGACTCACTCCATCGTGGGCCTCTCAAGTTGGTTTGCCAGAGCCGGTCATGAAAACGTTGCTGGTCAGCCTGCGTTAAAGTGGGAGCAGTCGCAGCGGCTACTGAGAGCGCACTGGATAGCAAGCAAACGAGGGAAATCATCAGCAAAAAGCTCATATTCGGGTAAGCTCTGAGTCTGCCTTTTATAGCTTTCGAGATACCGTCATAACTCAGCAGACATACCTCGGAACGAGCGAATGAAACAAGGCTATTGTGCAAGGAGATAACTACCGCCCCACTGTATGCCAAGTGATAGGTACAAGGTACCCTTAAGTATAAGCCTTGAGACGAGTCATGGAGGGAACATTAGCAATTCAATCAGCTGACGGTGTAAGTGAAAAGGATTACTTCTACTTCGTGCTGTAACATATTGAACTCAGTACGAAGCCTGCAGCTATAATTGTCGAGAGAAAACCTTATGGAAAAGGTACGTTCCAGCTTTGGACGAATTCATTGAAGAAGAGCAAGGAATAACTCCATCCGAGAAAGATTCCGTCGGAAGGCAATTATCAGTAATGACATAATGCTCTCTGCCGAAGCCGGCAGGTCGCGAATCCTATTTTGGACCTTCTGCAGAACTTCGAGCTTCCTTCATTCCTACACTTCAGGCAGAAAGCTCCTCTCTCTGGGATGATTTATAGATCACGAAAATTCAGCGCCTCTCAGCGCACGTTTCCGCCTCGTTATGCCCTCAGTAACCCCGCTACAAAGGCTTCTTCGATGCCTTTATTGACTCACTGTAACCTTCTATTATCCTTTGTTCTTTGTAGATCACTATAAAATCTCGCCCACACACACACACAAATTTCGACTCCCTTTTCTTCTTAAACCACCACCATGGGCCAGCGTCACCAAGCTTATATTGTTGCTCGCGTCGTTCCTCATGGAAGCACTGACGGAAAGGCTTATTATCGTTCTCTTGGAGGTTGGCATCACCAATGGTAATTTGTTGCGAATCAACGCATCTTCCTTTGTTCTAATCTGCTTCTGTATTCAGGTGCTATGGATCACTACCTCTTCTAGCTGCTGATCGTTTCTTTGCGCTGATCAAAAACCCTGTGAACGCTGCCATCATACGTGAGGAACTCGAAACTGCGCAAGGCAAATACGGACGGCGTGGCCAGAAACCCGACACCCATTTTCCATGTCATTATGCTCTCTTCCTCGTCGCTTGTGCGTTCAATATCGATCTCGAGAAGAACTACATCCAGGATGGTCCTCTTGAAAGTTACTTGCTTCCCGCAACGATGGGATGTTGGGATGGAGGTTCGTGGGTTCATATATATATATATTGGAATCAAGCACTGATCCCTAGACTTAATTGTAGACAACAACGACGGTCTAACTATACTTGATATCACCAACCCGCTCAAACCATCTTACGCATTTGTCATGGGTAGCGAGACCGATGCTGATCTCGGTGATGAACCTTGCATCGCGGAGGATTATCTTCGTGCCTACTATCCCGATCTTGGATCTAATGAAGGAACTGAAAGGAAAAAAGCAGGTGACAAGGCTAAGCTCGAACTCGCTGCCAAATTCGACTCGATTCCCTTCTTGACTGAAGATATGCTCGCGGAAGTTTGGCCTGAAGAATTCGGCGCTTCTAAGAGCTCAAAACGCAGACGCCCTGCTGAGCGTAAATCCGTTCCCAAGACCATTCAAGAAACTCCTGTTGTGTCGGTTGATAGTTCCTCTATCCCAGCTCTCGCTGATCTCGTCGTTGAACCCGCAGTGGCACGTAGTTTGGAGCTTGGGAATACAGATGAGATCGAGCTCTTGATCCCGAGTAAAGCGCCTCAGATAATGAACGTTTTGCGCGCGCATAATCCGTTCCCAGATACAGGCCTTCCTCTGCTCAAAGTCGTACTGAAGCAAGTATTCAAGAACGATACTGAAACACTTGATCTGAGTGGTTTTTCTCTGTCACCCAACCAACTCGCATCTGTTGCTTCCGAAATGAACGACGCTCGAATCATCATTTTGTCTCATTCTTCGGTGGTCACAGTCGAACACGTTCGCGCTTTGTTAGCTGTCAAACCCGAGATTGACCGGTTAGAACTCCTGGACACTGGTGTCACTAATGATGCATTTTCCTCTCTACTCAAGACCGATCCCGATATCTTCAAATGTGTCAGCGATGTAGTCCACCACCATCTTGTTTCTAGCCGCCACACGAACCCCGGGTCGTTCCACGTTATCGCGTCGCAAGCTGGTTCATACGTACGGTACGGTGGCAGAGGCTCTGGCGGAAACATTCAATCCATTCCGATCTGGACTCCAGCCAAGATCATCCAGAACCTCATCGATATCTTAAAGATGTTAGTCACCGATGACCTAGCAAGCATGGAACCCACTCAGAGTATTTTGATTCCAGCCGCACTGAGTGCTGGATTAAGGAAACCGGGTACTTCCTGGAATGACCGTCCCGTACCGATGGTCGCGCGCGATAGGGGACGAGTCCACCATGGTGGATGGATGTTCTTATTCAACCGAGCTAACACCCCTCGCGGTAGCGCCCCAGGAGGCAAATACGCCTTTGTGAGATTGTTGACTGATCAAGATTGTCAGGCGGTGGATGTATTCGATCTAAATGGCTTCTTGGAAGAGATGAAGAAGGAGGGAAGGGCACCATTACCCTCAACGGAAGCGGTGAAAGAGTTTGAGGATATTATGGCTAACAGAGGGAAAAATCAGGAGAACAATAAGAAAACCGAGGGATCGGGTACGGAGGGTGCGCCTCAGACCATGGAACACATCATGCGTTTCCTCATGGCTGGGATGAATATGGGCGGGGGATCTACAGACGCGCCAAAATCGGGAGTGTCATTGTTCGACGCTGACTCGGCGACGAAATTTGTGCTTAAGTCTATCGCCCCCAATGCTGAGGGTAACAGTCAAGGTATGGAAGGCATGAGAGGACCTAGGATAGTCCTTGCTGGTAATTGAAGCCTTGCTACGAATATGCTCTAAATTGTGATTTTATTGAAATTCTCCAAGATAACTTGTAAACCATGTATTGCTCAATGTAATTTGCATCTTTGCCACCAATGTTACGTCTGTATCTACCCTAAAACGCGCGCGAAGCTACAGCACAATAAATCAACAGAACATAAGTCATCGAACCATGCAATTGTGTACTACGAATCCGTCCACAGGATAAAGTACAGAAAAATCCTGTAAAGTAGGCATAGAATATTCGTAAACATGCAACTAAGTCCAAAGATATATCATTAAATTGAGAGTTTTATTCCGTACTACGGTATCATCTTCTGGTAGTCCATCCATTCTTGAAAGCGCTCATCATTCCTCGTCAGACGGATAAAGATACCGAAGCCAATGATCAGTCCCCATTCCATGATCAGATGAGGCTAAATGGTCATCGTCACTGACAAAAGAAGCTGGTACTTTGTGTGGACTAGTGGAATTCGGAGAGCGAGAAGTCGACGAGGAATCTGGACTCGTTGTATGAGAATCGGGATGGTAGCGAAGCGAATCTTCGGACTCCTCGTCTTCTGCGGAATGAGAACAGCTTCGATTCGATAGATCGGATACCCAATTGAGGAGCCGGAATTCGGAATCCAAGGGAGACAGAGATAGGAGATTGATACGAGAGAGTGAACGTGGCGGAGGTGTGCGGGGTATGATATTCTCTGACTCGACACACGGATCTTCGCCATTATCTTCCTCATCTCCATCACATCCATTATCAACATCGTGCAAGGCTTGAGATGTTTCCGACTGAGTACCGTCAAGAGGAACACATGATGGATTTTTGTCATCGTCCTGCTGCTGAAGGAGGGAAAGGTTGTCGATTTGTTCGGTAGATTTGTCATGGATGGAAGTGGTAGGTTCAGCGAGCTCTTCTTCTTCGTCTTCTTCTACCTCCTTCCATTCGGTAGATAATCGGCCCTGGCTCTCCTCATCCGTCTCATCATATTCCCACCCAAGGAGCTCCGCGAAACTGACTCGCGGTGGATGCTCTTTTCTATTCCTAGCAAGATTTTTGAGCTTCTGCACGGGGGTCTGATATTGGACAGGGACACGACGTGGGGGAGGATAAAAGTTCGCTTTCCGCCTTGGTTTGCGTGTTGGTCGAGTGTAATTGCGAGTAAAGTTATGAACAAACGAGGTCCGAAATTGAAACGGATAAGGGGAACTGATTCCAAATATCTGTTGTGGTGATTGCTGTTAGATACAACACAATCAGAAAAAGATAAAGTAGAGACTGACGGGCTGCTCGATAGCGACCTCTGAAGGACTTTTTTCTTCTTCAGCTGAACGTTCAAGTCGAGGACGTCGACCCTTGAATCCACGAAAGGCGTCGGGATCAGAGTCGTCATCCAGGATAATAATTTTGCTTCGACGATACCAAGGCACCCTCATCTCTAGACTCCCCTCGGCATTGGATCCGGTAAGGTCAAAGTCCTGTGCTGCAGGCTTCTCTCCTTTATCTACTTTCGTCACGACTTGAACGTGGACAGAACTGGCGGCAATTGCCTCTTCTTCACACTTGATGAGCCATTCAAGCAGTGGCGTATCATCTTCCTGACTATCTGTCGCTACTGGGTCGGTTAGTTCTTCATCCTCGCACCAATCGCTACCAGTGCCAGGATCTGACAAGTCACGATCAAGGCCTTCTGGGTTCGGAGAAACGGGTGCTTCCTCCTGCTGACCTCGTCGACTTTTGAACCCTCGGAAAGCGTCTGGGTCATCGCTATCGTCCAGGATAATAATCTTCTTTCGGGGACGGGCAGCTCGTCGATGAGGATGGTCTGAAAATAGGGTCCGGTAAGCTTGAAGTTTTCGGCAAAGGGAAAATTCTAACCATTCTGTGCAGGTTTCACCTCTTTATGATCAACGGGACTCGATTGTTCGACAGGCCGCATCTCATTCTCAAGTGTATCCTGCTTTGCTTTGATTTCCTGCCAGAATTCTTCGTATCGAAGCTTGATTTGGGAATTTTTGGGCAATTCATGAGTAGCAGGATGGGACGGTGTAGAAACAGGATAATGGTAAGCAATTCCTTGTACATCCGTCTCGAACTCGAGTCGTTTGGGCGTATGAGATTGTTGTGAGGGAGGAACCCTTGGGATCTTCCGTAAAGTTCTTTGGGTGGGATCATGACCACCGGGTGGTACGCCAGATTTGAGAGGGAAATCGCGGGTGAACGTGGGATTGCGAATGACCTGCCTATCTGGATCCTCAGCGTTGCGGATGAGAGCGGTGAGATATTCGGAGGTGGGTTTTTTCGCAGTCTTTACGGGCTTCGATGATGGAGGAGGAGACTGTGCCAGGGGACGTGAGCTCGAGGAAGAGACGTTAGGGGGATGAGCAGAGTTCATATGGAAGAATATAATATGTAAATGCTGTTAAAGGCGTAGGCGTCAAGAAGCAAGATGTAAGGGAGCACCACAGTCGTAGAACAACGATCAGTTCTTATACTATTGTTTTTAGCCACAGTCTGAGCGCGGACCATCAACGGCCATGATTCGGCAGGGATAGGTGAGGTTTGATATATGATCAGTGGGCGCAGCGAACAATAAGATCGGCGCTCATTGTAGTCAAAATAGGAAACACGCCTCCCGAAATAAGCTTCCCTTCTTCGGTTAGCAAAATTTCTGGAGATGAACCTATTGATTTTGTAGTCTTTGGCGCGACACATTTTATCAATTGGTTGGTCTTTCGAAAGGCCCAGTTTGAGACGAGCCCAGTAAAAATGTCCGCATGGACTCTGGAGGCATATGAGGATCCCCACAAAGATGGCGCTCAATCCAAGTACCGCACTGTACGCAAGGCCTATGCAGAGTAGGAGTGGAGGTCGGCATGACGTGCGTAATACCTTCAGCCTGTAGAAGAACAATGCTTACGATAAATGACCGTAGGTAGCGATACACTTACTTTTGGCAGGGACCTGCAAGGCTGTCAATTTTGTAAAAGCCAACAATACATGGCTCACTTTCAAGCAAGCTCGGTATCAGCCTGAACATTTCCCAAGAAAGATAATTCTGACGTCAAGTTTTTTGAAGATGAGGGATGTTCTTCAAGTTGGGACATTGCCTCTTAAGTCCAGTGCCCAGCTTGGCCTCGAGTCTCTGTGCAAGATGTATTCAGATGGAGCAAGGAAGCAACAAAAAGATCGAGGGTGACCATTTCCGGACTAATGCGAAGGGAAAGTTAAAGCTGTCTCCCTGCGACTCGAGCGTTGGCTTATATACACTTGTGGCCTTGCTCCAAATCAAGGATACAGTGTAACCACAGATCCAAGATAAACGCCAAGTCATCGAGGGTGATAGAAGCTTAAATGAAGACTTGTTTTCGAGCACAACCAGGATCGACACAAACGACTGCGTCACATACATGCGTGTTCAAGGTTTTTGTCACATTGTTCGGCGAGTCTAGCCCCTGCTATAGCCCCAGCGACAGATTTCTCCAGTACACATTCTAGAAAAATATCACTATGTAAAGGTGTCTACATCTTTGAAAGCAGCGTGAGGGGTGCGTGGGGTAATATTGTGGAACCTGGGTGGCATACGATGCGAGCGTTGAAAGGTAAAAGGTAAGGATCAGAAAGATCGAAAAGGATCGCAAGAGCAGTGACTAAAAATGGATATTTGCTAGGATGAACAAAGCTTAAGAGACTGGGGAAATGAAGGATGTGGCTGACCCGTTGCTGACATACATGATTCTACGAATTCCTCGCCGCCTGACCGGGTAACTGCGAGAAAGTTCGAACGGCAGCCTTCGATCAACCTCCTCAGCATTCCTTGGACGAGAGCTGTATACGCGCACTACTTGCGCCCGGCGGTCATCTTCTGGGACGTAATTTGGACCACTGAACAATTTCTGGCACCTGCGTAGTACATCCAATTACAGGCTTTCGCAATTGACGGAGCTATACACCATCAACGCAGTATAATAAGAATCAACAGAGACAACATAAGCTGGACATCGCTGGGACATGATGTAGTGGAGTGGCAGATGATTGCTTAGAAGACGAAGGTCTGTTGCGGATTTAATGTACACCATGCCCATAGAAGTCATTCTCCTGCAAGGAATCGAATTGTCAAGATGTCTACGGTCATAAGTTACAGTACTAGTAGATTTCTGCAGTAAGATCTTGGGTAAACACAGTCAGTATAAGGTTTGGGCCCAAGAAAAAAATGAGAAATCATCTCAGCAAGTCATTCATGTCATTAAAGCACAAGAGTCCGAAAACCCAGGACCTTAGATCGGCTAAGAGGTGCCAATTGGTTGAAAGATACAACACTCGTCATTGAAGAAGGAAAGTACATCCAAAGTCGAAGAAAAGTGGAGTAGATTGGAGAACTTACCAAAGCCTGAGGCCTAATCTCCGATATAACCATAATTCACCAGAGAAAACGACCCGCGGACGAAAGAAAAAGGGAAAGAAAGAACGAGGAAAAGGAAAGGGAGCAAGAGGCGCCTGCACAAAAAAAAACTTCGCGTCCGAGAATATATACCACGCATTATCTAAGCAGATTGGTAAGCCGTGATAGGACCTATAAAAACCAACGGCCGAGGAAATTTTCTTTAACGCAATTTTCACAGGTGAGCCCTCTCTCCATTTAAAATTTCAACACCAAACTCATTTACCTCTTCTACTTTAGCCATTCAAAAGCATCTCGACGATGACCTGCCCGCCTTTCGAGGACTTGGCGCGGGTCGAGGACCTTGAGACCGTCATATTTGGTTGGAGAGCAGTCGAACTCTGAAGATTTTCTTCTTGAATTCCTACGATGGGGCTTGGGTGCGGTGTGCTCTTTATGTCAATTCTTCGTAGTTGGCTAGTGGGTTTCGTCGCAATGTCTCGTTGTACATCTTTACGCAGTAATTAAACAATGTTCATTGCAGAATGTTGCACGACGATCAAGCGCTTTGTCGTATCACCTTGAACACATTCCATCCTTCACTGAATTGGTTTTGTTCGGGTCATGTTTTTGTAGATCGAGACATGGAAATTGAAGCCTGTGACGTTTTCAGCGGTCAAAGGAGCAAGGTGTGCCGTGGTGTGCTCTGACCTTCATGGCTGTTAACGCCGGTTTATTCGTGGTAGATTTGGGAAGTCTTATCCTTAACCATCAACCTTTCGGTATCTCATCCTTCCAGTCTAAAATCAAGATGCCATTTTCCTCCTCCCTCCGCAGGATATGTGTGTGTTAGACCCAAATTTTAAGCGTAGAAGAGTATCCTACCGCCTAAAGGAGGATAAAGCAAACCGATGCGTGGTTATCCTGTGGCCGACCATGAGGAGTTTCTGTTTCCCGCCTAGGTCGGCGGCGATGGCGACTCGGGGCACCTTTCCGTTCTCCCTCAAACGAATTCAGCAAAAAAAAAAAAAAAAAAAAAAAAAAAAAAAAACACGCTGGATCCAATTAACGAATACCTCCACTCACATTGCGGGAAGCACGGAGTGGTGAACGTTCGATGAACTCGCATGACCTGGTGACTTAGTTTCTCGGTGAGGAATCTTCCATGGGTAACTATGCTTGCGCGCTTTCAAGGTGACGTCCTCGTTACTTGCTACCGCGAAGAACCCACCAAACAAAGGGCCTGACAGTAACCACTTTTTCATCTGTAGTGTGTGAGTCAAAACGCAAATATAGAAGTGCATATTGATTTTGCAAGTGGAGCTCGAGCGAATTTGATGGTTGTCGTTAACCTTCTTTTCTCCTTCCTACCACATCTTTAGACCCATCCGTTCATATCTTACAGGAGCGGTCTGTCTTTGTAAGTCATTGCGTCAGAATAATTGGACCACATGTTGATTTCACTGATGTTTAGTAAACTTCGAAAAGCCCAATTCCGAACCCGGAAATCACCTTACTTAAACACAGAACTTTGAATCCTCTGAAGACCATAAGCCCAACGCCATCATGTCCGAAGTCATACGCCCTCCCTTCACCCGAGAGACTGCTTTGAAGAAGGTCAAATTAGCGGAAAAAGCTTGGAACACTCGCAACCCTCCGCACGTCTCCCTGGCGTATACCCCCGATACTATCTGGCGCAATCGCGACACATTCCTGCAAGGTCGTGAAGAAGTTGTGAAATTCTTGACGAAGAAATGGGAAAGAGAGCATTTTTATATTCTAAGAAAAGAATTATTTGCTTTCACAGATGACAAGATCGCAGTTCAAGTAAGTAGATATGATGGATAATACTATGAAGATCATTTTCATTGATAGTATATCGAACAGTTCTTCTACGAATGGAACGAGAAGCCTGATGCTACTGGACAGTGGTTCCGGACATATGGGTTAGAGGTATTGTCTTTGGTTGCTTTATTTCTTTCTTGTTTCGACGTTTCTCTCTTTGGACTATAGGACTGGACTTTTGATCAAGAAACCGGACTCATGCGAAAGCGCATGATGAGCGGAAACGATGTCCGTATCACTGAAGAGGAGCGGTGGTTCACAAAAGGACCCGAGCATGTCGATGAGGTGGAGATCACTGAGCGACATCTTTGAGAAGTGTCCGAAACTTGAATAACTCATAAATTGTATCGCAACAGAACTACGGTAAAATGTATCGACATATTATCACGTTTGATTGGGCTCTATTGGGGTCAGGCGGAGCTATGAAGTTGCATTCCAGAAATTAATGATTACGCATACGTACCCTCTATGGTTAAAGGAGTGTGGTGAGCTACGCCAAAGAATATGTACCTACTGTAAAATCCGAGCACAGAGGTATCTTATGACATCAGCAAATTCGCTCAAATTTGTATCCAAGAGCAATGCAGGATGAGCGATGTTCATGATGTACATTGCGATAACAATCATTGCTCCGTCGAGGACATCTACGATGATTTTCTGAGCTTGTCTCCTAGGTACCATAGATTGAATGCATGCTCACTGAAGTATCGTTGGGTTGAAATGATTCTTCCACTCCAGCCATCAGTGAGCTCAATGGTACGATAGACAGCACTGCGGGGGCAGTCAGTATGAGTGCCTCTACTTAGATACGAGGAGGAACATACCGGATGAAGATGCAGATTGTGCTGAAAACCAAAGCAGCTGACATTATCTCGAGCTCGAAGTCCATTGCACCCCGGTTGCCACTGTTCCTGTGATGAACTTCGTTGAATGCCGTCTCGACAGAACTTTCCTCCGGGTTGGGCTTTTCATCAAGCCTGAAGAAGCATCGACTCTTCTGGGTGCGATCCAACGGCTTATCGTTGAAATACCGGATAAAAAACTCCGAAGCGAAGAGTATGTAAACCGTGATAGTAGCTGGAAGAGGGTTGAATTTTCATGAGCAGCGGAAATTTACCCCAATGGTCCTTCCGACACTCACCCATTTGAAAGACAATTCCGCCAAGCATGACATGTCCACCCTGAGGACAAACGCTTGTCAGGTCTTTTATATGTAAAAAGTCGAAAGAGCTTACAGGTGTAGGGTCTTTCCCTTTGCCTACAGCAGTAGCCGCCATACCGCCTCCGACAGCTTGTGCTAGTAAGGAGGTGAGATCCTGTAAGGAGTACTGAGAAATCGGATCAAAGACAGAATCCTTAATGTACATACGAAGGAACAAAAAATGATTGTATCTAGAGCGACCAACAACTAGTTAGTATCTAGTTGGCGGAGGGAAATAAAAACTGCTGACACCACCAAGGGGGAATTCGGCTATATTTTGGACCTAGTTGTTGAATCATGGAGCCGAGGATGATGAAGTTTCCAGCTAAGAGAGGTGTTGGAGCAAGGATCGTACAGGTGAGTCTGCACAGATATGTTACGACGTTGACTTTGTGGAGGTACAAGCTGGAGGGAAATAAACGCACTGCATCTCGTATGGAGAAAGAAGACTAGGAGATTTGCTTGACCACAAGCGCGCGCTCCATCCCAAGACCTCGAGTAGTCCGGCAAAAACCATAGTGGGAATGGTCCACCAAGTCCGAAAGTAGATAGCCTGGCCGGTATGAAGCGCTGAAGGAATGTTCGAAAGGTCATCTGTTGGGAGAGCGAAGGGGGGTGCAAAGGTTGGCTCCTACCGAAAGAAACACTAAACAAGACAAGAAATAGGATGGTAATATACTCAGTGGGAGTATAGTTATAAGGATGTTCTAAGAGTGAGCTTTCAGTGGACATGTTCAATGAAACGATAACTTCTTAACTTTCGAGCAAGGGGTTCTTATACTAAATACTAATCATGTTCGGCCGGGGACATGGCATGACTGGGGAAAGATGAGAGTACTCCTGGTGGTAGCCCAGTCAGCATCATTATGATCGCCCTCTAGTATAGGGTTTGGAGGGCTACGCTGCTACGGAAAATCCGGCGGCTGATGCGGGGAGAGACAAGATGCCGAAAAGTTGCGTGCCGGCTACTGGGTCTTGGGTCGGAGCGGGAGTGGGGATCCAGGAGTCGGACTTGGAATGAATTGGAAAATTTTAACTTACATATTCTGGGTTTTAAAGGTCTGAAGTGAAGGTCTGTGAAGGTACAGCATCCGCTCCGAAAGAGAAAAACAGTTGGAAACTCAGCTGAGAAAGACTGCCAACTTCATCGTTGGGTGGGTCACTAGTATATGTATACATGAGAAACAGGGCTCTTCTGCAGTGTCGGAGAATTTCCATTGTGTTTATTGACCAGAGGAAGAACAGGACGGAAGGCCGGACATCGAACACTTCGAATCGTGAGAAACATCATAATCAGTATTACTCTTGAGCTCAGTACCACCATGGACTGATACCCAGCTGATAGCTTCAAAATTGCTGTATTCCTCGTTAAATTATTAACTGGCAAATGTGTCAGGAAAGGTGCGCCTCAATCTTTTTTAAATATCTGATATCTTTAACTTGTTGGCAGATCGTGCATCATGCCATTCTACCTTTGCTCTTTGCCTTCCAACAACCTCCACGGCTGCACGTTTCAGGAAAAGATATTAAAGCTATACCCCAAAATGCAGGAACCCTAACCTTACGAATTCTCCCCAAAGCCATTGTATATCCTGCGTCCACCTTGACCATGGGTGACCCGAAAAATTCCCATTTTGGTTATGATGTATCCATGTTTTTCTGGAAGCTCATCGTCAATATCTTCTTCCGTGAAATACGACCCAGAGGTGCTTTCAATATCCCGTCCGATGGACCGGTGATATTTGTCGGTGCCCCCCATGCCAATCAGGTATGTGTCTGCTACATAGGTATACAATTCTTTGCACATTTGTCCTGACATACTATAGATGCTCGACCCCCTCCTTCTCAGCATACACGTATACAAAGAGACCGGACGACACGTACAATTCCTAACTGCCGCGAAGAGTTTGCAGAGAACATTCGTAGGGGCATTCAGTAGGCTCATGGAGAGCATCCCGGTAGTCCGAGCCGCTGATAATGCAAAAGCCGGAATAGGGACCGTTTATCTAAGCGAAACGGACTCTTGTCTAGTGTTCGGAATCGACACGAAATTTACCCAAGAATTCGCGCCTAGGATGCAGATTCAACTGGGAAAAGTCGCAAAATATGCAGCTGCCGAGGTTATTGAAGTCGTATCGGATACGGAATTGCGAATCAGGCAGGAATTCAAGGTTGCCAATGACTCGGGGAACGATACTAGTACCACGTTGCTGAGAGACAAAGTTGCGGCATTGCGTTCGGCTGGTAATGAGGGTGGATTGGAGTTCAAGACGGTTCCCTACATCAACCAGCAGGAAATGTACCGCTACGTGTATGACCGCCTTAGACATGGAGGCAGTCTCGGTATATTTCCTGAAGGTACGCTCCCTTTCTTCTTATCATATTGAGTTCACTTCATCCATGTTTCCAGGAGGCAGCCATGATCGAACAGACCTCCTCCCACTTAAAGCAGGCGTATCAGTAATGGCTTTAGGCGCAATGGCCAACGATCCCGCTTGTCGAATCAAAATAGTCCCAGTGGGACTCTCGTATTTTCATCCCCACAAGTTCCGGTCTCGCGCTGTCGTCGAATTTGGGTCGGTAATGGACGTTCCTATGGAGCTGGTGGAGATGTATAAACAAGGCGGAAGTCAGAAACGAGAGGCCGTGTCGAAATTTTTAGATCTTATATACGATGCGTTGAAGACGGTGACGGTCAGAGCTCCAGATTATGATACGTTGATGGTGCGTTCAATTTCCCTCATGTTGCTCTGTGCCTCGCAACAAGCGGACTGACCAACTCTGTATAGCTCGTTCAAGCCGTACGACGTCTGTACAAAACACCTACCCAGCATTTGACCTTAGGGCAAGTTGTTCAACTTAACCGACGGCTACTGAATGGATACACGCACTTCAAGGATGAGCCTAGGATACAAAAATTGCGCACAGATGTATTAAAATACAACCGCTCGCTGCGCGATCTAGGGATCCGCGACCACCAGGTGTGTTGCAGATTTTTGGTTTTTATTGAACAATGTTAATTTCTTATATACGTCATCACTTTAGGTTCCTCGAGTGCAGAAAGCAACATGGAAAATCCTGGGGTTGCTGCTATATCGTATCGGTTTGCTCGTTTTCTGGACCGTCTTTGCTATGCCTGGTACGATTTTGAACGGGCCTGTATTCATTCTGGCATCTATCATTTCGAAGAGAAAGGCTAAAGGTACGTTATCCCTCATCTCCTACCATACAATATGTCCTTACTCGGTTTCCCTAGCGGACCTTGCCGCATCTACCGTAAAAATAACTGGACGGGATGTTCTCGCGACTTGGAAAGGTCTAATCGCGCTCGGTGTTGCGCCACTTCTTTATCTATTCTACGCCTTTCTCGTTGCGCTCCTCGCTATCCGCGTTGATGCGTCATTCAAGTGGCGGACGTTAGCTCCGCTCAGTGTCTTTGTGGCATTACCTTTCACGAGCTTCGCTGCTCTGAAGTTTGGTGAGGCCGGTATGGACGTCCTTAAGTGAGTGAGACAGAGTATTTAGATTCTCAAGTAGAAAAAACTAATCTAATCTAGATCTTTTTCTCTCTAGATCCTTGGGACCACTGATCACAGCGCTGATTCCTGGTCAACAACGCTCATTGGATAAACTCCGAGCCACAAGGGAGAAGCTTTCCAACGAATTGATGGAGGTGATACAGGAATTAGCGCCTCGTTTGTACGATGATTTCGATCCGGTCAGAGTCAACTATGTTCTCAGTCATTCGAAAATTCATTTCATTTATATGCTTAGATGCGAACCATGCCTTCCGCGAGCACGCCTCCTTCTGCGGGTACTTCCAGTCTATGGCGGAGGAAGACTAACGTTGGTGCTGTCGATGCACAGGGTCTTGGTCTTGTCCACCCTATGACGTGGCTCGACGAACGGCTGTTTGGGTGGAGTGAATATACTACAGGTGGTCTCCAAGAAGATGAAGTTCGTGCGGATGATGAAGATGGTGATGCGGGTGATTACGAGGATGTCGTTTCGAAATATGATGAATTGGTTAAGGGCAATGATGGTGGGCTACGAACCAACTTATACACTGAGCTACGACAGCGACGGCTTGATTCAGATGCAGCTATTACACATGCAGGGATCATGGAACTATAATGACTGATTTGTCGCTGCTATGAACACCTACGCGCACGTCGCACGACGTGCACATTTAATATCAATTTTCTAAGTGATCTTTTTACTACTTATTGAACGCGGTTGTACAAAGGACTTACGACGAGCATTATTCAACTTCTCGCCCTCGTCAATTTCTTGTACTCATGCCGAATACGGACCAGAAAAATTTCGTTCAGAGTAGGCGAGAGCTGTGTAAGAGGTACAGGTTTCATTGTAATTGTACTCCGAGAATAACTTTTTCATTATGGTCCTTGACCCAATAGTTTCTCGACTTGCGATTCAACGACGCCGTGCATTGTCGACGAGGACCATCGCATACTTTGGGGCCTACGATGGAGAAGTGGATGTCATCTCTATCTAGAAATGGATCGGGATAGGCCGCAAAATGGGTTTTGGGAAACTGCCACAAATCCAGTGCCTTGCGAACTTCCCTACGCGTCAGAAAACTGTCGAGGAGCTCAAAGGCGCTTTCGTCGTTGTTGACTTCGAGATTGGAACAGGTGATAAAAAGATCTCGAGGGGTTCCAACAATCTCGATCAATGGCCATGGATTCTAGACGCAGGCGTTGAATAAGAATAATCACGAAGGACGAATTCTAAGAGATTTTGAATATTCACCGGTTCTACCAGGACATATTCTCCATAGGCATTCTTAATCCAAAAGTTCTTTTCCGGAGATTTGCGATTCAACAGCACCGTACACTGTCTATACTTTCCCCCACATATTGTAGGACCGACAAGAGAGAAATGGATGTTCTCCCTATCTAAATCGGGAGTGGGGTAGCCCTTGAATCGGGCATCGTGGGACTTGCCCCACCCCAATCTCGTCTGGATGTACGGATGGTCGAAGAACTTATTGACCACTGCGTCGGCGGATCCGAGGCCACCGCGATCTTTTGTACCGGAATAGACGATATAGTAATTTGGATCCCTGAGGTCTATCTTAACCTTTGGCCATGGTTTAGGGCCAGAGACGGATGGAGGGGGATATGGCTGGGTGGATGTTATTGGATTCGAACCATAGTTACGAGCAACTACAACGCTTCCATGGCCGTCAGGGTCACTTTGATTCTGAGTAGAGAGATGCAGTCATTCCAATGGAGAGGCTTTGAGGATTGATACCAGACTCACTTACCTGGGATCGAGGCAAGGCCAACGCATGGACTGTTATAGCAAGGCTTATCACAAAACCCAGCATGACATAAGTTTTTGCAGAGGTGAAACGCATAGTGAAAACGTCGAAGAAATAAAGGATAGGAAGACAGTAAAATGACACTCTTCGACCAGCGAAGAGACTCGACCTGGGAGTTAAGGGAAAAGAAGGAAGAAATTGGGTTCCGCCGACGCATCAAAGGCCGGAAGCAGTGCAGAACCGACGGTCAAAGCAAGTGTTATCAATTTCTATTTTACATGACCGTATTTGGTGCTTCGAAGTTCGCACAGACCGTGAATTGAATGTTCATAAGTTCGGAAGGATGGAGCAAAAAGAATAAATCTAGATACTGTATTCAAGCACAATATTCCCTTGCTGCCAGCAGCAAATGCACGCTGAAATGCGTAATGTACTCGTTGAGTTTGTATTTGTCAAAATCACATCCGCGCCACCGACAATTAACCACAAGCATCTCCTTTTCATCTGACAGTTTTGTAGCATTGTTTCTCGCGTGTCGGTTGGCGTGAATCTTGGCTTCGCTCAGCGATCTGGCAGGGAAATTACAGGCGAGAAGCGGCGCATTTTCTGCCACTTGATACATCCACTCGCATTTGACCGGGATAGGGAAAACCAGATCACCCTGGTCTTGGTCTTTGTCTTCGGAGACATATTCACTTTGTTCAGTGTTTTCTTCTTCGACACCCTCTTCATTGTCTTCATCATCATCCCCGCCCATGGCCTTATCATCCCATCGAGCAGGAACAAACTGAAACTCCTCCTCCTCTTCTGGTCCTTCGTCTTCGTCTTCGTCTTCATCTTCAATTTCTCTGATTGCGTCCCAGTCAAATTCCATCCCCTCGTCATCATCCCCCCCTGCATCGTCGCCGTGATTATCTTGATATATCTGCGATTCCGACAGCAAGGAAGCTGTATCAAACAGTTCATCATCGCACGCAGCACTTACTGGACCCAAATGAGGGTGTGATGCAGATCTGCTCAGGCGCCCAGCATCATTATTGTGGGGAGTAAGGAGCATATTGAGCGAACTTACATGATCATAGATGGCTGTGGAGAATAAGGTCGTTTGACATTGTTATCAATGCAGGGGCTATTCGGTTTTCTGGTCATCGTCGACGATGTATTCGATTTATCGGAGGGAAGCATTGGAGAGTTCAAGGCTAACGGAGTGTAGTTGAAAGATATTCCAAACGCAGGAGTGAGAGGTCTGGGAGAAACGTTTTCATCGTGGCGAATCGATACTCTACGGGGAAGAGGTTTCATTGAACGTTGCGGCGGAACCTCGATATCATTCGAAGAAGATTCGTCAAGGGGTTGCGACTGCTGGAGTTCGGGACCAGCGTTTGATTGAAGTGCTCGGGCACCGGGTGCTGTGGAGCTCTGTCCGTCTATGTTGGCACCAGTTTGAGAATCGCTGTGCGATGTCAATCCTTGCGCAGATGGTGGAGAATCAATGGTCTTCATCCTATCGTGAAATCTCGTTAGTCAAGCTAGTACTACCCCAGAAAGGTGGATGCCACCGAATGAGCAAACATATATCTTACATAGTTGACCATGCAGCTTCCCGATCCCAGGATTCGGCCTGGATAGCCCTCTCACTGAAGCAGTCAGCTCAAACTCTGTGGCAAAGAGAAAGTATAATCTGTCGCACATGAGAGCCCAATCCTCCGAACTCGGGTCTTCTATCAACTGATCTGACATATCTAATAATCACGGTAAACGCAGGGTGAGGGGTGAATTGAAAGGATTCCTTGGTTTGGGACGATTCCCTGGTGGTGGCCGTAAAGGAATAAGGTTGATTAAACCATGACCCGGACAATAGGCAAAGGAGTTGAAAGGTGCATGATCGTGGGGTTGAGCGTCTATATTCCAAGCTGAGCGAACGCCAATTGGAGGACCGGCCGGATGACTCGCGAATCGTTAGAACGGTCAATAATTATAAGGGGTTGGGTGTCTCAGCAAGTAATGAACTTCGAACGAAGCCGTATACATGATTGATCGTCTTTGCGTACACTTATCGTACTACACCCTGATGTATATATTAGGTCCTATACATACAAACAGCGGCGATTACGAAGATTGACCGATTTCTGAGCATATTGCGACCAAGGCCTTGCCCAGCTTCCGACAATCATCAAGCTAATTGTGGTTAATAAGCAAAACCGGTGAGACCCAATCGAATTGAGTAGGACGAAGGAAGAACATGCCCGAATCCACCATTGGCCATTGTGTTAATATGGCGTAGCACATGATATATCTCGACTGAGCATTCCAATCCCATGTACCATTAACTGCCGCAAACACAGTGCATGTAAGGTGAGGTTAGACCGGGTACTGATGAGCTTGCTTTGAAACTGCGTGACTATATTGGATTCGGGCCTCTTTCAAGAGCCTGGTGTGATATACGCGGAAGAGGTTGGAATCGAAGTTTGGATAATATGCTGGTTCCTGTGCATTGGGCATGTATAACAGGGCAAAACTACGTTTCGAATGAAGCCGTTTGTGGCAATTCTAGATGTGATACTATGAGCAGATATTCAACGGTGCCAACTCGAAAGTTGGAGTAATCCTCACTGTAACTAGTACTAGTATAATTCCGAATCCGTACTAAAAGTCCAAGTCGCCTATAAGTTATCGTGTTCTCCTGATCTCGAGAATAATTGGACTATTTCAAGTGATCAAAAAGACTGCGAGGAGAGATGGAGGAGGAAGACGGATGATAAGGACGATAGCACGTGGTGTCGTTATAACTTTTTGCTCGGTTTCTTTCATCCATGATCATCTTAAGTTGCCCTCCCTACCCTCGCAATCCTCGCCCAATGTTGTTCAAACCTTTTCACGACGACAATCATGTCCGCACCTATACACAATGCGAAAATCCCTGGACGGTGTACAAATGTAACTCTTAAGATGTAATACTTTGGCTTGCCAGTGGTACTGTGCACGTTCTTCAATTCTCAGGGTTAATGGTGTTAGGCTGACTCGTTCACTGATTCCACAGTACAGTGATCGCCCACGATGCCAATTGAGGACATTGACATTCACCACAAAGTAGTTTATGAAGCTGGTCAAGAATGAACGAAACTTCAAAATTCATTTGCCTCTCTGATCACCCTCTTCAAACAGGCTGCATAGCCGCTAGTTTGCTTACCCTTACGGCAAAAAAACGTTTCTTTTTCAAAATATGAACATAAAACCTCGAGACTCTATGTATGCCAATGACAAAGCACATGCTGTTCGATATACCCCAGCGAACAAAGCGTCAAGATAGGAAAGTCAAACTTGGAGGTGCTTCTTCCGGGACTGAATCGTATAGGATTGCATGTCATGACCAAATGCTATAGCGGACTTTGGTGAGGGAGTCTTATACTTTTTTGTCCCTTCCGCCAATGTAGGCCTTGTTCAACAAGATTGGGTTTACTCTTATAAGGCGAAACCGGAAGTTCTCCCAGAGCGCAATGCATAACCTCAATCCATCGATGTTTACTGTTACAATCTATTCGAACTACCTCTTAGCTAGATCGCTCGTTTCTGGTGAGAGTGGGGCGAAACGCAGAACACTGCACGCAATGCAGAGAGCGAAAAGTATATGGATACATGAAGGCGGAACACAAGAATACAAATGCAGGGAGAGGTTCCAAACAATCTGCTATACAATGAGATCCGAATGACAGATACTGTACTTGAAAACGCAAAAAGATACAACAAATGCTACAACAACTACATAGATGACTTAAATCAATGAAGGTGGTCAAGTAAAATAGATGCGGGACCTACTCGATACTTTAGTTCATAATTTACGTCCTTTTCAGCTTCAAGACGATGTATCCATCATCTCATTTAGGGTAGCGAGTATAGATTGCTCGTTACCCGTCGCTTCGTCGTCGGTGTCTGAGACCAACAGGTCAGCGGGCCATTCGGATGTCAATTCCGTCAAAAGTCGTTCAAGCTCCTCTGGACTGTTTGGACACGAATCTTCCGCGGAGAGCGAAATCGTCTCCGAACCATTCATTAGCTCATGAAAAAACGTAGCTTGGTCAAGCTCCGGCGCTGTGAAAGAGGACTCGCATCCGGGGCTAAAATATTTTTCCGCGAATTCTTTGATCTCTTGTGGGTCCATTGGTGGATCGAGAGGAGGACAATAGTACCCGTTTTCATCGAAGTAGCCTTCTGGACTCGACAAACGCGTCCAAACATCGGTTTCTGGCATCTTAGGCTCAATTTTCGACAGGATCTCCAATAGATCAGAGGGGATGCTACAGAAATGATAAGTCAAACACAATTTTTCAAGCGAGTAGGGGGAAACCGCTTACGGGCTCTCTGGAATATAGCGGGGTGCTAGCGGGACATTGTAAATAGGTGATGGAGGGACTGGTGGTTTGTGCAAAGGAGTTATCGTAATGAGTTTGGCGATGTTCGACATTGCGCACAAAAAGGTAGTGAACAGATTAATGGCGATACTATATAGGCCGTAAGGTAGTAGGGGGTACTCGAGTACGATGCGAAGTTCTTCGGTTATTGAGTTTGGTGTATATGAACGAGGATCGGACGACCAGTATTTATGCTATGTTGTATCAATAGTCATCTGGCCAAAATACAAGGGAGAAGGTGGCGTCCCAATTGAGAACAATAAGGACATCAATTGGCTCCCAGATAAGGAAAATAGAAATAAACGAGTTAGACAATGAGGGAACAAGAACACAATTACCGTCCCATATGATAAAAGGAATAACGTTGTATACACCTGTATTATTCACATTGCGTTGGATGAATGATGTCAAAGCTGGCCCACAAAAAAATGAATAAGAATCTCTTGCTAAACCTGTTGGATCCGGTTTTGAATAGTATCCCATGGTGATTGTGAGGTTTCAGGAGGGGACGAGGCAAGTACAAGGACTTTGATCTGGCTTTGATTAAATAGTCCAACACATCGTAATCCACCTCATTTATCCTGAGACAGCCACCAGCTGCTCAGGCAGTTAAATAAATAAAAAACGGAAGTTTGGGCGACAAGGAGTCTAGGTTAGTATTAGTTCTCGAAATGCTTCGCGGCGATAATTGAGTAATTCCGATTCAAAATGGCACACACGAGTACTATGTACAGTAGTGTACAGTGTTGCACATTTTCTTCAAATTGATCGACATGGATGAAGGGAACAAAAAAACTATCAGCACAGCTGAGAACGCCACGTGAAAGCAGGGTTTTTGCGATCTTTGACCTTGCACATAACGTTTATGGAAAAAAACTGGTTGGTTTATTGTAAACGGTACTACATACGTAGTTACAGGCTATAGTAATACTCCATTAACCTCTAAGTACCGGAGGATAGAATGTGTCGCGGAAAGTAAGCAAAAATTGTAGATATATGGAAGGCCCGAACGTCAAAAGCAGGGCTGATTGTTTCCAAGTACTCCAGCGAGAATAAGAAAGGATATAAACATAAGGTGAAGGGGGAACGCAAATGCGATGAGGTTGGCAAATTATCCCGGACAGGATAATGTAAAGTTTAGGAAAGGAGAAGGGGTGATTAATGAGCAAGAGAAGAGGGAAGGTGTTGAAGGAAGCAAGCGGGTACGGGTACGGGCGAAAGGTAATATGTAGAAATGGGGGAGGGAGAACGTAGTGAGATCGTAAGATAGGGAAAGGATACATCGGCAGTCAGTAGATATTTATATGTAATGTTAGTATCACAATGGTGTCTAATAAGTACGATGAATGCGAATGTGGAGAATACTGATCAGGATTCGAGAAGCAAACCAACAGCGATGAAGGGAAATGAGATACCGCTGGGCGGAGGGTTCCAATGTAATAATGTTTGCGGCGCAGTAGGAGGAACAGAGCAAGGTTTGTTTGACATTGACACAGACTTCTTTCATGCAGGTCTCCACGTTCCATCCGAGCGATCGACCATATCAGTGACATTGTTCCAGCTTGGTGGTGTTCGTCCACTTTCATCTGTTGACCCTAACGTTGCGGGTGCAGTCACAAACGACGCCGCTGCTGTGCTAATGTCTGGAGGACTGCTCTGCTCAGACATGCTCTCAGGGCCGGCTGGTCTCTGGGCAACAGGAATCGCAAACCCTGAAGGCTCGTTGGGTAGCTCCTGATGCATTGTAACTTCTGAGGGGTGTAACGAAGGAGGCACTCTCTCTGAAGGCGCAAATAGCGAAGACGGGGCTAGAGATTGTTTGGAATGCACCCCATGAAGCTCTGGACCGGCAGTTTGGGAGGCTGGAGAGGACGGCTCATAGACACGACCTTCTTCCTCTACTTGATCTTGATGTGCTCGGAACGGTAACGGTTGTCCAAAGGTATAATTCTCCTGGCTACTCATCAAGCCATCCGAACCACTTGCGGACCTTGAGTGCGTACGATCGGAATAATATGGCGAGTCCTCCTCAAGCCGTGCCATGGATGAATTTGCTCTTGAACGCACTGCGCCCTGCACAAGCTCCAGACTAGAACGAGAGGCGCTACTAACGTTCTGCATCAGCGATTGCGCCCTCGAACGAACAGACATGGCTACAGATATAGATCCTGTACGGGATCTAGAACCTGAAGACGACCCAGAATGGGAGTTTGTACGTGAGTTGGATCCAGAGCGAGAGCCACTACCACTCCCTGTACCAAAACTTCGACGGTGATGAGAAGATATATTACTACCTCTATGTCTCAACGCAGAAAAGGAGGTTTTTGGGCTGGGTATTCCGGAGGGTGCCAACAATCCAACAACGTCCTCGCCTTCAGCAGCTTCCTGTGATCCCTCGGGTTCAGGTTGCTCCATGATCGAGTCCTCGATACGCGAATCCAAAATTGAATCCTCAACGCGTGAATCATCTTCCAATTCATCCTCATGTTCCAAATCAGAGCTCCATAACGCAGCTTCAGGAGAAGAGGTGTTGTATGGGTCGCTGGTGCGGGTACGAACACGAGCTCTTCGAGGGAAATCGATACTTGGAGACGATGGTACCGAGGGTACCGGCACAGTCCCTGCTCGAGCTCTTCCTCGGCCCTGATATTGTTGAGGATGTCTGGGCGGCATGGGCAAACCACTCATACTGATTGGGCTCGCTGCATCAGAGGTGGTATAATGTGATCTGGGGGAATGTGAGTCGGTGGATTCGCGATTGCCAGTCGAACGTGTATTCTGAGAGAAACGCGATGCGATTGAGTGACCATTGGAGGGAGGAGTTGCGTGTGAGGGGACGCCAGAAGAATAGCTTGCCCCTCTCGTAGGATGACGAAATTGGAATGGATAACGAGATGAGACCGGGTGACCCAAGCTTGACATTGAGTTTGAAGCACGACCCGATCCTGAAGAGGAAGAAGGATCTTCACTTGTTGTTTGAGCCCCAGAATCCACTTCTTCTGCTTCTTCATCATCTCCTTCCATTGCCTCTTCTCCCTCAACTTCCTCTTCCTCGACTGTACCATGATCTTTACTTCGACTTTTAGTCCCACTGCTAGATTCCTTGAAGCTAGCTACAGATGGCGAGGGGGGAAAAGGAATCTTTTCATCGTCGCTTGACACCTGGGCAGCTCCTGATGCTGTGAACGGATAAGGAAGCTTCATTAACGGCGCGGACGGCGATGCAACATCCTTATCCCTCGATGTACGCTGTACAACTTTCGGAATAACTGCTGCAAGGTCTGCTGGTACTTCATAATGACCTCGAATCACACTTGGTCCAGCCTCGGGCTGTTGAAACAGATCGTCTGACAGAATTCCTCTGCGTGGTTGAGTGTGTGATTCCGAAGGGAGACCCACGGCTGCCATCAACCGGTCCATGCCTTCGAACCCACCTGGGGACTCGGGCATTGGAAGAGGATATGCAGTTCCTAAAAGGTCACTCATGTCGGAAAGCTTCTTGTGATGTCCCCAGCGTCCAGATAATGGATGAGCAGTAACACAGCAAAAATCGTACGCATCAAGGATCCGCATGCGGGTATTTTCTTTCCATAGCCAAGGAAGCGGTTGTTCACGTTCTGAAAGGTCGTCTACGCTATACATCGAGGTAATCGTCTTCTCAGCGTCTTCCTCTTCCCAGCGATATCTTGGGCCACATAAACCAGCGCAGCCTTGACCGCTCACAACCCATAGTCCAACCCTACGCATATGGTCATTCATAAGAAGGCAGGCAAAAGGTTTGGCACTCACCAACTAGTGAACAAAACCAGAATCTTCCACGCAGTCCATGCTGCGTTAGCAATGAGTACTCCTTGTGCATAGTCGGTGAGCGCTCCATTATCGCGGAAAAATGTTGCGTCTCTTAGGCTGATGCCTGCATCAGCAAGTGCGATGTTACCGGCGGCAGGAGATGAAAAGCTGAGGAGAAGGGCGAGAGAAAGTCCTGCCCGCGGAAGAAGCAGTGAAACAGTGGGAAGGTTCTGCGAGTAGAACCAGAACGTTTCTGCCAAACCATCACGTATACCACCATGTTCTCCGAAAAAGGCGGTATATCGAAGGTGTTGAAGAAAACAGAAATTCGAGTAAGACGTCAGGGAAGCGAATGTGAAAGCGGGAGAAGAAAGGTATATGGGATAAATCGCTGGTCGTTCTGGAGAGAAGAATAAACACATGTAGGTTTATGGAGTGGGGGAGACTCACTTGTTCTCCATCTCCTGATAAAAGAATAAACGAGTTCGTAGACGATGCAGACCACAAGGATCCAGACAAGCCAGCATGCAATGTATGCAGCAGCACCCAACGCCCAGTTTCTGCCAGAACCAGGTACTCCAGGGGCTTTTGGATTCGGATATTTAGAAACCCTATGCGACAGGCTCAGTAAACAGTATAGAGGCGACGATGAAATACTCACTCGATCAGTATAAATACAGCATTAAAGTCGAAGAAAGTTTGCAACGGTATGTGTGCAAAAGATAGGACGTAGGAAAGATAAAAGTAAAGTTTCGATTTCGGGGAGGGGTTACGCATAAGATCGAAGTTAACCCCTCGCGAGCGAAACCGTGGAGGAGGGAGCCTAGGCATATAAGGGTCTGGAGAGAACGCGGTCGGCGTAAGAGCTGACCCTGTAGCTCTCGACCATACACGATGGTTGGATGGAACGCGGGTATGATCTGTTGGCTCCCGTGCTTTTTCCGCTTCGCGCTGTTCCAAACTGACAATCCTTACAGAGCGTGGCGTAGGTTTCCTACCACCAAGCATAGGACTGGGAGTCGGCGGTGGAACAGACTCATGGCCACCAATTGACGAAGCAAAGGTTGAGGCTGGAGGAGGAGGAGGAGGCCTTTTGGGAAGCCATGTAGGATATCCCTCAGAGTCCCTGGACATTCCAGCGGGGGAAGAGGAATCAGGCCTTTCAGAGAGATCTCCGTTATCCACAGGTGACTCGGCGTCTCCAGTTGAACCGTTTGTCTCGGGGGTGGGCTGTCGTGACCGTGAACGTGAACGGGAAAACAAAAACATAATGACCGTCAGAAAGCGTCAAGAACGTTAAGGGGGTAAACGTAAAGACAAGGATCGCGTCGAACAAATTTTTATAGAATTTTTTAGAAATTTTCTGGACCTAGGATTGCTGTTCGTCGTCGCCGTCTACGGGAACGATAAAGACAGTAGTCGAACAGCAAAGAACCAGATTTGAACGCGCTAGCCTCGTGTTGAGATATCTTTCCGGCCTCGTGTAGTTGCCTTTACAAGCGTGGTCAGAGGACAAGGACGAAAAAAGCCAGGCCCAACGGCGTTCATCCCGTTCAACAGAAATAAGCGACCCTTTTGATGGAACTTACCTTTTATGGAAGACCTAACCTTAGAGACAAAGCTGCCGATCCCGCGGAAGGAAATTTGAAGCAAATGTTCCGAAATAGATAGAAGATCGAGATTCTCTTCTTAACACAGCCAACAGGCACCAGACAGGAAAAAAAAACGAAAAAGGAGTGTAAGAAAGGAGTGAGACTGAGGAATCAAGGATGCTAGTTGTAAGTGGTGGTGGTTGTGAATAAAGATGTAAAAATTACAATCAATCGCGCATTGGTATTCGTTGCTAAGGAATAACTCGTCAGAGCTCGCCGGCTTCACCAGCAAAGGCCTCCTCGCGCTCCTCAGCGCTCATCGCGGCAAGATACTACCAGAACCTACCTGAACAGCGAGCCATGCTTTATCCTGCTATATCTCATTTAACCTCTTAACGCAGGCTCCGGTGAATCATAGAGCGCTATAAATATTCTTCCGTTGATGATATCGTGAATGCCTTTTCCCTTGTCCCTCTAACACCGCGCTACCCATGATTATTCTGACTTTGACGGTTCGGACACCATTTGGCATTACTGTTGAGTATCTGGCGGAATTTCGACTGCTCGAGAATAGCCATTCTGACAGCTACCATGTATTTCAAACACGATCTATCATCGCACAATATGCTAACTGCGATTAACCCAAATTTCTGTAGGACTGGAATTACTGGCCGCAGATACTCACACACAACCTCACGCATTTTCGCAAAATTCGTGTGCCAAGTATGTATCCTAGAGCTCAATGTTCCATCTCGCGGAAGTCATTGAACCTTTCCAATCACCACGTAGACTCTATTTCACGAATGTTAATTTCAACTTCGTCGTACAGTGTCCAACAGTGGTAAGTTTCTTCCAAGTTTGGGACCTTCCATTTCTCATGTAACGTCCCGGTTGACTAATCCTGCACCCGAAATTCTGAAGGAGACGGAGATAGAAGACTTGGAAAATTGAGCGTTTGAATTGACAATTATAGAAGTCGCGAAGATGAAAAGTTCAGCGCAGTCAGGTATACTATAGGCCCCGGATATTAGACATTGCTTCGCGAACAGTTGAACAGGTAAGCCAACTTGAAGGTATCTCCAATACCGTATCTCAATCATGAATTCTCCTTTTTCCCTCGCTCTGATAATGATTCTCCAGGATCGTCACTCAGAGTATAAGTATAGGCATTGTACAAATCGAACGTCGAAGGATTACAGATACAGCGGTCCCTTCATTTATAATCTATCTTTATGTCGCTCATTACAAGGAGTTCGAACGATGTCCACATCAACGTCCTTCGCCGGTGGCACAATATGGGACGGCACCCGACGCTGAATCTGGCGGCCTATCATAGGGAAAAGAGGATCAGGTAAACTTGCTCATTATGCAGGTACTGCAGTGATGATCCAACAGCCGTCTGTGCCAAGTAATCATGAGAGGTGGACGATTCTGACATGATTCTGCTGACGGCTTTAAAGCAAATCTGAACATGGAATCATCACCAGAATCGTCGGATTTGGGGACTGCTTTTGAGGAGTTGAGCTCCATTTTCACAAGTCCATTGTGCCTTGCTTGACATACATGCCCATTGCAGAGGTGAATATCTAGGGATACTATGGTTTCCGATCTTGTGTCGATTCTTTCGCGCGATATTTTTTGTAGCGCCGTTCATATTGTATCATTCATGCTAATCAGTCATGAGCTGGAGAACAACACGTACTTAAATTGAATCGTGAAAAGTAACACTCGGCCATCGATACATTATAGGTATTCTTCAAGGCGAAGGAACATACTTAGTAGATACAGTGACAGCAACTCCTCCGAGCCATTGCTCTTTCAAGAGTCTTTGGGAATCACGCGGGGAAACAAAAGCCGACCAAGAAGACATCGACAGATCTGACTTCGTAATAAGCCTATCCATCAAACTCCTCCACTGGCGTAAGGAGCCCCTGTCGCTGACCCACTGTTGTGTGTCAACGAAGCATTCTCCTCCTTGGTTGACGGACCAACAGCGGCGTATCCTCCAGAAGAGAAGGGGTAATATGTCATCGGGTAGACTTGCTTGTCGCGCAGGTATTTAACACAGTCCGAGAGGATCCAACAGGCATCTGTGGAAAGGAGAGAATATTCGCGTCAAATGAGAGAACAAGGACAGAAATTGTTGAAGATGAACATACAAGCTTGTACCAACAACGGCACAATTGCCACTATGATCACAATCGCAATTTGCGCCCCTCTTGATAACGAAGTATTTTCACAGTTCCCATTTTCATCCGTGATGACACAAGTGCCGGTATCCTTATTATCGATAAAGAATATGACGATATTGATGATGGTGACAATCGTGTTGCCGATGAGGTAGCCTCTCATGAACGATAAAAATGATTGGATCCAACTGATTCGTTTGCGGAGGACTCCCAGAATACCAAAGGTCGAGGCGAGGAACAGTAGAGTATAACTGGCGCCGAAAAGAGCTACGGCGATTTTCTGATTCTTTGATAGCTCGGGGGATACTGGATAAAAATGCGGATGTGATATCGATGAAGTCAAAAGCTCGACAAGGCCGGACTCACGTTTATCCTGCGAGTTAAGATACAACCCCGCCCACATTACAGCTGCAACAAGTCCCGATAATAAAAACTCCACAACGCCGACAAAAAACTGCCATATGATATTCTCATCAGCCCCTCACACCTCGAAGGTTTGCACCCCGTCACTTACTGCACCAAGCCGAACTAGAAGAATGAAAAACCCCCGATCAGTATCGAATTGAAGGTCGCAATGCGTAGACCTACTAGGCAAACAACAAAGGAAATGCGGAGACATTCTTGTTGAATGTATAAGCAAGGAAGCTGATGAAGAGAGTGAAAGGAGAAGACGAAGAAAACTCACCTCCTTCTGGCCTCACTTTATGTATCGACTACCGGCGGTCTCGCCGATAAGGCATGTCCTGCAATATGATCCGAATGGACCGAATATAAAACGATCTAATTCAAACATTGGGTAAAACGTTTAATTGCACCGCCCCGGGAGTAGCCTGGAGTAAGCTGGTGTATACGGAAGTGTACGGACCTGACGCCAGCCAATAGCAACACCTCATTGTGTCGGTGGTTTTGAGCGCTCTCAAGTGCGCTCATTGTCAACTGGGCGGATATGCAATGTTTCAACCTGTGTTACCGCAGTCAATTGGGAACATACCAATTTGTTTTAGCACAGGGAAGTCAAGGGAGTTCAGTTCGCTCCTTGTTACTATCTTGCTTTCATATTCAATGACAGGAGTACGCCTTTCAAGTTCTAAAAGACCAAGACTCTAGGGACCATCTATAAATAGAGACTCCGTAAGATTGAGATTCGCAGTCTAGCGTAACTGGGGAAATTTAATCTTCCCAAGTAGGCCAAGGAAGGCAACGGATAGTATCTGAAGCGTAGGCGGAGGCGGGGGCGAAGGTGCTGTGTTCGCCTGTGTTCCTTTTGGCAGTGTATCGGCGCTTATTGAACAACCTGTACTTAGTTCAGACCACGGTTGGGGTACTTTGGAAAGTATGTATATCTTTGCTGTGAAGATCAGACTCTCAGCGGACAAAAGCTCCACCAAATACATATATGCAACGAGGATATTCGAGTCACATAAGTTCACATACCGCCGACGAAGGTTCCTTGTTTTTCCCCAGCGTCTTCTACTCCACCACTATTGATCACCGACCTCCAAGTCGTTTACCTTTCGTTTCTTTCCTAAAACTTGAATCATCTTCTCTCTCTCGATTGACCTGGTGCTGCCAGCACCAGAGGTTTTTCTGTAGGCGGAATAAACATAGTAAATATTCAGTGACAGCTACACTTCGGGAAATAGAGGAAGATACAATCCGGCTTTCTAATCATTCATGGCATCGAGTCCCTCCGCTAGCGTAAGGCGCGCCTGCCGTCGAACTACAATGATGTGTCAATGGAACAGTCTCCTCCTTGGATGTCGGTCCAGCGGCGTATATTGTGGAAGAGCAGAATGCTAACGAGGAAATAAACTTGATTGCGGCGTGGGTGCTTCAGACAAAATGGAAAATATAATGACACAAGGTGCACGCTGCAAACAGAAGATGGAAAACACTTACTATTATCTGTTGTACAGCACCGACTACAACCTAACAAAAAACTATGTAGATACATAGATATCTGAATATTCTAATCAGTCCCATGAATACACGTAGGAAGATCAAGAATGAACTCCACCCACACCACCGAGCCGAACCAGATGTTTGTACAGCCAGTAACAAGTCAAAAACCAGATGCTTTTGAAAAGCGGCAACACGGACGGCACCTCAGATACGAAGGAAATGAGGGAAAATCCTCAGTGAAAGAACGTTGAAGCAAAGAAATTTTGAAGAAATAAAAATGAAGGAGAATACAACACCTACATACCCTTCCTCCTGGTCTCACGTATGTTATCGACTGGACATCAAAATGACCAATGGCATCGCCACCGGAGAACTGTTGTATAGGAACGGTTGGGTTGAGTAGTCAACCAATCCCTTCGTTACATGATATATCGAGCGTCCCGAGTGCGCAAAGTTCCTGCGATTTCCCAGCTACTGGAGTCAGTCCGTAAGAACCGCGGAGGAAGTAGTCGAGGTACTACTGGGACCATTCACCTAGTTAGTCAAAATGAGATTGTTCCTGTTCCCTCTGGGCGAGAAAGTTGTGTCATCGACAGTGGTACTGCGTTTGCCTCTGCTTCCTTTTTGACAGTATCAGCGATAAAGATGGGCATTTTAAGGCCTTTTAGCCTTGAGAATTTCCGGTTGGTAGAATGAACAGGAGGATAACGCTCTTGATTCGGAGGTTAGGATAAGCTCACATATATATACAAATCAATAACGAAGGGCCCACTTGATTCATATATCACCGGTAAAATGCAGTACATCCGATCCATTCCCATACCATTCATCCCAAACGAATTTCGAATCCTTATTCTCATTCCCAAACGCCTCAAGCAAAGCCTCCGCCTCCGGCCCACCACCGTTGACCACCGGCCTTGCTTCCTCTCTCATTTTACCTGTTGCTCCTTGCCCATAAATCAACCTTTCATTTGGACCATCCAAAAAGGTCCCGATATGTCTGAATGTCAAGCTGATACGCTCTCCGTTTTGCTGCAGTTCTTCCGGCGATTTGGTTTTAGGAGGTCGATTGTCGTGATTTATTGCATGAAGCCAACGCCGGTTAGTCTCGAGGCCCATGACAAACATGGAGCCGTGAGGTAAAGGAATGCGTTGGGAAAACCGTTTCCCATCTAATCCTTCATCGGTGCGGACCTGGTCTTTTTTCGTTCGCAAAGTAATAGTACGCTGAGCCCCAAGACTGACATTTACGATGCTGGACCCTGGTACAACATCGATCGTCTTGTCAGAGTGTTCAGAGATATAGTCCTTCCCAGATCGATAATATTGAATAAGAGCATGGTTGACTGGATGTTTGATAATTTTTTGTACTTCCTTGCGAATCAACTCCACCGTTGGCGTGAAATTTCTGAGTGGAGGAGATTCATCAGAGGGGTGACGATAAACTGGAAAGCTTAGATCCCCGGCCACTTCACCTTGGACGGCGACAAGTCGAGGTACTTCACCACCTGCGACGTCAAAATGAGTCCAGGACAGTCTGTGATGATGGTCTTAATTACCTCTGTGGTGCATTATATCGAATGTTACTTCTTCCTTCACTTTCTGAAATGCGACCTCGCTGAACTCACTATCAAAGAGATCATAAACCATATACGAGTCTCCCGATCCAAGTTTTGCGTAGCTTTTCGAGTCCATTTTCGTTTAATAAAGCAGAGTTGTGACATAGTGACAAGTGACGGAAACTTTAGATCCAGTTACGTAATTATGATTGTCTGCATCTTCTCTCATCGTCTCCAACTAGTGACTAGTCCTCATTGTTCCAAGGCCAAACTGTTGCTCATGAAAGTGTGTCAATGAATCAAGGCCGGTATTGAATGTATGATGTGAGGAGAGAAATGGAGAATGATCTTTGGATCGGAAGAAGATCAAGAACTCTGTAGGAGCCAGCTGTTGCTTGGTGTGCATCTAACGACGGGAAAATTCGCTCGAACTGCCTTGGGCGTCTTAGGCGTACAACCTCGATTCTAAAGCACTTTTCAAACGAGTACTCAATTTAAAAACTTATGTAGGTCAGTCACAGCAGTATGTCTCTGACGAAAAAGGCAACTTTGGATCGGGGGGTCGTTCCCGTACTTCTAGTCAGAAAATTTTGTCTATGAAAACCAATGAATCCTGGGCGCTTTCGCATCGCCTCAACTCTCAAGATCGCAACTCTCAACTCCAACGCTCGTTTATCCGGCAAAACTTCACTAACCAAACATGCTATCACTTTTACTTATTGCTGCACTCGCCTCTATCTCCACTGCGACTTACGTGTTGAGTCCTCCCAACATTCATTACGAGTCTACTGAATCTATCGTCGCCTCGCTTTTGGCGTCAAATCATCTCGGCGCGCCTCTACCCCCCAATTCTCTTGGTTCCACCCCCGGCTGGTACTTCGGCGATGTTCCTGGCTCAGCAGACGATCTTCCATGGCTTAAAGATGTGGTAAGCGATATCCACTGTCGAGGTTAATTAACCTTACACATTTCATTTTTACTCGCAGGACTTGTGCTCAGTTCTTGCTCAAAGCCCCGGTAGTATTCGGTGTCCGCATGTCGCAGAAAAGCCGAAGAAGACATATTCCAGACGTTCTGCTGTCCCAGCCGACCCCGCGGCTACACCTGCTTCCCAGTCGCAATCTCCGGTTGCTCGTTATCGCATAATCTTCAGCGGACTTACAGGCGCTATACAAGGCTCTGGATACTTGACGTATGGATTGGTTGACACTGTTAGTGGTGCGTAATGTAATGTTTCTATCTTCCTTATTAGAATTCTAACGCATATATTTTAAAGACTGTGAAACGATGTGTGATAACGTCTCCGGTTGCGTATTTTTCAACTGTGAGTGTGGTTCATCTGTGCCCCGGTTTTGAATGCTAATAGTTGTATCCACCTTAGCGTACCACGACGTGAATGGAAAGGTCAGTCTGTATATTTTCCACGTCAAGCTCGTAACGCTCATTCTAATGTAATTTTGTAGAACGGAAGCCCTCTTCTCACTTGCTCGCTATACAATACACCACATACCGCAGATGAGGCTACCAATACTGGAGGGCAGACACAACCCGATGGATCCGTCAATTACATTACAGATAGCGATGGGATGGAACTGAATACTTCGTAATGATAGGCTCAACAAAGTTTCGGGATATTGGTCAAACAACGGAACGACATACCGGCCCATTTCTTCAAATTTCCATCACACACTCCTTTTCTATGCCTCGCTTTTCGGAATGAATCATTTGTATCCTCACAATCAATATCGTATTCCCTCTAACCAAATTACATTCACTTTTTAGATCCTATTTATGATGAAATATTTGGCTTGTTTGGTCGACGGTTCTTCAACCATTCTCTCCTTACCTGGTCGAAACCCGCCCACGTATTCCTACCTCCTACACCTTACTGACATCATATATCCCTAGATAGTACATATACTTACTTGTACACTTAGTTCTCGACTTCCTTCTGGTACCACCGCATCTTCTCTGTCTCCTTCTCCTCTCCCCCATCTGCCTTGTAGATCAATCGGGAACCTTCGCCTGTTTACTCTCGAGACCTCGTGAGTTATCTCCCTGAGTGTTGCTTGCTAGTAACCCTAGCAAGCTTCCACCTGGTCCAGCTTCGAAATTCCGGCTTCGCGGACACATCCGCGATTTACCTTTACCTTTACAATTAATTTAACCAATTTATGCATGTCCGGTGTCGATGTAGTCTGTCTTATTGCAAATGCACATTGAGCCTGTATGATTAGAACCTGACATTCTGTGTATTAAGAATAGTTGTCATTATGAGTAAAGTACAGGGTAACGATCGTTAGTCAAAGAAGGTGAGCATGCTTTAAGCGTTATAGATTTGTGCTCTAGCAGTCGTCAAGAATCTGAGCAAGATCGAGTTAGTATTACTGATCAAAACATCATGAACAGTTTCGCTCTTTAGTACTCACTCGATTCCAGCTTGGCGGAAGTTATCAGCAATCATCTCGGTTGCACCAGCTTCGATTTGCAAAGATTGTTTGCTAGACCCGTACTCGTTCCATGTAGGGAGTCCAGATACGTTAGGGTCAAGATTGTTCGCAAATGCCACCCTAATGATGCGTACGATCATGAGGACATATTACAATGGAAGAAAGAAAGGGAAACCTCACCAGTAGGCAGATATGTAGGAAGCAACGGTGTAAAGATCGCCGTCCGTCGAAGGATACGAGTTGAAAACAAATGGAACATCAGTCTCATGGGCGACTAGTCAAATCACAGCTGATTAGAGCTCATCTAGACTTGAACATCTATCGCAGACTTACCACCTTCCCAAGCTACCGAAGGGTCGGTGCTAGTCAATTGAGCAAGCTGATAGCTCCAGCTCGGCACATTCTTCTTCGCTGTGGCAGCGAGGAACGCACGTCTTTGTGAGTGAAAGTGCACATCTACAGAGCAAGGTTTAGGAAAAGGGTAGTATCCCCCGTATATAATGAAAGACGCACCTCCAATCACAGCCGCGGCTCTCTTAAACTGATCTCCGAAGAATGTAACATTACCAGTTCCGAAAGGCGATCCAGCAGCGGGAGTAGCAGGGTACAGCGTCTCCAAACAAGATACAAGGGTTTGATTCTGAGCGAATGGGCTCGGTGTGAGAGTAGGGGAGTCCACGATAGCGAGTACATTGAGGAAGTCGGCGGTGGTGTTGATAGCCTGCGGAACCACGAATCTTGTTCCTTCGTCCACGACATCGCCGGTGATGAAAGGCTTGGCCGTACTGTGAAGTTAGTCAATATCCTGTCCACAGTCCTTCACAGAGGAGTCCCTTACAACTTGCCCTCCGAAATGAGAGTGAAGGGATCATCTGGGATGAGATCTCCGTCGATGATTGGAGCCCAAGGCTGATCAAAATGTAGACAGGTGAGCACGAAGACTTCTCAGTTGTAAAAGACACATACCCGAAGCTGGAAAAGTGAATCTGGATCATAGGTATTGACAGCATCGAACAACGTATCCTCGTCAACGGTGCTAAGGCATGCGAATGTGTCGCTCGCGGTGTTGCATCCCACAAGGTTGACGACACCATCGTATACTGCTTGAACGGCTGGGTCATTGGGTTTTCGTACAGCTAACGTGCTAGCAGTTCCTGAGCCCATAATCTGTGGAGCTCAAATGAGGCAAAAAGGGGAATATTTGACTTTAATGCCAGGCTTACCACAGCGCGGAAGAGGTTCGAATCTGTCGTGAACAGATGATGTCCGATAGAAATGCTGCAGACAAACAAGTAGTCTGAGTTTTTTGTTGGAATCGAGAACAAGTCAACTCACGCGCCAGCAGAACTTCCGAAGACTGTAACCTTCGCGGGGTCTCCTCCAAAGTTACTGATATAATTTTGAACCCAAGTCAATGCATCTCTTTGGTCATATAGTCCGAGGTTTAGCGCATTATTGTCTGCCGCTTCTTGACCACCACTAACACAACGGTAAGCATCCCCGGACTGCGGATACAAGAACGAAAAACTTACAGGAAGCCCCAGAATGCAAGACGGTAGTTGATGATTACCTTGAGACAGGTCACAAGTAAATCAGGAAGCCGCGTCCAGCGATATAGAAACACGCACTGTAATGACTGGAAGACCCTAAAAGCACATATTCAGTGAAAGCACTGCGGTCAAAAACACATTCAAGACCCACCAGTTCCATGGAACGAGCTACAATGCCTGTGCCGGGGTATACAGAAGTCGATCCTTGAAGGAAAGCTCCGCCGGAAATCCAAACCATTACGGGTAAAGAGGCATTTGCTAGGGTATTAGGAGGTCGATAAATATCCAAGGTCAAACAATTTTCGCCATAACCATAAGCTAGGGAAGGTTCAGTATACTGTCTTATACTATGACGGAGGGATGCCAACCTCCGTAGTTCAAGGGATTGCCCTGGAACGCGAGATTTAGCCCCATATCCGAAGACTGACACCGGAAAGGATCTCACCGCTGTAACGGTTTGCGAACAAGCTACGCCAAATGTCGTGGCATTGACTATTGCCTCAGCAGGAGCAAGATACGAGATTGGGGAGCTGCGTTTGAAGCGAGAAGCGATACCATAAGTGATACCCAAAAAGCTTTCGATGTCGGCGGGATTTTCGTTGGATCCTAGGACAGAAGAGGTGTCGATGGTGACGGTGACGGTTTGGGAGAGTGCCTGTGCTCCCAAGAGGATAAAGACACAAAGTCTGTTAACGATGTTCAGAGCGTTGCGAGTCATCAAGTTCCAAACGTTAGAGTGAAGTGGAGGCGTACATTTTGCCAGCGTGTATAAATACACAACGATTTTGAAACGCCCGTCACTTCACATATCCAGCAATTCATTAGGATCTAAGTTTGAAGAACTGCACAATATAGTCAAAGAATCAATCGCTGATCCCCCGTCAGGTCTTGTGGTACTCAAACCGCTCATTGAAGGTTCAGCATCAATTCTAGTCGACTTCCGCAATATATGGTAGTCTGACACTTGAAGGTTTCCTACAGGGGATTATTGAGAAGCCGGTTTCGGGATGGTTGGGATCTTAGAGATGGTTCCTGATGTTGGTCCTTTTTCCATATTTCTCCCTTCTCCATCAGTCAAAAAGGACATTGCAGAAGACAGTAAGTTCGGGAGTCGGAAACGTCTGGAGACAGCGACCGGTACACTTGTCCTCACTAGGCCTTTCTCCCCATAAGGTTAATGAACGAGAAAATCCAGCCATAATGAATTCGAAAGCCATCTTTGGGGAATGTGTGATGACCGGGGGCAGATAGATAGGTGAGCCTACCCAGGAACAGGAGACCGAGCATCTGGAAGTACCGCGGTCCATGAGGAACCATGCTGGATGTATTCAGTGTCAATACAACAAGGAGTCGCAGCTGAATTACATACCTACAGTGAAGTTGTAAGACAGTCATCATACTATTACTATACGATATGGAGCACATGTGGCTCAACTGCGTGTACATGCTGCATTTCGACGTATGTATATGATAATTTCGAAAAGTTAAGAGGTCGGAGGACGGTCGGAGGTAGCATCTTCAAGTCTGAGCCGACCTGGAGCCGATTAACTAGCCGGCGGTTCAAGTTGAGTCGGGAAAATCTCGACACATTTTTCCCACGTTTTTATCCCTTGTCATTCACATTCACGGAACACAAGATTGTCGATATATTCCTTCGTCATTGCACTCAAAGGTCAGCGAGGTAGTATCTGGTAGTATAAGCATAAGCTCATCAAATACTTGTCATTGACCGCGACATGGTCGACCTTCAACATGTAGTTGCTGAGATACAAGCAAATATGTCTCCCAAAAAATCTGGTATCTGGTAACACGCACCCTCGGATTCTCAAGGTGAAAGGATTGACAATCTTTCTCAACTCAAACAAAGCGGGCTGTTTAATGCCGACGCAATTGGAGGACTGCACATTGCCCTGTGACCGGATGTTAGTCGCAACCTGTTGCAACCCCGAGCCCAATTTGAGCATTATTATGGCCTTGTGGAGCTGACATCGAGCCTTCAAGCTTCAAGGGTCAAACTTTCCCCCGTCATTGAGAAACCCACTGATAACTCTTCTGTACACGATCATCGAGGCTGTTGCAATTGACGCTTTGCGTCAGATTGTAATCCTGATGGATCGAGGCACGCATTCATAAAATGACCTCGGTGAGGCTACATTCTCAAGAACCCTGTAGATTTCGACTCCATATCTCACGATGATGTACTATACTCTTTCTGTAACCATCATCATCCTTTGATTCTCTCACGGTAGAACATCTACTGGTGCACAGAGATATCGGGTTTCGATACTGGTGTTAGAGTAAAACCATCCTTGTCAATAACAACAACAACCGGCAAAATAGTATGCTTCGACAACGAGTGATTATCGATCACCCCCGGATTTGGTGGATTCTGCGCCTCATAGCCTGGACTTGAATAGTAGGACTCGACTTGCGTGACTGAGTGCTTGGAGAGCTTGGTGACTGGACATACAGGAAGGGATCATAGTGCTCACAAAGAGCTTGGACTGTGTGCTCAGGAAGAGCTTGGACTTTTGTGCTCATAAGAGCTTGGTTACTCGCGAAGAATCATCTGGGTGCCCGGGAGGGCTTGGATTCTTGCCCCCTCAACGGTGTTCTCGAAGGACTTGGATCTGGATTTTTAACAAAACAAAGTAGTGCTCAAGAAACTGTACACGGAGTGTACGTGCTGGAGCTCGAACGTAAAACTGCGAGGCAATTCGGGTGCCAGACTGAATCTTGTTACGGCGTGGGATTCGAAACCAAAACAAACTCTGCTTGCTACCGAACTATGTGCTCGCTTTTGCAAACGCGTCCTTGAAACTTAACACCCCATTTATAATCCGAACTCTCTCTTGATTTTGTTAATATGTCTGCATCCACGGGCAAAGCCGAGCTCAGGCAAAACAGTCACTCTGAAAACTCTGCAACCTCACCAGAACGCCAATCATCCCCAAACTCTTGGACGTTGGGAGATCGTACATCGAATGACCATTCGCGGGCAAAATCTCCTCACCAAACCGCATCGGAGGAGCCCGAGGGACATGACAGAAGCGATAAGGACAGTCTACAGGGTAGCACCGAGAAAAGTAAACCAAAAGACAAGGTTAAAGCAAATGCGACGGCCGAGAAGTTCAAAGGGAAAGAGAAGGCAATCGAAAAGGAGAAAGTGACCTCTCCTCAGAAGAAGCCTATGCCAAACTGCCGATCCTCCACTCGCTTGCAGACCAACGACAACTCATCCTTGTCCATCCTTTCCGACGACGACGACCCCTCACCACCCTCGTCAGAATGTTTTCCGGATGATCAGGCTGCCATTGCTGACGCATTGAAGGTTCAAATACTGGGGAAGAAGAGGTCGACGGCTGTCGTGGCGTCTGCTCTGAACTGCAACACGCTTGCTCTGGGAGGTCATCAATTAGAGCTGGTAGAAATACAACGCAAGAACGAAGAAAGGGTTCGGGGTGAAATTGGGGAGCTGAGAGTGCGTGTAGATGCACTGGAAGTGTCTGGACTGGGTGCCCACGTAGACGAATCTGTCATCTCTGACGGATCAGGTTCCCCGAAAGTGCCTGCAGCGTCTCCTTACGTGATATTAGGACGCGTATCAAGGCACTTGAAGGCAACAACCATTTGCTAAAGGACGGTGTAGATTGGAAGCGGACCTTGGACAAGGAATTTCGTACGCTTAAGGACAAAGTAGAGATTTATGAAGGTTTTCCAAAACTCTCCCCCAGCCAAAGGATGTCATGGAGGTACGCACATATGCCACAAAGGAGTTTACGAGAATAGGATCTCTCATATCCAAAGGGCTTTCGGATCTACGCGAAGAGGTGAGGGTGGACCGAAAAACCTCGATAGCTGACGCCTTCAAAAAGGTCACCACCACCATCAACTCACCCAACGACACTCTTCGGGAGGAGAATAGGAAGCTGTGGGCCAAGCTCGATGACGTCTCCACCAAGCTTGAAGTAGCTTTGGCGGATAATGATGGTCTACGTGCTCGACTGCAAGGTATTGGAAATATTTTATGCCACAGAAATTGTCTATTCAACATAATTCAGTATGCACTACTGAATTGGGAAAGGGTGTATCGTCAATGCCAAGGGAGGGCAGGATGACTTCAAGCATACATTACGACCCCCATAATAAGAGTGTGTGTTCCATAGCTGTACAGGAGACATAGACGCATATGTAAATGTACAGTAGTATGGTAAACTGGTTGTTCGAGCAACGGACCTCGCCAGTATAATTTATATCCTATCCTATCCTATCCTATAGTGTATAATCTGGTGATTTCGACATTCTCGATGCCCAACGTATATAGCAGAAATGGTGGTCAATTGTTCTAGTCGCAAGTGCGGCGCCACCACTGCGCGCCCCTGGGGTTGAGTTCGATCGAATAGTCAGCACATGTACAATAGCTTTGGGGTCGTAGGAGAACGTTTAATATGGAAGTCAGAACACACTAATTTCAATCCCACGACTGTACATACTCACGATGAGTCACTAAGAATCGTTCGTGCACATGTGACTCGAATCACACCTTTTAAAAATCTTTCGTTTCCAAACGTCAACGTTCAACTTCAAATCTCGACTGCCACCCACCATGGGACAGTACTGGACATTGATCAACATCGACAACAGAGAATCTTCCGGACATCTGGGAAAGCTCGGAGAATTTTTCTGGGGTTTCAACAAAATCATTACCTATCTACTGGCCCCTAACATTCCTACATCTTACAAGTTGAGGACACCTATGGAGAAATTTCAGACAAACAGGTGAGTCAAACATATCAAGTTACCGAAGCTTGTTGTGCTCATAACACACACACTAAGTAGTGGGGCGACCCTGCTAACCCTTCCCGATGAGTTGTTACTTATTATTGCGGAGGAACTTGTGGAGGATTACCTGGAACTCATGTGTTTTTCTTTGACATGTGTGGCCATGTGGGAGGTCACCGAACAAGTTCGATACCGCTCTCTCTACGCCAAGCTGAAGACGTTCAGCTGGGCTGGTGGTCGCATTATCTTGTTAGGAGATTATGGCAGCGCCTTACCCCACGGAGTCCTCACTGCTGAGGATATCAAACAGCTTAAGCTGACAAAATACCGCAAAAAGAATCTCGGGACAGGACTCTATGACCAGCGGTTCCAGGAACCGAATTCGGACATTTCCCTTCTCAAGGACGAGAGAGTCCAATCTAACGCTACTCTTGGCAGAGAACTGGGGGAATTCTCTCGTAACAAGCCATTTTCCGATTGGATTTGTCTGAAGTGGAAGGACTTCATGCTCGTGAGAACGGAGGGCGACTACTGGATGATTCGGAACTTCACCAAACGGGAGTTCACCAAGTCCAATAGGCGCAACCTCACACAGGCCCTCTACTGTCTCATCGGTTGTTCCCAAGACCCTTCAGTTTCCATGCCCGGAGGCGAGGACCTCATTAACGGTAAATGGGCTGGACATAGGATTGATATCACACTCGCCTCGGTTCATAAGCAAGAATATGAAGATTATTCAAATTGGAAGGATATCACCCCACACATTAAGGAGTTTTTAGAGTGGTTGGCGAAAGCTGGGGGAGATAGGAAATTCAAATTTCTTTGAGAAGCCAAACCATTTAATATTTACCACCCATGTATATGGCTTTCTTATGAGCTGCTCAGGAATGATGTTATGTCTTCTATCGAATGTCTGCCTTACAATAACAGTCTACGATATTCAAAGCACCGCTCCCTGTATAGTCCCCCCCCAGTAATGAAGCTACACCTTTGATGCGCGCCGACACAATCAGTGAAGCTGGCGTAACCTCCGGTATATCCGGTGGCATCCAGCGTTGAGCTTTACAACGAAGGAGAGTCTGCGCATATGCCTGTCACTCAAGGGCCGATGTAACTTAACGCGTTTGCGCTGACGTAATTACTTATCTTTCATTTGTACTACCTCACCATGTACAACAGCCGCAACTCTTCCAGGACATCCTCAAAAATACGCATTGGAGACACTGAAGCCTTTGTTTTGAGCAGCGACGATTCTGAGGTGGAAAATTTCGAAACCAAATATATCTCGAACTATCTCAACACGAACGACAAAGGACCAAGCTCAGGAAATGTCGCCCATCCGCAAAGCAGCTCCAGAATCGTCAAACGAGGCAATAGAGGGAAGCTGGAAGGTATGCTCAAACTTCCCTTGGATCTGGAATTGGAGGTATGTCTCTTCATAATTGATCCCGTCGTCTGTGCTAAAGAACGAGTCTGCAATTATAGATATACAGCTATCTTGAACCACTTGACCTTCTTCGACTTTCTCGAACATCTAAAGACTTGCGTGTCTTTCTTATGTCCCGAAGTAATGCCATTGTCTGGCGTGCAGCACGCTCGAACGTTCCTGACCTCCCTCCTCTTCCGTCTGATCTTTCGGAACCTGAGTATGCGAATTTGGTTTTTGCTTCCTATTGCCACGTATGACCTTCACCATTCTTATTATTAGAGTATATTTTTTTGAATATGACAATTTGAATATAGATGTGCATGCGTAGACCTTGCGAAACCGTCATTTGGCAATGCCGCGTTCGTTGCTGCAATAGATGTTTTGATTCTACGTAGGTGTCCCTCTGTATAATCAGCCGCTATCGATTGAGGCTCAACAGATTCTATTCCCGCTCGAATTTGCACTCTGTCTGGAAAAGAAGCTACGCATCAACGTTCATCGTCTTCAAAGCAGCTGCGGAGTACATCCCTTGTGTGAAGGTTGCTCCCTGGAAAGGTCCTTGTGAGTGTGACTTCGTTTCAAGTGGAATCTCGTTGACCAAAAGTTTGGTTGTCACAGGGAACGGAGAAGACAAGGTATTTTTCCCTCCGAACGTCCGAACCTTGAGGCACAAATATCGGCTGGTTAGGAAAGGCGAGATGGGTCAGGAGGAATGGGTGGCACAGCAAAAGCAATTGTACGAAGAGATAATGGAGGTGTGTTTCAAGTCCGCCTAACTCATTAGAGCACTGGTTCTTATAACACTCTTTCAGCACACCGCTGCGTGCTCTGATTGGCAAAAGGCTAACAACGATAAACGTGCAGAAGAGCTTCAGATTACTCGATCCAAACGAAAATCTCTGTTAGTGAAGTAAATTCACTCACGTACGAATCTTTTCATTGATCTCTTTCTGTTTTGCAAAGCATCTACAATAAACTCCAGGCTCTCGGCTGGGGTGATGAAATCGATAGATTGGATGCGGAAGGGAGCACACTGCTTTCAACACACAAATTTGTCCGTCAAGCAAAGGATCTCACAGATAAAGGTGTGTTGTCAATCATTTCATCGAATTCTGTGATACAAATTGCTCACGATTGGTTGATCAAGCGTGGACTGGAATACAACCGCAGCTGGTGAAGCTACTAGAAGAGAGTCAACAAAGACGTCTGTGAATAGAGATCTCGATCACCTTCACATCTTGCGACAAAGTATCTCGGTTGTTATTTTTTTCAGACATCAGATTCGATTTGCTGTCGGAGTAGTGTAGAAGATTTTTTTTGTTGCCTGCCTTTTCGATGTTCAGTCCTCCCACCAGTATGGTTCTTGGATGTTCCGTGAGTTTTTTCTTTTTCCTATCATTATATATCTGACTTCTACGGCATTCAGTAATAGATTATTTATGCATCACAATTCCCTCGATCCGTTACAAAGATAGTATTCATAGTATCATCGTCTGCATGGCCTAGTGAGTGATACTTATTCTTGTTCAAGGAAGTCGCTGAACCCAGTCTATGATAAGGTGTAAGCCTGGATTAGATTGGATTACCGCTCCATATGAATCACATATCTTTTCTTGGACACGCAACACTTCGTACCACAGGCACACCGTATGCACAAGAAGACGTTATCAATCCTCGGGGCGACTCATGACCACTGCACCCGATGTGAATACTAGGCGTAGAATTTAAGGGAAGTTCAGGAGCATGGTATAAGCAGAGTATTTTGCGATATGTTTCCTGGCCGATTTTTCACTTCTTTGTGCGTTTTGCTCCATGTCTCTATCGGTGAGTGAAGCATAGATATCTAAGACCCTCACTCATACCACCTTCGCAGCACTCAGCCAACTTCCTGGGGCCCAGGACCCTTTAACTCCCGACACCTGGCCTCCGGGTCCAGGTCAACTCCTTGTTCCCCAGCAGCCCAATCCCGAACTCACATCTATACTGAATCAAATTGACCCAGCTCGCATCGAGGCTATCATCACGAAACTTGTTTCTTTCGGCACCCGAAGTACCCTCTCCAACCAAACGGATCCTGTTCGCGGGATTGGCGCCGCCCGTGACTGGATCGCTTCCCAGATGCAAGAATTCGCATCAGCTAGTAACGGACGAATGACCGTCGATGTCCCCAATTACCTACAGACCGCTACAGGGTCACTTACAAGCGATACGATTATCAGTAACGTCGTGGCGACACTCAAGGGCAGCCAAGAGCCGAATCGTATTTATGTGGTTTCGGGTCATTATGATTCGAGGAATACCAACAATTCGGATGGAATAAACGACGCTCCTGGAGCGGATGACGACGGAAGTGGGACTGCTATTTCAATGGAACTAGCAAGGATTATGGCTACGCATGATTCGAAGACGACGATCATGTTCGCTTGCGTTGCGGGAGAGGAGCAAGGGCTTTTTGGGTCAAATTTCATGGCAGAGCAGTTGAAGGCTGCAGGGGCTGACGTCCAAGGGATGTTAGACAACGATATCGTGGGTGCCTCTAAGGGATCCACAGGTCCTGCGGGGGACACGAACTCGATTGTGGATCCGTTCAGTATCAGAATGTTTGTTCAGGGCGTCCCGACAGATGTGGAGACCTTGACGCAGATACAGAGTAGGGTGAGCATTGGAGCGGAGAATGATAGCCCTGCAAGGCAGTTGGGGAGGTTCGCGGCGGAGGTGGGGACGAACTCGGTTACGAATATGACTGGTCATTCACATTTTTTCACTCGTTAGCGTGCTCCTATTGACCAATCAATTGCAGTTCAAACGGTGTGGCGTCCAGATAGATTTTTGCGAGGAGGGGATCACGAATCGTTCCTTAAGCAAGGCTTCCCTGCGGTTCGATTTACTGAGCCAAACGAGGACTTTGCTCACCAGCATCAGGATGTCCGGGTCGTAGATGGTGTGCAATTTGGTGATCTAGTCGAGTTTTGTGATTTTGAGTTCAACGCGCGGTAAGAGTTTCCCACATTTTCATTAATCCTCAGGCCTCATGACCTAACGAATTTTGTGGCCCAGTGTTGGTAAAGTGAACGGGGCGGTTTTATGGTCACTCGCTCAAGCTCCTGGCACGCCCCAAAACGTAGCAATGGATACATCTGTGCTTACGAACAACTCTACACTCACCTGGGATGCAGTTCTAAATGCTGCCTCGTACGAAATCGTCTGGCGAGCGTCAGATGTTGCGCAGTGGACCCATGTCATTCCGGTCGGGAACGTGACGAAGACGACGGTTTTGCTATCCAAGGATAATGCGCAGTTTGGCGGTAGGTGTTATTAGGTGTTATTTTTCACCTGATTACTGATAACGGATAAACATCTGATTCTCGTAGTTCGAGCAGTGGGGTCAGATGGATTCAAGAGCCCCGCAGGGTTCCCTTTTGCGGGATGAATTACGCAAATGATGGTGGGGTCGATGGTCGATGGGAAACATTTGAGAGGGATTGTACAAACTGAGTTCTGCTTACTAGTCGACATGTTCAATTCATTTTGTATGGGACCTGAACATTGAACAACCCTGAACGACGCTATCCTACTTATATCCATCGTCAGCGAATCAACATGTGTGCAAGAGCTGTTAATTCCCCTTCTTTGCTTTTCCCCAGTCATCATGGCTACAGCTTTGGGGGTGGCATCCGCCATCTACAGTCTCGCTGATCTGACCTATAAATCTATTTGCTATATCCGGTCTGTCAAAAACGCACCAAAGGAAGCGCAGGACGTTGCGAGAGAATTGCAGGCGATGAACGTTTATCTTAGCGATCTCAAGGATCTCCTGAAATCAGGCGGCGAGAACAAACCATGGGCAGAGTCTCTATGTCGACTCGATACAGATGGGGGATCTTTCACCCGAATGATTGTTCTTTTGACGACGCTCTCTCAGAAGATCAAAAAACCCAAGTCAAGATGGCTGAAGCTCAAGAATCGAACCATGTGGCCTATCATTGGGAAGGAAGAAGTCGAAAACTTGATTCAGTCCATAAGACGAGTTATTGCTCTGTTAATGGCAGCGGTTCAATTAGATGGGATGTGAGTGTCTTCATGTTATGGTCCTCCTGCATACGGCTAACGTAGACAATGAAGAAAGCTCGACATTGCTATCAAGGAAGACTTGGAGGCAGTTCGTGCGGATGTCAGAGTGGTTCGGGACCATACAGGTGAGCCCAACATTCATCTTTGCTCATACGAATCCTTGAACGTATATACTGCTTAGCTTTCCTGACAACTTTCATGCTGAAAATGGTCCACCCGGGTGGAGAGTTTGACATGATCAGTAGAGCGCCTCGAGATAGAAGCAAGTCCTTATCGTCTTTGCGATATACGCTTCAGGTGTATTGACCGGTTAATCCAGACTACGACCATTTCGTGGATATCAGCAGATGGCTTCTTCGTATCTTAGACCCCGACTTATGTCATTCTTTTTCCAACAATGTGTCAAAGCTTGTCTTCTCAGAAAAGTTGCATAATAGTTTAGTGGAGTACTCTAGCTTTGTTATTCCGAAATGCCAAAGACTTTGGGTCCAACAGCTTCCGGTATCTGATCCTAAACAGATGGACATAGTCAGGTATACTTCGAAAGGTAAGTAGCCACAATTTGCTGCACTTCCCTGTTCATTTTCATGACGATGTTATTCAAGGTAACGACAATGAGTAAGCATTCCGAGTTGGCATACCACCTTCTGAGCTTCATGGCTCTGTTTCTAGCTCACTCATATTGCGCATTCTACCCATCTATGCCGTTGATATTCTACTAGACGAGGGTATATCCATCGCTTGGAAAGCTCTTTATGAGACCGCCACTCGTTCTGGAACACAACCAGATATCCTTGCAATTCTCCTCGCTGATGAACTAGATAAGGTGCAATCCTTTCAGAGGCCGACCGAGGTAGATTTTCTTGTTCGGGCGAAGCGAGATTCAGTTCCAATTCCAGGCTGGACATATTTTGGTTTCGTTACAGGTCAAGTCATGCACGTATCTTTGTTATTTGCGGATGGCACCTGCTGGGCAGAGAGCGGAGACTCTGCGGGTCATATTTTGACGTCCCTGGTCGATATAATCGACCCAAACAACGTCGATTCGTCTATTTGTGCCCAATTTGGTTCAGATTTCTATGCTCGTATTCGTACGATACCCACTGCTTCAACACCTCATGGGTGTCCAGGAAATCTTGTTCATCTGTTTCTTGAGGAAACCGATGGGTACTGGTGGGGAGAACGGAACGGAGTATGGGAATGGATATCCCAAACAGATGTTCAGCAACTCGAAAGTGTCTTTGATGTTTGCTACGTTGTTCTGGCCCAATGCGATTTCCCATCCCAATGTGATTTCTTGACTCGATGTCATTGTTTGGCATACAATAAAGGAGAACTCATACGGATCACAAAGGAATGCAGTGACGGGTGGTGGTGGGGTGAAATGGGCGATAACTCTGGATGGGTTTGGTGGATGAATGTGAAGGGAGAGGAGAATATATCATGGGATATTATAGATGCAGATGGCCAAAGCTCAGATGATGAGGGATATGAGACGCCTGAAGAAGGTGCTTGAGAATGAAGATTTATGATGGAGGTAGCAAGAGGCAATTGCTATGTAGGGTGCGTTGCCGTTGGTTGAACATGCTTCCTTTTTTCACGGACACCGTAGACATACTCGGTGGGACCTTTTCTGATTAGGATATACTTGTCTTCTGTAACTAATGCTAGACCCAATCATATATAGGATTGCAAGACATCGTCCAGCTTTGCTTTCGCATGTCGTTCTAAAGATACCGTATAAGGTTCTGGAAGCCATTCCGGACATTCACATCTCCCTAGAATCATGTGGGCCAGAGCAGCTCCACACTTCCAGGCATTTACCATGCCCTCTCCGCTGTAGCCTCCGCACACCCATTCTCCCGCATCAGCTAAACCTGCTTGGGATTTGTCTACCTCTAATTTCCTTCCTTCAGCGAGACTAGCGGGTACCCGACCCACCCAAGGATTAGAATCAGCAGATAGTCCAATGAGCCCACTCCAAGAAGCCTTGGTACGACCCTTTCCCCAGTTCAGTCTGTCATCTTCTTCAGAAGACTCAGCATCATCCCCCCAGTTTTCGCCAAAGTAACAAGGAAGGACACTAGATAGATATGTGCTTAGCTCAGGGATACTTTGTGTATCATCGGTGTTCCCGAGTTGAGCGCAGAAAAGTTCGGGATTGAAAGCAAGGCCTCCTCCAAACATGAGTTCAGTTCGAGGAAGAGGATATTTTGATGCCGACGACACTTTGCATGGTTGCATTTGTTGTGTCAGGTAATCAAAAATACCGTCTTTGCCACCTGTGTAAAAGATGAACGTCCGCGAGCCTTGCCAGTTCGAACTAGATGATGGTGTAGTCGACAAAGACGGGGGGATTTGGCCGAATCCTAGACCAGTCCCAGGACGTTGCGATGTCATTTCTCCGCGAAGAGGAACAATTTTTCGACGGAAGCCAGGGAGAAGATGGGACGTCCACGCGTTTGTAGCATGTACAATGTGAGCAGATCTGATGGTACCCTTTGGTGTTTCTATAACGTAGGTTGAGGACGCTGCGGTGATTGATATACAGGGAGTTTTTGCGAGTATTTGAAAACTACACAGAGAAGTGAATTATGAAATTAGACTTTTTTTCGAAGCTTGTTTGAATGGGATTGAATCGAACTTTGCAGTATGGGATTTAAGAAGACGCGAGAGGATGCCTGTTACGAAGCGGTAGGCATGCATGGTACCAAATACTGTCCCAATAACTCCACTGAATGAGGAGCTTAGTTGAAGAGCCTGATTGGATCCGAGATCAGACTGAGTCTTGACTCGCGTTTCAATAGGGTGCTCACTTGCAGTTGTTCCTTGTCTTCGTAAAGCCGGGTGACTTGATGGAGAGAGGAAAGTTCTTCTTCCTTCCTATATTCTGTATAGTTTTCACGAGCGATTTCGAATCTAGTACGATCTACGTAAGCGTCAAATGAGTCTGTGAGCCGACATTGGCTGTCCTCAAGGAGACCATCCTCTTCCGCAATTGATAGTAGTTTATGAACATGCGAGACTTGGAATTTTATTATCTCATGTGCAGTTTCTTTGCCATAAGTCTTGACCAGTTCGGGGTACTGGTGATACCTGTTCTCAACCCTGTCTGAAACTTTTTTCAATAGATTTGTGGCAGAAAGCAGTCGTACCATGCTGGAGTTATATGGCCACCATTACTGTAGAGCCATGGTGATAAATAATATTAACACCGTCATTGAACAAAAAGGAGGCCAAGGGACTTTTACCGAGCCGTAGCCCCAGAACAGACTTCTCGAGCCTCAAGCATAACAATTCGAACATCAGAAGAGTTCTCTCCGAGCTCTCGAAGCAAGGTGCGAGCAATGCTCGCTCCAGTGATCCCACTCCCGATAATCACAATGTCTGCTTTCTCAGGGAGTACATCTTGAGCACCCCATTGAGAGATATTCGAAGGTGGAACTGGCCAGTAAGAGCGGGTAGGACTGGGGCGAGGAATTCCGGGGGATTGCGAGATGCGATGTTGAGTGACTGGATCCATACGCGAAAGAGTTCTGCGGCTAAATTATTCGTGATGGAAGAACGATAACGAAGTGGCGCAAAGACACGTGGCAAATTCAAACATGTGCTACTACTTACTATTCAACGCTACTCAAGCGCTCTGTACCAGATGCGATACATAGGTCGGGAAATTGAGGAGGTAATCCAGTTTTGAGCTTATGAATATACATGTTTTGCTGATTAGTAGAGTGCGTATAATTTGTTTTTGATATTTTCCTTTTCAGTCTGAAGCACTGGCATAGTCTTTATAAAAATTCATACCTTGATTTTCAGATACCAGCAGTCCTGGAACATTCAAATTAGTATGGTCAATGTTCAGAGGAAGATCTGTACTAAATCAAGGTATTACTACTACATTGTGCTACTTGCCGTACTAGGGAGATCATGATATTTCCATCATTTCTTGTTGCTTCTCACCGATTTGTTCCAACATCTCTACTAGTACCTGACTCTCCTCCACAGTGAAAATGTGCATCGATCCTAACACTGCCATTTATCTATGATGCATTAGCAGGGTGTGCTCTCAAATACACAACAGCATCTGTCTCCTTCCCAGCTTCTGCTGCTTTCAATGCAGTCCTAAATTTTCCTTGTGCTTTAACATCAGCGCCATGCTCAACTAAATATTTCACAATATCTAGTCTTCCCCAATATGCTGCAGCTTGCAGGGCATTCCCATATTCCCCTCCCCATGCATTGACATCTGCATCTTGTTCCACAAGAAACTCAACTATTTCAAGATTCCCCCCATATGCTGCTGTCTGAAGTGCATTCCCATATTTACCTCCCTGGCCATTGACATCTGCACCTTTCTCCACTAGGAGCTTGACTATATCTAAACTTCCCTGGAATGCTGCTACCTCAAGTGCATTTCCAAATTTTCCACCTTCTGCATTGATGTTGGCACCATTCTCCAGGAGACATTGTGTTAAACCCAAATTTCTCATGTAAACAGCTGCATATAATGCATTTCCATATCTCCCTCCTTGTGCATTGACATCTGCACCATTTTCCAAAAGATATCTGAGGATACTGAGGTGTTCTCTATATGCTGCTGCCTGGAGTGGGTTTCCATATTCACCTCCCTGTGTATTAACATTTGCACCATTCTTCACAAGAAACTTGACAATCTCTAGACTGCTATTATATGCTGCTGCCTGGAGTGCACTCCCAAAATACCATACTGGGGCATGAATATTTGCACCATTTTCTGTCAAAATTTGTGTCATTTCATAATGATTCTGACATATTGCAGACACCAGTGATATATTTTTCCACTCATTGTCAATCCCTAATGCTTCTTGAAAACCAATGTCTTGTGGGTATTTGAAGAATTTCACAATGGTATCAACTTCATTATGAGAGACAACATTATCCCAGAAGGATTTTGTGCCCTTGACAATGGGATTTGCCCAGTTAGCAAGTGAGTGGTCATTTGTTATCAGTTTTGTCATGTCAAAAGCTAATGTTGGCCATTGTTGTAGGCTGTGAATGATATGATCAGGTTCCTCTGATTTTGACCATGCACCCCATAGAGCTTTGGTGACTTGGGTTGCATATTTCTCCAACTTTTGATAGTATATAAAAGTGGGGTACCTCCATGCAGGATCTTGCTTCAATACTCTATAAATGGGTTGAGCAACAATGTGTTGTATAGATTGATTTGACTCTGATGAAATAAGCCACACAAAGATGTCTCCCAAAATTCCCTGTGCTCCATTCTTCAAGTGCCACAGTTCATGATCCCTCAGATTTGCAGTTTGTGATAATGATAATAATGGTGTATATCCATATCTTTGTTTGAAAGCATCTATGTTTCCTAAAGTCTTTGCTACAACCCATCCAAGTATCCATGTCAAAGCTTTGAATGCATGGATTCCATGTTTTATGGGTGCAAAAAGCAATGGTATCCTATATGGGCACTCAAGCCTGAATTGAGGAATGAAGATACTCCCAAAGTAAAACATGAATGCAAGACTTGTGATGGTCACCAAGATCCAGCAAAGTGAGCTGTGGAGGACTGAGATGTACAATGTCAAGCCTATTAGAAATAGGGCAAGAGACATGTGTAGGATAATAGGAAGGACTCCAATGATTTCTGGGACTTTCCATTTTACTAGACCATGATATCTGAATTGGCGGATCATTGCTCTTTGTTTTGCATTTCCTGCTAATATGGAGGTGTAGGCTTGGAGCCATTGTTTTACAAGGACTGACAGAAGTGCAGTCACCAGGGCCAGTGATAGGCTTGTGAGGAATAAACCATTAACCCAAAGGGTGTTAGCATCCACTGACGCATTCTGCAGATCAATTGAAGAATGGGGAATAGCATTGATTGCAGTAGAATTTCCAGCAGCCCTAAGGAGTTGAACCTGCTCCATCAGAAGAACTGCAGAGATTTGTGAATAATCTGGTTGAAGAGAAGCTATGGTTGCAATGATGAAGGATGTGACCACTGCAGAAAAAAGTGCTGCCTAATTCAAGGGGCCCAGAGTGAATGATATTCTTTTAAATTAAAATTGCTGCAATACTTACAAATACCAGCAATGAATCAATTGTCTCTCTAAAGCCTCTCAGCATATCATCATCAAAGCTTTCTGTCTCATCCAGATAAACCTTGAAGACCCGGGCATTTTCATTCAGCTCCTCACCAAGAGGATCAGGTGCATATTTCTCTTCATAATTGAAAGACCTTCCTCCTGTTAGGATATAAACAAAAGACTTTTTAGAAGAGATATTAAATATCTTTTACCTGAATACTGAGTATGAGGATGAGCCTGTGAGATACCAAGCAGAGATGGCAGTGGAGCACTGCCATCCTTAACTCTCCTGTTCAAATTGTTCTCGGAGATAGAGCTGGGTGCATTTTGGTCATTTTGTACGATGTGAGGGTTGGAAGGAGATCGGACTGTTGGACCAAGGCCAGGTCTGGAGTTTGAGTTGGATACAGGAGCAATGTCTATAGTAGGAGGAGGAGTTGAAGCAGTAGACTTTTGACCATCTCGAGACATATTAAGCAGTTTATCGATGTTAGTTTGCACTTGGTGGTGGGGATAGACTGCAAGTTTCTTGACCACGTCAAGTGGGGCTTATATCTATACCAACTATAAAATTCATCCGTGGGCCATGTGCGTGGAATGTTATACGTCAGTTTTCTGATTGGAAGAAGGTCTCCAAGGTCGTCCATTTGCCCTGCCACTCCTCTAGTGTCATGCGTACCAAAATTTTTCTTTTCTAATTCTTTCCCCCGAAGCTCTGAAAAACTAATACTCGACCTTGAACTTGTGACTACCCAGTGCCCAATGGAATCCGGTTGCCTTAAATTTTATTTAGCGCTCGATGACGTGTGAAGTTTTTTCTCAGATGGGCGCTAAACACCCTCGTTGTTTACGTGCCACAACCTACCATCGATATCTTTACAGCTTCAGAATACCTGGAAAAACTGAAGGTCACGGCGGGCCTCCAAGCTACGCATACCAATTTGTCAGCCACCTTGAACAAATATTGTCTCTGGTAAAAGTATCAGTTATCAATCTCTTTGCACGCGTTCGAGAATATTCGGCAAAGTGTACGAGTACAACTGATTTATGGCAGCGATTCAGCTGTTATTTGCCTGCTGTGTTCGCGGGCGGACAAGACGGAGACAGAGAGAAGGTTCCGATGAGCAAGTAAATTTTAATTTTTTGATTATTTCAAGACTTCCGTGGTTGATAATATCATCTTTCATAGGTTATCCCTGATGAAGAGTCGCGTCTAATTCCACCACCCGCGGAATCCCAGCTAAATGTACCAAACGCGGTAGGCCAGGAAATCGAGGAAAGAAATGCGAGGCTAGGGACAATTGTTCGGGCCAAAGGAGGGTGCGTGATATCAGATATATTGAAGGGCGTTTATTCATTCTTGACATTTGCAGAAACATGATCAACACATCCGCGTACGCGCCTTTCAACGTCCTCAATCGACCATATCGATATTCTCCTCAGCGCTATGGACCAAATCGCAGCGGAAGCAGTAACAGAAGAGCGTCTTCTTCTCGGTCTATGTCCAGAGAAGATCATTCAGAGACCCGTCGACGTTCGGTTGTTCGTTACGGACAAAGTTACCTTGCTCATGGCTATGGATATGGAGCTGTGGGTGTTAGTTATAACCCCTCGTTGGTCCATACTATGTCTACTCCTGCTCCGCTTGAGCCTCAGTCTAGTGAAGTGCAGGTACAGATTCAGTCCGCGGCGGATGGGAGGACTTCTTTGGAGCGAAGTGTATCGAGGAAGAGAGATGGGAAGAAAGGTCCAGATACAGGCAATGGTGAAGCCGAGGCAGCTGCTGCAAGTGACATGAATAATAATAAAACACCACAACTTCTTCCGAGATTTCGTTCAACGTTGGTCATGTCCCCTTCAACGACATCCATACAGAAATCTACATCACACGAGTCATTCCCAGATTCTCACCATTCCCATTCCAACTCCAACTCTGGCGACATCACACTCAACGGAGGTACCGGAACAATCGAAGGATTAGGTGTCCGGCTGGTCCAGCCTCCTCCTTCTTCGTCTGACATCGTTTTTGGAGCGCCTAGTGCGGGGTTGGGGCTGGGAATGAGTAGACGTGGTCGACCGAAAGTTAGAACCAGGGGAGGGTCTTTTTCTAGTCCTGTTGGTTCCGGATATGGTTCTGCTGCGTCAGGGAGCTCTGCTAATCTTGTACGCGTACGATCCAGGGAGGAGGATAGCACCACTGTACAGAATGGAACTGGGTTCTCGTCTTCAGAGGTAAATTCGTTCGTTCTTTAATTCTCTTTTGTTCTATTTTGTTCTACACTTTTCTTCTTCCGATGCTCAACGCTGATTATTCCACATTATCAGCAAACCCCTCGTCCACTCAGTATCATCACGCCGCCGCCACCACATCATCTACTAGGCTCCGCCACTCCTATAGGAACGCTTCCCGCAACCTACTCATCAACGTCGCCCGCTGCCACTTTCCTCGCCCCACCTCCTTCACCTCATTCCGATCGCAATTCCGATTCCGGTCAGTCGGCACTATTGCGCACCCCGCCACACGTCCCTCCGCCACTCCCTCTAACGCCCAAGCCACCGCCGGTGTTTGAGATCAAAGACGAAGGTGAATTGACGATTGGATGGGATGATTGAATGCTACCCGTTTCAACTTGTGGGTCCTTCCGTGGCATCCCTTCTCATGATACTCCCCCCTCTCCACTTTTAAATATACCTCTTCCCGCTTGTTTGCTCAAATCGCCTTTATCTTCTATTTTACATCAATTAGTTCCGCTACATAGTCTGCTCGTTTATAGTCCTCCTAACTTTCTTAGTCCGCCGATATACTTTTATCCTCGTAATATGCTTCATGATTCCGTTCCATTATTTATTCATTCCTTGCTTCTCAATTTTGCTCTTCTCGGTTACTTACATGTCCGTGCATAGCACTTATTTGCTTTACTTGTCTGTTACTTGTTACTCGATCTTTGTTTAGAATAGTTGCTTTGATACCTTACCTACTTAGTACTTAGTACTTGCTTTTCCCTACATGCATATTCTATGACTTGCGTATTTCTTTTTGTAGTGACATGAAGATATGTCTTTGTATATAGTTAGTATAGCCTCGGTTTAGCTGCAGTACCATTACCAGCGCTCACCAGCGCTCCCCATCGCTCCCCATCCCCGAAATCACCGTTTCTAGATAATTCCGTGCAACGACATACTTGGGACCTACATATGTCTTGTAGCCGCTCCAAAATCCCGTTTTATTCATACATCATGAACCCCACCATCCTCAAAACCCTCTACCGCGTTGACAATCGCCCAGCATACCCTCTTCAAGTCCTCGCCACCCGATACCGGACTCAAACCGACATTGCTGTTCAATATGATCAAGACACGGAGCGCGATACCGGGTCAGGCTATACTTTGATTTTACTCCACGCAACAGGGATGCATAAAGAAACTTGGGAAGTTTTTATCGAGCACCTCTTTGATTATAGCCTGCGCAGGGTGTCACGGTCATCGAACTCGACGCCAGCTCCTTCAAGTCATGACATTGACCGTTCTGGTATCTGGATTGAGGATGTTTTCTCGATAGAGAGCCCAAATCACGGTGAATCTGCTATTGTTAATGAGCAGGTGTTGAAGACGACCTATGAAGATAGATGTATGTACTACGTTCCTTCCATGCACCCATGCTCTCAATAGTAATGATTCATTTGGTTTGATGTTTCTAGGGTCTCCCAGTGAATACGAACGCGCTGTACATACATTCTTGACCGAAGGAGCAAACGCAGTAGGTGTTGATTTCACCAAGAGAAGGCTCGTTGGTATCTGACATAGTGTTGGTGCCCCGGCATTGTAAGCTTCCTTCTATGATGACTCGGACGGATTCATTTTTGCGTACATAGATTTTTGATTCACGACTTTCTACCAACCTTCACATTCACATCTGTAATTGCCATTGAGCCTGGGATCTCCCTCAAGGGAAACCCGGAGACGGATATGGTCTCACAGATGCTCAATGCTTGGACATGGCTAAGGCACGATGTATGGCCATCACGCAAAACTGCGAAGATGTATTTACAAGCAGACCCGTTGTATGGTAGATGGGAACCTCGAGTGCTGGATCTTTACATCGTATGTATCATGCGCTTTCCAGTACTCTCAGTTTGACAAAATATCTTTTCGATTAAATTTTTCCATCCTGAAAGAAATATGGACTTCGGGAACACCGTGCTGCAAAATACAAACAACCATTTCAGTTCAAAGGGGTTACAACAGCATTGACCAAGGAGCAAGAAGCAGTATGTATTTATTACTCATATGATGCTTCGTTCGAATAATTCTCAAACGACTTCTGTTACAACTTACAACTTACAACTTGTGATTTATTGAAGGCCACATACAGAAGTGATGAGCTTGTTGTAGATGCTCTCGAAGCCTATTCAGCTGCTACTAGGAAGATGCCAGTCTATTTGATCTGGGGAACAGAAAATAATGTTGCGTAAGTTGGTGATCAGATCAATAAATCCAAGGTTTTGAGTTTCACATTTGCAGTACACCTGAGCTCCAGGAGCTACTTGCAGATAAAGAAGCTGGGAGATTTCCTCGATCAATATCGTATGTTGAGAATGCTGGTCATTTGGTCAGTGACTTGACTTTTGACCAAATCTTAAGCTATTTTTTGTTTTTGACCGGATGTTTGGTGTAGGTGGTACAGCAGCAGCCCGATTCTTTGGCTGAGCTTGTACTTTCAATCTTGCACAAGGGTGTTGCTACTCGAAACAAACTCTAATTCGGTTCAGCTCTCTCACTTGGGAATGAATGGGCTACTCGATAGGGTCTCCGATCAATAGTTTGAAGAACTAAGAATATGGGCTTTGAGGAAATCCAATTCGAATCAAGTATCTCACACATAACATTTTAATGAGAACGAAATCAGGTTTTGTGTAGAAAACCATCCTGCTATCATCTACAAAACCTGTGTTCACCAGAGCAAGGGTACTGACTGGAGAGTGCTCTCAGATATTAGCCAAAAATACATGTTTTGCAGATGATTCCATGCAATTTTGACACATCAACTTTCCACCCCTCGGCACCTAGGTATCATTGGTGTAGGTGGTACTTCTCAAAAACCCATATAAAGGGCAAGACGGCAAAACAGTAAGAACAAGTGCAAGGATCTTGGAATTACAAACTCATTCCATTAGTCATTCGTGGAATTTGAATGAACACATACCTGACCATACTGACAATAACACCAGCCTGAGGTTGTGTTTAACTTTGTGAACAATGAGCAGTTCAAGTTGCAAGAGGCAAAAGAATTGTAATCACAATCAAATTGATAATTCCACACCAAGCTAATATTACAAATCATATGTCCGGGGCGTTGCATCCTAGATGATGTCTAGGTCAAAAAACGGTCTCGACCTAACATAGTACAGGTATGGAGGAGTGCTAACAGGATCTGTCACCCAAGTGGATTGGAGGCCATTCGGGCTGTCCCCTCTGTGACTAAATTTTGTCTAGGGTGTAGGAGGATTACATTATTGTGATAAATCAGCTTTGTTAAATTTTGACTGAATGATCGTGTTGGATCAATGTTATGGTTGAAGTGTTTACGTTACTAGAAGAGTGATGTGGCAGAAGATGATTCCAGAACTTGATACAAACTAAATGAACTAAGGCTAGAATTTAGGGGAAGATAGCTCTGGCTACACAGTGATTCAATCCAGTTGCAGGGCTAGATACTCTTCGGAATCTTCACAATACCTAAGCTAACTTACTGGTTTGTTTGATGCAGCAGAGCTTTAATAATGATTATTTATTGTCAACCCAGGTTGGCTTTCAAGTTCGGTAGTTTGTGAGTGATTCAATGAGAGATATACGGTGTCACATACAAATGAAACAGTTAAGTCATCATCATCCAATTCATTGACTCTATCCGGCTTCCATCCATACTCCCGCAGAATGGCATCCCAAGGTGATATGACATTCGTTGGAGTAGGCGGAATGCTTTCTTTTGTCATGGAATGTGTGACTAACTCATAAATCATGATATTAACACTGTTGAATCCATTAATAAATTGTATATCCTGGAATCAAATTGGTATGTACTCATTTGCATAATCAAGGCATAGATAGTGAGGAGCATTGGCAACTATCTCCATAGTCACATCCACTCCTGCCTCCTGGAGAGAGTTCATCAACTGTATTGTATAGCTTGGTTCATAAACCACACTGTTTCCCCCATGCACAAGCTTGACTGGGCATGAAATCCGTGAGAGTGCTGTTCTGGGCTGGGATTTGCGATTACAGAAAATGTCATATGATGTCAAACGGTATTCTTGTAAATGTTCTGATGACCAATTTCGGGAGTCGATGGGCATAGTCGAATCACATAAGCTATGAGTTCCAAAGTCAGCTAATGATAAAATCAACCTAATAGGCAACATTACGCTTGAGCTAAATTTGACATGTTGTTGCTGAATGTATACTGTGTATAGCCAAACCCCACATCAATGTGAGCACCAGGCAAACCAGAAGTATACAGTTCATAAAGTTCTGTTCTTCCCTCTTGCACTTCTGGTAGCTATGCAATCATTTAAGCAGGTGATTACAAAGAAAAATATTTGACCTACTTCCTCCAAGCAAACATGAGACATAATGAATAACGATAAAACTTGGTGAGGCAATATAACTGCTATTTGAAGTGCAATCATGGTGCCTAAGTCAAGGGCCACAAAATGGCAAGGTGGAAGTCGGAGAGTTGTCTAACAGGGTAATTTTAGGAGTTTCAGGGTTTGAAGTTCAGAGACATATTTACTATGAGTGCTATAATGTCCTCAGCCGCTTCTTCTTGGCCATATTTTTCTGGGACTCCATCACATTCCGTGTCCCCATGCCATCTGAGATCAAAAGTGACCAAATTAAATTTTCTCAGAAGAGGGTCTGAGAATTGAGCTAGAGATTCATGAACAAGTTAATTTAAGGCTATATATCTCGAAAATAAATACTTACAATGAAAAACTGTGTGAAATGCCAGCGCATGGAAGAATAAAAGCACGGGGATTTCGGGATCAATTTTGTCTGCATCAGCGCAGGAAGGGGTACTGATAGTGTAGTGAAATTTAATCTTTCCTGTAGGCGATGAGATTTCAATGGATGGCATCTTGGTGACGAGTAAGGAGTAACCGGTGCTAAGAGGGAAAACCCTCCAGACTTACTCATAATAACTTTTCAGTGGTTGGTTATTTGTACCTGTATTGACAAGGAATTGACAGATGATATCAGATTCGGATACTTGCATCAAGCCAGGGATGAGTTTGACAGATGCAATCAATGGAATAAAAATGTGGACAGTTGATATGTTACCATTGTCATGATCAATATACCACTTCGAGAACAGAGATCCAAAATACGACTGTATGTCAATTACATGCAACCACTTCCCCCTTTTGCACTCCCACTCATCCCTATGTTTTCCACTAATCAATCTGTAATCTGATTCTGTGAAGCCTGTGGCTGCAACAGCAAGGGCTTTGCCTGGGCAGCAGCCAAAGCACAGGCTTCTGCAAAAGCTGTATTTTCAACTAAATGACCAAAAGCAGCTCAGAGTACTTCTCAGTAGCCAAAGCCCCCAGAGGAGGCTGTAAATCTTGTTCTTAGTGCTCTTGTTGGAGAGCACTCTCCAGCCAGTATCATTTCTTACAGGTTTTACAGATTGGCAGCTAGCCGAATTTGCAGACTGCTGGTCAGTACAATCTATTGAAGTTATTATCTTCTCTGAGGCTTTTAGCCGAAATACAGTTTAGATATCAATAAATGCAATGCTGCATGATGTTCCACTCCTCTGGGTCTCATCTTCCAGTTGTTGGACCATCACATCTAGTTTTGATTACTTGTCCGACTCAGTCCGAGAACTCCCAACAATTACATATGTTTAGTTATATTTTATAGTGTCAGGCACAGTTCCTTCCAATGTAACCCATGACCAATGTCTTATTCATACAGCATGTCCTTGGCGCATTACGGATACAATTATTTTCACATTTTGTCGCATTGAAATTTCATCTGCACTGCCTCCTTGTACATCTATTTATGTGGCCAGTACAACTCATCAAATCCATTAGCTTTCCTTCTCCCCGCCCACTTTTTCTGCAAATTGAAATGACTGGTAACATTGAAGTTCAGGTGCTTCTCGAACTGATCAGAAAGTCAGCTACAGAAGCTCTAGATGAATATGGGAAATATGGAGATGGAGTCCCAAGCGTTTATGAAACAAACACCCATCCTCTCGATGAACACAAAATGTCCCTTCGATTGAAAAAGGCCATCAGGAATCTAGAAGGGGCTTGTGATCAGCTATGTGCTACACTAGCTCCACCGTTACACACAATTGTCAATGTATGTATAGTTAATTACAAAGAAGAAGAGATTCTCACTACTTACAGCGTGCACAAGACTATTACTGGTCTTGCCTCCGTGTAGCTGCCCAAAACAAAATTGCTGACCTCCTTGATAACACTACTGGTGGCATGAATCTTGAATCTCTTGCTCATGAATCCGGCATCGAACCATCAAAGTTGAGAATTCTCATGCGCACCCTCGCAGCCCGTCACTGTTTCCAGGAAGGTACATTTTCTATTTTTTAATGATATCATCTATTAATTGTTATTCAGTCTCCCATGATGTGTATGCAAATACACGCCTTTCACTTGTGCTCCATTCGCACAGTTCACACACAAGCTATATTGATCTACTGACCAAGGAGGGTCAAGAATCAGCAGGGAACTTTCAAAAATACCTCAGTGATAACGAATACAGCCAATGCAATGATTCAACTCACACTGTATTTACACATGCAGTCAAAGACACAGGATTCCACGGAACAGTGTATGACTGGATGAAAGTCAATGTGAGTTTCTTTTTCCGCACTCCCCTGTCTCATCATTAAATATCTCCTGCAAAAAGGGTGATAGGCGTGCAGTAAGAGAAAAAGAGTCATTAAGTAGTCATTGGAAACTCATTACACTGACATTCTTTAGGTTATGAGTAGCAGCATGCCAAGTATGAATAGTGTCATGGGGACATTGTCCATCATTGAAGGTATTTTTTTTTGAATGAGTGAAATGTAAAGCTGACTTTGGAGAACAGGTTATCCTTGGGAGAAAATCTCCACAGTGTGTGATGTTGGATGTGGAAATGGAAGCTTTGTATGGTCACTCTTACAAAAATTTCCCCAAATCCATGTCACTCTTTTTGATCTCCATGAGACTTTGGAGGCAGCAAAGCAGGTATGTTAATTTTTCTTTATTAGCACACAAGTCAAATGAATTAGTATTTTGTTGTTCGGATAGGCAGCCGGGTGTCTGGCACAAGAATTGCAAAGTCATCTTCACTTTCAACCAGGTGACTTTTTCAAAGACAGCCTTCCGAAATCAGTGGATATGTATTATGTAGGTTAAACTCACCTTTTTATTTTATAGTGTTTGCTCACAGTACAATTTCAGCTACGCAATATTATTCACAACTGTAAGTAAAGACTGTCTTTTCCAATATGCTCGAATAACACTTGTATAGGGCCTGACAAGGATGTGTTGACAATTCTGGCATCAATCAAAAACGTCATGGGTCCTCAGAGCAGGATTTTAATACGTGAGTAAAGCAACTAAACATGGCCAAGATAAAGCTGATATGTATATAGATGATTATACTATGCATTCATTCCAAAACCAATCACCCCATCACTCATTGGATCAAGTGAGAGACTGAAAGTTTTGCATTCATTTACAATAAGTAACTGACCCCGGCATTGTCAGGCTCCATGGCCCATGCTGCCTGATTTTGGAAATGGCAGTATGCGCCTTCACTATCAAGACCTCACTATGTTGTTTATGTACAACTCAAAAGAAAGAACTCTTGAAGAGGTTAAAAATCTAAGGTAGGAGTGTTTCATAGTTCTGTTGCAAAACTGATTCTATGATTGCAAGCCAAAATGCTGGGTTGAAACTTGAACAAATAAGGGACCTTGGAGAGACCACAGTGCTGGAGTTTGGTCCTGCATAATTTATTCCATTAATTGTAAAAGTTGTATTCATATTCTGACCACTGAAGTTGCACTTATGACTCAATCTGTAGTAAGCAAGTACAAAGTAATGCTGATTTGTCTGTGCTTTTGAATCTGTGAAACCTAGCCAGTTGCAAGCAAGGGTACAGGCTAGATGTTAAGATTGTGTATACCAATGATCCCATACTTCAGCAATATGGATTACTTGGTACCAAAGACAGAAACAAGTGGGACAGTAGTGATATTATTCACAACACCATTCAGGTGCACTCATGTCCACCTGACAAATTTCAGATTATCTTATGAGCAATACATGACATACCATTTATGTATATCAAAAAAACAAGCTAAGTTCATGTCATAATACTCCCATGTTCAGCCTCATCTGTTTTCAGGCCATCAGTTCAGCCTGAAGAGTCATTTGTATAAACTATGGATCTCAGTTTCAAATTGCTCCAATGCTAAAACACGCATAGGCATTCCTTTTGTTGCCTGTGGGATCGGTTTCTGCCAGTTTGTAAAAATGATCATCTGCTTAATCAGGCTACAGATGAATAGACATTGTCATGAAGAGTGATTTGCTGACCTCTGTAGAGAGCTTTGTGAGAGTTGTATTTCCTTGATATGCTGCTTTAATCATCTGCCTGAATTTGAAGCAAGTCAGTGGCAATTGAATTTATCTGGTAAGATTCATGAATTACCATATGTGGTCCCAAATGATTTTTTTTTGTTCAATATCAAGACCATGAGCAACCTGTATGATAATGCCCACTGATGGGCGACCATTTCCAATCATCATGGCATTGTCTACTTGAGGCATTTGACATAGCATGCTTTCTAGACAATGATGAATGTTGTTGATCAGTCAAGTCCAAATAATTTCACCTATCACAGTTGGATCTACCTGCACATAGTATAAGTGTGTATCTTGCCTAAACAATAAAAGGAAGTAAACCATTTCACCAGTGCTCAGCATAATTTGATCCCCTGACCGGCCCACAACTGAGAAATAGCCTTTCTTTACTGCATGTTCCCGAAACAGATCTCCCAGGTCATATCCAGGTATCCCATTGTACGTTGTATTACACACAGGCAACTTACGACTTGGAGTAGACTAAAGCCAGATCTCATTCAATTTTGAAATTCAAAATCAATGAAGCTCACCACTACGGTCATTGAGTACAATCCATCATTGCGCTGAACAAATTTCACCTCTGGCAGACAAGGACAAAAATAGTCCCAGTCCTGTGCTCCTAAGGCTGTAAAATATGCAATGAGACATCATTTTTAGGTAAATAAAAATACCCACAGCTGATAATGCTAATACTTCCGCTCTCTGTACTATGGTCAAAGGTAAGATAAGATTGCAAATATCAATCCAACCTCAAACTTACGATCCGTATCCTGAAGTAAGCTGAACATTGCTATCCAACAATTTCTTGGCACAGGATTTGTTCAACACTCTTCCAGCAGTTATCTGGAGCTTACCCATAAGATGGTTTATTTGAGGCAAACAACACTTACCACCACTGTAGATTTTAGAAAGTCCCTCTTGTTTGGGTCTTCAGACCATACCTAATGTATTGATGTCACATACTGATTCTACCATAAATATTATGATTACCTCCAAAAGATAAGCACTGGCATAAATGACAGAAGGAGAGGTCTGCTTAAGATTGTTGAAAATGATGTCAGGACCTGCAGGAATGAGTGATGCACTATCTCCCGGATCAAGTAGAGCCATGACAAAACCAGCATGCGCCTTTGATAACAACTTGAGATATTTCATGTATATTTGTTTTGAAGATATTACTTGCCAACCAGTTTAGGAAACATAACCCTAAGGAGTGAAAAGGCTCTAGAGATTGAAGACCAACCAATTTTCCAGCAAGATGCATTGGTGCAAAATCTATTGTGTAGGTGTCACTGGTTTAAAATCATTGACAACAGGAGAGATTTAATGGAACAACTTGCCAACTGTCTGGGCATTAGTCAAGTAAAAATCTGATGACCATTCAATGGTTTTGGGATATAGAGAAGTTGAACCTGATAGCATCTGTTATTAACCAGGGCATTTTTATTGGAAACACCATAAATACCGGATGAATGAATAATCAAGGCAGTAGTGTCCATAGGGCGACTATGTGTTTCAGGTATGGAATAAGACTCTTCAGAAAATATTGTGCTGTATTCTGGCATCTGAAGGACTTCAGGCCTATATTTTGAGAGTGCTATGATTTGATCTATCAATGGCAATCTCTCCGTATTGACAAGGATATGACTTGGTTTGACAACACTAATGAGATGTGCTATGATATCTGGAGAAAAACGTGGTGATATAGGGAACGCCGTCATGCCTGCTCTTAAAACCCCCTACACTCACGAGTCAGATTGGCTTCGAAAAATTGAACCAGTGTTCTCACCAGAAGAACCACAGAATAAGTCAAGGCATCTGGAGGAGATTGTCAGCACCCTATACAACTCTCAAAAAATTAATCACACCTGATGTTGTTGAGAATGCCACAATAGGTCTAGTTCCTTGATCCACAGAGATGGAAGACAGGAAGAAGGAGGCACAGCGGTGTATAGCAGGTACAATATCCGAATATGTGTAAGTCTTGAGAGTTCCATCACCGAGAGGGTGTATAATAACGGGATAGTCAGAGTTATGACTTATATGGAAGTCAAATTGCAGTTCTACAGCTAAAGTAGAAGGTGGTGGAATGAACTGCTTGGTATACATGGCTGTAGTATGAGGAATCAAGGAAGTACGTGCAAGTACTGCTTTCAGTTTTATGTAAGATGGATGCTATCTACCTTAATGGGTATAGTATTATCTCATTTTGCTACCTAAAACATTTCTGTCAGTATGTAACAACGAGCACCCGGGCGTGAAACGGGCAATCAGAAGTTCACAATTTCATTTGTAACATCAGTAATTTATCAACTCCCACCAGATGGTCTACACAACTCAGCGTGCCTCCCTTCAATGATGATCACGCATGCGTGAATATCAAAAATGTGGGCGTGGTGAAGCGTGGTTCAGCATACACATAGTCTCATTTACATCAAAATGGGTTTTGATAAATTCAGCCTTGTAATATGTCCTCTACTGAAGTTCGAGTTAATGGTTTGCCAATTACATGGTTGCTACTGTTTTAACACAGATAATACATCAATTGCCACAACATTTTACCTATCCATTCATTTAGAATCTTCGTTCCCATCCTACTCATCTGCTGATGAATGATATAGATATGGTGAGGACCGGATCACCAACTCACGCATGCTGAACATGACCTGTGGGATTGAATTTGACTTATCTTGAACATGAGCAGGACAGACATTCAAATTTCAGCCAATCTTGGTGTTTTATCCCCACATTCCAGTCTTATCCAGTCTCGTATATAGCTATCCCAGTGACGTACAGATTGATAGTGTTCATGTTCAAAAATGTTCAAATCATTGTAAATCAATAAGAGGAGTCATGATGAATCAATCTGGAACCGATGAACTTTTCACTTGAACAGGAGGAGTAAAACTTTAAAACATAGCCACTCCCACTATTTGATTCCTAGTGACATCCATCCTGGAAAAAACCACAGACCAACATTGTAGCGTTAATAATTGGGAGTACAATTGACATACTTGGGAGATGTGAATGAACAAATTGACACCTTTGGTTCAGGTTATTGAATGAAAATCCATGTCCCTGGATTTGTTTCCTTCAGTAAGTGAACTCAGGCAAAACCGTAACCAACTAGGGGCTCAAACAGAGATGGGAAGAATTCGTGAAAAGCAGTCAGGTGCTTGAGGTCGTGGTGTAAAGATACTTATCCGACAGAAAAGTGCTCTGAGGGAGAAGGTGGCAAGTTCATCAGTCCGCAATATCTCCTTTGCTATCCTCCAATCCGAGCTCTCCTTATCCCCGACCAACGTTCCTCTTAGGCTGTGACATTATACAAACGAGTATATTATAGGGAAGTTCGGGATTTTATGAGACACGAACTGTAGTCTGTGGATCAAGTTGTGGCCTTCTTTTGAGAGTGTGGAATCTATCACGCCATCTCGATGTCTCCATCCACATTCTCTTTTGGTGCACCCCTTACAACTGAATTGAGTAGTTCACGTCGGACCTCGGCACTGATTTGTGGGTGTGATGTTGCTCGTATGACATCCAGTAAGGCATCCTTCTGGTCTGGAGTAAGATCGGAGGCGTATCTAAGACAATAAAATTAATCAAAAGCATCAAGGAGCAGATAGATATCCACCGTTGCACGAAAGCGAGTAGACTCTGATGCCAGAGCACTGGAAGATGTTCAGACTCGTGACGACTACGTGGTTTGTAGGTGTTGGAAAGTTTGATGAAATGAAAAACGAGGGCGTCAACAACTTTGTAAGGGAGTTCGAACTTTTTGTCAATCAGAACCCGAATGAAGAGGGAGTTGGGACCTGCAATAGTTGTAGATAAGAGGGGAAAACGAGGATGGACAATTCAAGCACCTGTATAGTCCATCTCCGCGATGTGCAACAATGCGGCAGAGGCATGGAGAACAGGTATTTTCACTTTGGCCAGGATGGATGCCAAGATAGCAGCTTCCCTCAAGGTACACCCTTGCTGAAATGGTATGAGCTATAGAGATGTATCATAACGAGAGCACGTACAGTGAGCATGGGGAAGAGAATACCCTTGAAGAACGCGCTGGGCTTATACAGAGCCCTCTTCAAAGCCTCGTAATATTGGACATTCAGTTTCTTGTTTTCTCGGATATCTTCGTGTACTGCTTCTAAAAGAACTACACTGAGGAAAAGTTGGGCCTGAGCTGGCTTCATGGTTGAGACAAATATCCGAGTCGCAGCACGGCATGCATGAGGCGACCAGTTTTCAGGCTCGGTAAGTGCGAGGATGCGAGCCCATGCGGGAAAAGTAGGGATAACTTTGAACGGTTTGGGAAGAGATCCCGACCTATATTTGCTGAGGTACAGGCCTAATCTGGAATTAGATTAGCCGCACGACATCAGGAATTAGCTGTGCATATGTACTTTGTGTACATTTCAACCACCATTGGGTCAAGTCCTAATGCTGGATCCGGTCTTGAACGATCTACGGGGCTCGAATGAAAAGGCACGTAGCGCATGGAAAGCTATATCCGTTCACCTTTCTGCTGTACTTTCTGAATGGCACCGACATTTTCATCGAGCTTTGAGAATATGACGTCGGCCAAAGTTCTTCGTTCATCGATGTTATGAGGTAGCAAAGCGTCCAGGGTCTCCAAATCGTCTGGATCGATTTCCTAGAGGAAGTATTACACTTACTACTATGAACAAAAGGGTATTCACTACTCACAAAGATCTCCTCTGCATCTTCTCTCTGATCGTCTTCGGTTCCGTCAACCTCTTCAACCTCATCTTCAGCGTTAACAATCCTAGTAATCCATTCATCCAGTGCATCTTCTACGATCTCCTCATCTAACCCATCCAACTCGTCTTGCTGAGTTCTTGCCAATTCAAAAATGCGCCTTGAAGTCTTCGGGTCCAGTACAGCCTTGAACGAGGAAAGGTAAAACGATGCCGGAAGCCTAGAAAGGAGAGATATTTACCTCTATGTTTTCATCGTCTCCTAGAAAATTTTTCGATGATTTCTGCCGCCTTCCGGGCTCCGATATCCGTCCATATTTTACTTGATGTTCATCGTTGTCTAGCTGAATGAGCAACGGGTCGTGGCGAGTTTTAGGTGAGGGTTTTGAATCGCGAGGCATATTTTTCAGTCACGAGACCCTTCGCTTGCGGTGATTCAGCCTAGATCTGGCCTAGATCTCGCAACAACTCTGCTCAATTTCTTTCGTTGCTCCCACAATGTGCTTAGCCAAGATTCCAAATTCGGCTGTTGTCTAGAGTAGCCATCGTCGAAATGTATGCCTTGCAGTTCGAGGTTCGAGTCACTAAAATCTCGTTTATCTCATTCCAATAACCGACTGTATACGTTCTCAAGGCTCTTCAACTTGTAGTCTCGAATGGCATAATGTCTCATAAATACTTATAGCAAGTCTTCAATACCACTGAATCATCTCGCGCAACCTTTTCTCTATCCCAAAAACGAGCAACTGTATCTAACGTAGATCAACTTACCGCCCCAGAGCTTTAACAAGATCCTTAGCTTTCTTCCGAACCTCATCAGAATACTGGGGCATCATCAACTGTCGCAATCCCTGAACAGGATCCGCTTCTAGATTGGATTTGGCCTCTTCTTCAACGACGCTGCCCACTTCCGTCTTTGCATTCCTATTTCGTAGAAGATGGTTGGACTTTAGCTCACGATACGAAACAAGATTTAGATGATGTTTTACCGTGCTTCAGATAGTTGATCTTTATGCTCCTCGGTATCAAGGTATTGCAAGCTTTGCTCAACTAACTTCCCAACTTCAGTACGATCTCGTTCATCATACTGTACATTTCCGGCGACAGCTGAACTATTGCTTTGAAGATTGGACAATGACCTTTGCTACATTAAGGTCAAACTTCCGTTTGATCATGCGATATCAAATACAATTACTTACTGAAATGGTATTTCTCCTTCTCCAAGCCCATTGTCCTGGTACATCCGGTGTGCTGTCCACTTCGACCGTCTTCAGAGCTTTTATTATAATGCTTGATTGCAGATTCTATGTATAGAGGTCAAGATAACTTTGCCAGTGAGATGCATAATATTCTTACCGCCAGCCATAGCTTAACTTTCTTCAGCTGCAAACGCACTTCTTCAATAACACCCACACGATCCAAGACCACAACCCAAGAAAGCAGCCTCCCATGCTGAAGAAACTCTTTCAATTCCTGAACTACTTGCGCCTGATTTTTAGCCCAATTTCCCAGTTCTTGAGGGTCCAGATACTTGTTTGGAGTCATCTCAGACTCGGAAATATGATACATCCAGAACCGAGAAGCATACACAACCGCCCTGTTCAACTTCTTGTGTTTTGAATCATTCCTGTATTCGAGTACATCAAACGTTTTCTCGTGAACTTCGTCAAACTCGGATAGATTGGATATACATTGCAGTCGCTCATTGAGGAACCGCAGGAGCTGTTCGGCCATGGTACAGTTATGAATCGTAGGGTTGATCCATACTTTCGGGTGCGCAATAGCCTTTTCTTGCATGTAGTCGATAAATGCAGTGTCATGAACAATGTATCGTAAATGAATACTTATCTTCCTTTAGAGAAATCGGCGTACCACATCTGACAATCGTTGAACGGCAATGGATTTCTGGTGGCTCAAAGGAGCTGGCACTACCATAATTGACAAAACCCCTCGTAGACTTCGCTGAAGTCCGAATGCTTTAACTCCCAGTATTGCAGCAAGGTCTTCCACTGACATTGTCCTTCTCAAAAGGACAATAGTCATTACGGCTTTCCGAAAAGGATCCAATTCTCCTGGTGACAGCCCCTGGACAACTTGTTCCAAAATGGGGGTGTATATGTCTTGGATACCAGAAGATCTAAACTCCTTCAATGGCATATCCAGAAATTTATTCAAAGTCTCTTCGGGATCATCTGCTCTCCCAACCATGCGACAGACTGTCTGTGCTATCAAAAAGCTATTTCCTGTCTGTTTGACCAGTCTAAGTATGACGTCCGGAGAAGGCCACCTTCCATCAATGGATGCATCTTGGGTTTGGATAGTCCTTAGTTCCGCTTCATAGAACTTTTGAATATCCTCCTCAGCGTCTGAGGAACTGAGATATTTGTCCATGTCATATGAGATCACTATACTTGAGGACGCGTTGGAGCCATCCAGTTGGCTACTAATCACTGTAGTAGGTCTGCTGCTGACAATGACCTTGAGATTAGGGACTTGCTTTACACCTGACCCCAAGCCCTGCAACAAGTTGATTACCAGATTTTTCCCTGGAGAGTTGTATGCGTATTGATCGGGAACACATTCCTCGAGCGAATCAATAACCAGTATTACCAGGTTTGGCTCGCCTCCCGACTTCTCTATGTCTAAGACTGAATTGCTCATTGGCTTCACGATGAGCTCTTCGAACTGCTTGGTTGGTTCCCAATCAGTCGCGACCGATCGTATTGATTGACCACCATTCAAGATGGACTCGAGATAATAAAGCAAGTTCCTACGATAGCGCGGGTCCTTTTCTGCAAGCTGATAGGCAAGAGTCGGAATGATAACATTTGCATTACCACTTTCAACGAGGACTCGGGTGCAAAGGAAATCAACAACAACAACTTTCCTTGATAGGTTTGTTACCGTTGTAGGATCAAATTTCTTGATTACTTCGGCGATGATAGATGTCTTTCCTGAGGCAGGAGGGCCATTGAGCCAAAATATGCGATGGGTATCACTTCCTGATACCCATTCGGCAATCCTGGAAATGACCTTGGTACGAGTATCTGGATGACAAGCCTTCCTCACAGCCTTGTCAGACTCTGCGGTTTGGGATCGAGGTATGTCATCCAAAAGTTCTACATTCAGTTAATATCAATGCAAAGGCATGAAGATGGTCAGTTCTAAACTAACGCTTTGCTCTCATTCTCTATTTATTATTAAATCAGTATGAGTAAATAACGAGGAGGGACCATACAGCACCGTAGTGTTCTTCTCGCTTGCAAGAACCGAGTGAAGCTAGGGAAAATTGTAGATGTTCTTCAGACCGATACACTGATAACAGAGAAAATGATAAGTACCATCATGCCACTAATCATATCGTTCAACTCTGACACGATTTCTGCCAGATCATTGGCGTACATTGAGGATTTAACGAGGGCAGTGGCTGTAGAATCATGCTTATATTTGGTTGCAATAGCTTCGAGTTTTTTCCGAGAATATTCATCACTCCACTATCAATCATTGAGATCATGTCCAGAAAATCAATTTTAGAGAGGACGACTTCACTAGTATGACTCGTTATCTCTGATTTGTTCTTTCACTGCATTTTCACCTTGATAATGATTCACTGTGCTAACAAATCGATTCAGCTTCTCCTTCAGATCTTTGAGCTGCTTTGCATTCTTCCTATTCAGCTGGCATGATATTCAGTTTACAATATGTGAGCTTGTGGTTCGAAATGAACACTGACCGAGAACTTCTCCTCTACAAATGATACACCTTCCAAAGCGGCACTCAAAAATGGGACCGGTAGGTCTCCAGCAATGCGCTTGAATAGCGACCACGAGTCTTCAAGCCCAGCTACCATAGTCTCGTGTCGCCCAGCGAAACGTTGAAGCCAGGTGAGCGGGTTATAGCTAGATTTTTTAGCTGGAGTGGCCTTTAAGGTATCCGGAACAGATTTCGAGGCTGGCAAGTGTTAGAATATAATCACGTTATATTCAGCAGCAATGGCAGTAAGAGATAGAGTGCACACAGCACTGTAGTTGATCACACAGATCAAACGATGAAGGAGTAAAGAGAACTGCTTATTCGACAAGACGAATACTACAGGTTTATATACAAGTCCAAGGTAGACGATGTCATGTTACAGCTAAACGTAGCGAGAGAGGAAGGAAGTACAATACGATGTATCCTACTGGTAGTCCTATAGTAATAGTACACGATGGTGGGATTGATAACACGACGGTGAGACTGATAACACGATAGTGAGATAGTAGTTTGTAATAAGAGAACGATGTTCCATAGATGGTATGTGAGTCATCAAATGTTAACAGCAAGGCAACAAGTGTGCTACGAGTTTGAGTCGATGCTTGACCTGAGGATGTCATAGTGTAGAAGTACTACAGGTTTAAAAAAAAAACTGGTCAATAAATAAGCAGTAGCATTCTGCAGTGTGTTTCAATTAAGGTTGGGTGTGTTGTTGGTGTGGTTCATTGCAAGCGAACCTGCGTGATGAATCGTAAGCTGTGCTCTCGATCCTGGATATTATAGCAATGAAAATCATCTGGAGAGGTCATAGAGCCAATCTTTGGGGATTTTCGAATTTGGTGATATAAAAGTCAGGCATGGATACCTGCAGGCCCAGCCATTTTGTCAATATACTGTTCAACATTACAGTTCATCTCACCAAAGTTTTTTTTTGCAAAGTGAGGCTTGAGCCAAATCTCTGGCTTATGGTTTCGACAATTAAGCGGAGCAGAACATGACCACGCCTTGAGAGCTCAATTGCTGAACGTTCTCTCCTGCCCCCCTCAATTTCCTGTCAAAAAATGCCTTCACCCATTCACTCACTCAGATATTGTCGGACTGATTGGTAGATACACATCCATGGATGCATATATTCATAATGGGAGCCAATTTCGGGAGTTTATTCAACTTCAAAAATGAAAAGATATAACAGAGTGCTACTTACAATTTCCAGCAGCACGTAATAGAATTGCATTTTGGCCACACTCAAAATTCTCCTCCACACGCTACCCACCTGGTCAACACTTTCATGAACGAGGAGAGGAGGAATCAGCAATTGCTCAATTTCGTTTTTGAAACAATCCTATGACATGCTGACCCCCACAAGAAACATGTTTCACTGACCACGAACCTTCACGGCGGGTTACCATCTTCGGCACAAACTCAGGCTCCATTCCGTTACCCAGACCAAGCTCTCCTTGAGGCCCAAACCCCCAGGAAAATAGTACACCATCTTGAGTTGTGGCCATGTTATATCGAGGTCCTGCAGCAATATGAACAATTGGATCATTGACGGATCCATCAGGAAAGTCGACAAGAACAGGCTCTGTGACAAATCCTCTTCCATGACAACCATCCTCTCCTCTCAATGCTTCGTGATCGTCGGCAAGTCCCAGTTGACCATCATCACATCGTCCACATGCATATACTTTTCCTTGGGATGTGAGGAACAGTGTATGGTGTTCCCCTCCCGCTATTGAAACCACACGATCTAACTGTCCCAATTCTTCAAAGTTCAAGCTGATAACCTTCGCAGGCTGATCAACACTCAGGTCGCGCTCTTTCAGCGGCTCTCCAGTCCCTGTATGACCCATACTATTCAATCCCCATGACCAAACTCCGCCGGTAGTGTCTATAGCAAAGGACGTGTTTTGTCCAGCGCTCACGTATACAGCCTTGCGATTACGGCGTCCCAGAACGACCTTTTGAGGTACGGTAGCGTCGACTTTATGTCTAGCAAGAACTCGACGGCCAAGTCGACCATCTTCACTCATACCCCAGGTGTAGACATTGCCATGAGTTGTTAGGACTACGATGTGGTTATCGCCGCATGCGATGGAGGTGACTTTTTCGATCACTCCTGCGACTTTCCGAGTGAAGTTTAAGATTGGAACGGGAAGGAATTGACGGGACGTCTTATTCGCGAAGAGATTTTGGCCTTCGTGATCCTGATGAACAAAGAAATTATTTAGGCCCCCTAGATGGCACTATTGCACACATACGCGGAACGTTCCCCATATTCGAAGCTCCCCTCGATCACTAACTGCAGCACTGACATTATCTCCGGCGACGACTCGCACTGCACGGAAACCTTCATCTATAAGCGCCTGTACTGGATGAAAGTTGGATGACAATTCATCCTTATCCAGATAAGACCCTGGATGTTCGGGGTTTTGTACGCCTTCTGTAATTCGTCCAAGAGCTGCATCATCATTCACACCAGCTGACCAAATCTAGAATGAATGATATACATGTATACGTCAGTTACAAGATGATTAAACAAGAATGGAATACTGCCTACAGACCGTTCCCTTCTCATCAAGAAGTAGGGTATGCATTCCTCCTGCAGCAATGCTGACTATCCCGGCACCTGGTTCAAGCCCGAAAGCACCTTCCGACATCTTTCTCTCTGCCCAGATATGTCTTTTTGGTCTTGGATATTCGGTAGTATTTTCTCCAAGGCCAAGTTGACCATAGTTATTGGTTCCCCAGATAAAGAGGTGGAGCCCCGGGCGCAGAGTCGCAGGGGTATTTGGGAGGGGAAGGAATGCCAGATTGATTGAGTTGCGTTGTTGTCTTGACTGAGATCTGAGCTAGTAAAGAAAGCAAGAGGAAAGGCTCTGAGTCTGTTCCGGGACCGAAGAAACGCTCATGTGAAATTCACGTTACAAATCATGCATTTGGTGAATTTGAATACTATTACTAATAGATAGACGCGTCGGCAGCTTGTATCTATACCGCGTAATCTGGGCGGCCTACCATAGCAATAATATGGGGCCTCAACTAATCAATCAACACGTGTCAAGTCCACTTAAACCAGTCCCACATGCATTTATAAAAGTGTCCGCGATAGTGTCAGTCAAGGATATACCGTCAAACTGAATTACAGCAATAAGCTTTCATCAAGCTGGTGACAGAAATGTGAAGCTTACAGCAATATTCTGACATGGAGTGGCCTCATTACAGTCTAGAAGAACACCAGGTCTGGTGGGAGTTCCGGATCCCTGTAATCATTATAAATAGGTGAACAGGCAGATATGAAGCATCCCGAGCTGAAATTATACGCACCACGAAATTTTCATATGTAACATCTGAAATTTCCAAGGTTCCGGTATCATCAGTTCCTCCCTAAAAAATGCTACATTTATTAATCATTTGAGATGAACGTGAGCACATACCATCCAGAAGGCACTGATATCTAATATCAGATCACAGTACGAGTTAAATGAGTGGATCAGAATATTAAATGCAGAAACATACAGATGGAATAAGCCGCAGCATCCTATGGTAGTAGTCATTAATAAATGCCTGATTGTAAATAGAGATAACTCACGAGTGTGAAGCCAGTGTAAGTGACATTTTTCACCGTTCCTTGACAGTTGGGATAACTCTTGATCATCACTCCGGCGTCGGAGTTTGATATTGTAACATCACTGTAGAACACATTCTGAGGACCGAAAGACACATATCAACCTACCAGAATATCAGGGAAGTAGGAAGGAAAAGAAAGGTACCTGAACATCAACTCCCGTTGCACCGGAGCCAAAGGAGCCAATATTGCATCCTAGGGATTTGTATTAGTTCAGCAAAATAGAAGGCTGACAGCAGCTCCAACCAGCGGTGAATATGCAAGTGATCCTTTCAGCTAGGAAGCCCTGCCCACTCAAGTCAGAGAACAACGTGAGATAAAAGAGTAAAAATTTTCAGGCAGACATTGGTTGGAGTTTTGACTGTAACACATTCATCTATCTCAGTTGTAAGAATTTTTACGGACTTCATGACAGACAACAGTAAACATACCTCCATTCTGTAACATGGAAGATTTATAAATAAAGCATATCATAATGGGTACTTGAGTTTTACTTGGGTACCTACCTCAACTGAGACGTCGTGTACATAGTTGTTGTTGCCACTCACATCGAAGCCGTCAGTCTCCCCTGATAAGTTGAACATCGAATGAATTACTGCAACAAGCAAAAGTAGAGAGGCAACCAACCTATTGTGATATATGGAACTTAGCAGAAGTATCCCGAAGGATCTACTGTATTCGTCAGTTCATGGTACAGTACTTTGTAGAATATTCTAGTACTTATGCATTTTATTATAAAGGCTCGGGTAGAGAACCAAATAATAATCTTAACCTACATCATAACCCTAGCATACACAACAGGTTATGGGCCCCGGCCGTAACTGAAACTTCTCGCTATACTCAGCTCTCCCGACGCTCTCATTCCCCCACACTTGTAACCGCAGCATCCCAACAAGCTCACATACAAAATGTCGGACTCCACTACTAGTGCTTACCGAATTCAGCATCTTTCCGGTGTCGAGAATTACTCCACCTGGAAAATTAAAATGCTTGACATCCTGACAGACATGGGCCTCGAGGACTATGCCCTTGGCACCATATCCCCACCAAACGATGCTACTGCTCAAACAGCTTGGGACAAAAAGAACCGACAAGCATTATCTGCCATACGGTTAAGGGTTGGAGATGAGCCCTTGATCTACATCTCTGATGCGGCCTCCGCAAATGCGGCATGGACCACGCTGTCAGATATGTATCAACCCAAAGGAGCTATTGGCATTGTGTCAGTACGTCGAAAATTGTTCCGTACCCAATGCCAGGAAGGTGAAGATGTTAATGAACACATACGCACCATGACTCGATATCACAAGGAACTTGCTTCGCTGGGCTCTAAGCTCAGTGAAGATGAGTTTTCTATTACCCTTCTCACATCCCTTCCAGACTCCTGGGACTCGTTCATTCAAGGAGTTGACACCACCTCACTTTCAGACTCGACCAAATTGGTTTCCCGCATCCTGGAACAGTCTTGCCGAAAATTTGCCAAGCCAAGCTCTGATGACATTGCACTTCCTGCCAATAGATTCAAGGGCAAAGCTGGCAAATCATCAACAGCATTGAATTCCGCCTGCCATGGCTGCGGCCGATCTGGACATTTTATCAGCAATTGCCGAGACACTGCTGCTGGCAAAACATACACAGCCCAGCAAAAGAAAGAAAATTATGAACATACCATGCGGAACCGCTCACGGCCCAACAAATCTCACCGTGCACATATTGTTCAGGAGGATCAGTCTGCAGAAACTGACTATGCCTTCATGGGACAGCACACAGACAACAGTTTGCCTGCAGATACTTGGCTAATAGATTCTGCATGTACCAAGCACATTATACAAAATAAATCACACTTTTCCACTTATTTTGAGACTCCTGGACACTCAGTAAAAGGCTTTGGTGAATCACCTGCCATTGGGCAGGGTACAGCAACTGTGGCAACTCATGTAGGCAAACATGCCTTCAACATCACCCTACAGAATGCATTGCATGTTCCAAATGCACCTTTCAACTTGATCAGTGTTGGGTGCATAACTCAGGCAGGTTTCACTGTCAAGTTCACCACCAACTCAATCTCAGTAATCTCTTCCGGCCCTTCCCCGCGTGAAATAATCCATGGAAGGCGAGTTGGTAATCTATATGTTGTCAAGATAACTCGTGGCACAGCTTGCTTGTCACCATCTCAACATCACCCACAATCTGTCCCTAACAATGCTGAAACCTTAGCATTTCCATCTCTCCCTACTGCACGTTCCTGGAAGGAATGGCACTGCACACTTGGACACATCACTGCAAAATCTGTAAAACTTTTACATGACAAAGGGATGGTGACTGGCATGGTAGTAGACACTACTAGTGAACTTGATTTTGATTGTGATGCATGCACACGAGCAAAACAACATGTTCAGCCATTTCCAAAAGAAGCAGAACGGAAATATACAGAAATTGGTGAAATGACATTTACCGATGTATGGGGACCGGCACGCACATATGGCATCAATCGAGAACGATATTTTGTTTCATTCACTGATGGAGCCAGCCGCCGAACGATCATCTACTTCTTGAAGCAAAAATCTGAAGTAGAAGGAAAGACAAAATCATACATTGAGTACATACTCACTCAAACTGGAAAGCGCTGCAAAGCCTTTCGTTTTGACAACGGCGGTGAATACATTTCAACTGCCATCAGGAATTATCTGTCATCGAAAGGAATCCGTTTGGAGTATACAGCTGCACACTCACCGCAACAGAACGGAGTTTCTGAACGATTAAACCGCACAATTATTGAACATGCCCGAGCAATGCTTGCTCACTATGATTTACCCTTATTTCTCTGGCCCGAAGCAGTTGCATATGCAATATATTTGAAAAATAGATCACCCACATGGGCACTGACAAAATACATTACTCCCGAAGAAGCTTTCTGGAAAAAGAAACCAGACATCAGCACCTTACAAGAATTTGGCTCACCTTGCTGGGTTCTGCGTCAAGATGGCCAGAACCAGAAACTCATCTCAAAATCACGCCCATTCCGCTTCACTGGTCTATCTGATGAATCACGCGCATGGCGATACTACAACCCTGAATCAAGGAGAATTCAGACCTCCCGAAATGTGGTATTCAATTCAAAAGGGGCCAAAACCGAATCCACTGAGATAATTCCTACACCGGCACTCGAGGGGGAGCAGAAGGAATCTACAATCTCTGAAAACCAATCAGTCAAGTCTCCGCCTTCGGAATTAAATCAAAACACACTCACTGAGTCACTTCAGCCATCCACCCCTTCACCTATAACTCCACCACGCCCACTTTCCCCACTTACACCTCTCCCATCTCCATCTCCATCTCCATCTCCATCCATATCAACTGCATACCAGAAACCAAAAGCACCTCAAGACATTAGCAGCACTATCAGCACTGAAAACATCATCTCTGGAAAAAGGACAGCTCGATCAGCACCCACTCTGAATTACCGGCTTTTGAACAATCCAGACTCCCACTCACCCAAACGACCGGATGCTTGGAAAATCAGGGTACCCGGTCCTGAGCTTGATTCTGACCCCAATACTGTTGCCATTGCTTTTCCATCCTTCCAACAAACTTCTGTCAGTGAACCTCTAACTGTCACTGAAGCTCGATCCCGTCCTGATTGGCCAAAATGGAAAGAAGCAATGGATACTGAAATTGAACAACTCAAAAATCTCAATACTTACCGGCTCACACCATGTCCACCTGACCGTGTCCCAATCACAAATAAATGGGTATACCGTGTCAAACGCGATGCTGATGGAAATATCACCCGATACAAAGCACAACTTGTGGCCAAAGGCTTTTCTCAAATCCCGGGCATAGACTTTGATGAAACCTTTGCACCAGTTGTCCGAATGGAAACAGTACGGCTCCTCATTTCCATTGCCGCCCGATTTAAGCTCAAAACTCATGTTGTTGATGTGATCGGTGCATACCTAAATGGAAAACTGGATGAAGAAATATACATGACACAGCCAGAGTGCTATGAAGATGGAACCACACGAGTGTGTAAACTTGAACGCTCCCTCTATGGCTTGAAGCAAGCCGGTCGAGTCTGGAATCTCACTTTGGACTCCAGCTTTAAAGAACTTGAGTTCACGCGTCTTCTCTCAGACCAATGCGTGTACATTCGGAGATCCCCAAAAGGGATAGTTATTATTGCTGTACATGTCGATGATATGTCCATCTTTGCATCCTCTGATGAACTCATGACCGAAGCAGAATCACAACTTGAGTCTAAATTTTCGATCAATAGACTTGGTTCTCTCCGCCAGCTTCTTGGAATAGAAATTCACCAAACTAAAGACTCCATTATTCTTACACAAACCCAATATCTAACTCGAACATTGAAAAAATTTGGCATGACTGACTGTAAACCAGTTGCCACTCCCATGGACACCCATGTTAAACTCTCTCGCATTCCTGAAACTGAATCACATCCAGAAATCAAAGCTGTATATCAAAATATGATAGGATCCTTAATGTATGCTGCCATTACCACTCGCCCTGATATCTCCTTTGCCGTCCAAGCTCTCTCCCAGTTCAACCTGAACCCCGGACCCATCCATTTCACTGCCGCCAAACGTATCCTTCGTTATCTCAAAGGCACACTCAATCTTGGCATCAAATATTCTTGTTTAAATGACCTAGAACCAGTACTATTCAGTGATGCAGATTGGGGAAATGGTATCGATGACCGAAAATCAATCACTGGTTATGTGTCAAAGCATGCAGGGGGAGCTATCACTTGGAACTCAAAGAAGCAACCTACTGTTGCACTCTCGAGTATGGAAGCCGAGTATTTAGCTTTATCGGCAACTACTCGCGAAGCGCTCTGGCTTCGTACTCTATTTTCTGAACTTGGCCTACCATTTAAACACCCTCTCGATATCTTCGTTGACAACCAAGGCACCATTGCATTTGCTCAAAATTCTGGATTTCACACTCGCTCGAAACATATCGACATTCGGCACCACTTTATTCGCGAGAACATTACCTCTGACAAGGTATCAGTTCACTACTGTGCAACTGAAGATAACATAGCCGATATATTAACAAAAGGACTTGATCAAAACAAGCACGAACATTTCCTCGAGCTCCTCGGGATGTGTCGAGCTTGAGGGGGAGTATTGTGATATATGGAACTTAGCAGAAGTATCCCGAAGGATCTACTGTATTCGTCAGTTCATGGTACAGTACTTTGTAGAATATTCTAGTACTTATGCATTTTATTATAAAGGCTCGGGTAGAAAACCAAATAATAATCTTAACCTACATCATAACCCTAGCATACACAACACAACCGATATGAGAAGCAATGATAGACATGTCGTGAGCCACATTACTAGAATTTGGACTGTGAGGCTGAAAGTACTAAGGTTTGAGAGTTCCTGATACTGACTTGTTACCTGCGAGGAGGTTATCAGCGGTACATAATAAAGACAGTCTAAAATAATTGACAGACCAATAATCGTAACATGGAACATGGGTGCATCAAAGAGAGTAATCTCAGTGATTTCTACACTGAATTTCACTTGTCAACAGGTATATGAGTAAAAATACGGACTCAAGGATTACATACTTGTTGCAAGTTTGGAAACGGATGAGACGAGGCCGATCAGGGAAAAGTGAAAGCTATGAGTGGGGATTATTCAGTAACATGTTGAGGTAGCAGCAGTAAGGACCATACATCGCCACCCTCGCGATAGCGGTATCCATTCCCTGGTATCAGATGAATAATTTTGGGTAACGTCCCATTATACTATGAATTGAGAAACTCACCAAAAATTGCGCCAGGTCCGTTCAAAAGAATATTATCGCAATTCTAAAGGTCCCAGAGGTTAGAAAGGTTCATTCAACGTAACCTTGCAGGAGATAAGCACCTCGAAAGTAAGCATTGTGCCAGTTAGGTCAGGATTGAAGGGTAAATAGATATCTCCAGCAATATGCAAATTCCAGTTCATGGCGTCATCGAATGTTACAGTTGATCTGATGAAACGAAAAAAAGAACGAAAAATATTAATGATGGATTGCTTCATCGAACATAGAACAGCGATAACTAACGCAAGTAGATAATCTCCAGCAGGGACGTAGAGGAGCACATCGGTAGCAACTGTGGTTGTGACTTGGGGTATAACGCATTCCTGCCAGGCCTTTGTCAATGCAGGTCCCAAATCAGTGGTGTTATCAGCGACAGCGCCTATGAAGAAGATGTTGGGATTAGTATCCAAGCCTCTGTAATTCGAGAACGCACCGTAGTCGAGTACACTACACTCGATGAAACCAAAGGCTGTCTGAACCCAGGAACCCAGGAGCAGAAGAGCACCAATGAGTAGGAAAAAAGACATAGCTCATGGTAGGCCTAGTATGTCTGAACAATCTTTTTAAATGAGAATGGGTGAACCTTGGCTTAATCTCCGTTTGGATATCGGGCGACTTTTCAAGGAATTTGAAAATTATGACATGAAGGTGGTGGTGACCAGTGGGCCGCGATGGAACTGCAAAGAGCTTGTGGGTGAGGAGTGAGAATTTGGTGAGGAAAGTACGAGGAAGAGAACTAACTACGCATTCCGTACTTCCGGAGCACGTGTGAAAGCGAGCTAAAGTTTATAATATCAATAGGGGTGCTCTTCTCTGCCTCTTCGAAGTTCTTCTCCTCCTTCACAAAATACAATAAATATCTGGAAACATTTTGGTTAGTTGAGTTGATCTCAAAATTTAATCACTCTATGTTTCGTTTGGTTTGGAGAACGGGCCGCCTGCATAAGCCTGTGTGCATCTTTAAGATACGCACCCTGCCTGTTTTGGTCGTTTTCCTCCCATGATCATTTATTATACATGCGCACCACCAATTCACCATCACTTGTATGTCTGGCCCATTTATTCGAAGAGTCCCCATGCTCATTCTGGGAGGCAGAGAAGAGTGCATAAACAATGAGACCCTGAGTTATTTATGATTGAATGAATCAACTCTTCAAAGCTTTCACCTATAGGAACTTTGCGATGAGTAAAAAATCGCCCCGAGACACACATATTTTGTGCCTTTGAACGGAATATGTCATGAGTACAAAGTTTTTGTTGTGATATTTACAACAAGAAACATTTACTCTGAATCAAATTGTGTTACTGATCAGGCTGCTAATTAACCATGCACAAAAGTCACCCGAAATGCCATGATCTTCTTTGGGAATGTAGAATGAGAGGAAAGTGGAGATATCATCTGCAGTAGGGCGTCTAGAGGGCATTGGATCCCAACAGCTGCTTACAAGTTCCGGAAGATCCCCCGACATTTGCGCCAGTGAGGCAGGAATTTCCGGCCTACATCCTCGCAAAACTTGGGAGATGACTGCAACATCATATTTAATGTCTTGAAATGGAACTTTCCCAGAGAGTATCTACAGCAAAAAAAATCAGAATCATCTCTATCAGCGCATATGAAAGCTCAACCTCAACCACAGTGCACCCAAACGCATAGATATCTCGAGATTTTGGCTGGATAAGATGGAATAATTTGGGATCAAGGATTTCCGGAGACATCCAGCGGACTGAACCACGTAAATTCAATGATTTTTCATGAAGACTAGGTGATTCCGTCACAAGTGCAAGTCCGAAATCAGCGAGACAACAATTAAAATCATCCATGATGAGGATATTTGCCTTAGCACAGATTGTCAGTTTAACAAATAGAATATCTCTTTGGAATTGCGAGTTACTGACTCTCCGTATGTCACCATGTATTATGGGCGGATCTAATCCATGCAAATACTGTAGTCCATCTGCTACTTGGGAGATCTATGATTGTTTGAGTTGGAAAGTCATGGATATAAATTCATATGTGCAATTACCCAAGGGAGCCGGTTTTGTTCGGGATGGTTTTCCAAATATGTCATGATGTTTCCGTTTTTCATCCATGGAGAAATGAAACAATAGCTTGGAGAGAAGAGGATTTCATTCACGCCGATGAAAGGCAATACATTTGGATGATCCAATTGTTTCCACACCAATGCTTCCTCACAGAATTCCTGCAGAATTCCATGCACTTGCATCATTTGGGCAGAAGAATTTTTAAATACCTTCAGCACTTGCTGGCTAACCTTACCATTTGAAGTAAAAATTCTCAGAACCTTGAGGCAAACATTCATGTTATTTAACCTCCCTAGCCAAATGTCCTGCAAGTAATGATGAAATTCAAAACAAAAATAACGCTGAACAAACTACTTACTGCAAATCCACCACCTGATACTGCATGTGTTCCTATCCTGATCACATCATTGACAGAAAAGGAGTTTGGTAACACGCAGAATGTTTTAGCCAGGTATCGCAGGGCCTTCAAACACTTCCGTCTATATTGCGACGTGAAATTCTCCTCGAAGGTTATTCAATCTCTTGAAAATATGCAAGCGAGACCTTTATTTACCTCTCTCCGAAAGTCAATTATTTGATATCCTGTGCTCAGTCGAGGGAGCTGTCGAGTTGCGTTCAGCTCCTATCGGATCAGCATTTGGCTGTTAGTCTCAGCCTCACTTGGCTCCATTTAGGTGCTTACTTCCTGAAGCAAATCCATTACATGTTCCACCCAATCGACTCCCAATTCCCAAAGCCATTTCCAGGGGTCCGCAACCTCCGATAGCACAAGTGCACGAAGCTGTGCTGTATCATAAATGAAGTCCAATGATGCATCTGTTTTGGAGATAGACCAGATTTGATTGCCAGATATAGTGCTGGCGAATATGAATATTGAATTGCCTTGCACTGATATACTGCATATAGAACTGCAATCTTGAATGAATGTAATAAGGTGTTGCATAAGATGCGGACAGTACTCCAAGAGTCTTTCCGAATGCCTGATAAAGTGAAAGTGATGTGATCTAAACGTTAATTTAGTATATCCAAATGGAAAATATAGGACAATCAAGAGGTACCGAGTAAGGACCCAATGATACACCATTTCTGATAGTGGCGCGATTATGTCTGAGCCTTGGGAGCAGAGGGTGTTCATTTTGGAGAGGAACTTCATACTGCTTTCCAGCAAGTGTCGAGACATGAGTAGCTCAGGGGAATGATCAGTAGGGCAAACGCGAGTAGGTACCCAATCCAGCCAGTGGGTTGCTCGAGTGACCTGATATGTAGTGCTGGGTATTGAACCAGGTGGTATAATACAGGATGGTATAATACATGTATTATACCGTATTATACCTTTGCTACCATGAGGCCTAGAAATCTGATGTATTATATGTATTAAAACCCTTGAGCTTTACTGTGAGTTGCTACAATATCTTGTGCATTATAGTACTTCTGTAGTGAATAGATTATTTACCTATAAATCTTGTTGTCACTTATAGAGGTGTAAGGCCAAAGCGATCCGATGATATCTGTATCTGATTTGCCTGCCTAAGATTTTTGCTTTTTTTGTCGCATCGCGTCGCGTCGATCTGCCTCATCACCTGTAATGCTTACAGATGAAGACTATCAGATGCTCCTGGAGGCTTCTGTCTCCTTCTTGGAGAGGAAAGACTTTGGAATAGTAGAGCTTGAGGAAGTTATGGATCAAGTATTTGGCCAAAATAGAGGAGGGGAGGATGCAAAAGCCTGGTCCATGCACTGGACTCAGTTATCACTGTATGAAGAGCAAGCTCAAGAAGGTAGAAGTATTGGGCCACCACCAAAGGTAGAGATATATCCATCAACTCTCGAAGCTTGAATTACTGAATGTTTGTTAGATTCCATCGCACTCAAGAGATGACTCAGATTTAGACAGACCCTGCCAACCTCAGCACCAGAACGAATTGGAATCAGAAGAACCAGGCCAAACTCAGCTCAGCAATGCATTGCTTCAGAACACTGTAGCTGATCGTGAACGTGAACGACAGGAGCGATTGTCAAATGGCAACATTTCACCTCGAGAAATTCACAAAACTGGGAAACGACCTTGTGACATTTGTGTCAGTATAGCAATAGAGAGGATAATCACAGGAAAGAATGGGAAGGCCACCAAAATCTACTATTGCATTGGTTGTGATGCAGACCGCAGTAATAATGCACGTACTCGAGCATTTCCTCATGCTATTCAATGCGAGGTCAGATCTTATGTCTTGAATATGTCCTGTACTTACTTTCTGCCCAGTCATTGGAACGGAACTGGCCCAGCGAGTTTAAGAAAGTCCAAGCCGAGATGGCAAAACAATCAGGGGAGAAAACCTCAACAGGTAAATCCACTGCTCCATCAGTCCGAGGTAAGAAGCGCAAGATTGAAGATGAAAGTCATGAGCGGGAGCCAATTCTCACATCCGTATCACCATTGGATCCTACATCTACCCAGACTGGGTTAGATACTGCAGCTCAGCCAGCTCTTGAAGCCTCATGGGGTGAGGTTACAAAGCTTACAGCTGCTCGCCAGGCTCGGATTGATTACTTTTTACTCCGCTTCATTATATGTTGCGCAATTGCATTTTCAATAACGGACAATGGGTTTTTCCGGGACTTCATTCATGCTCTGTGAGTGACTAATTCTAGTAACTTTCTATATCTGATGTTTCTCCAGGTGTCCGGCATACTCGCTTCCTGATCGGTCCAATTTCTTTACTGCCCATATTGCCGCTGAAGCAGCAAATGTGGCAAACCAAGTTCTTGTCTTCCTGGCAACATTCATCCACCTCACAATCTCATTCGATGGTTGGTCAAGCAAACGCGGTGATGAAATCTATACTGTTCACATCACTACACCTATGAGACGCTCATTTCTGGTGGATGGTTTGATCTTAACTGGGGAGTCTACTGATGCCGAAAGCTTATTTACACGGATTGGAGAAGTAAGTAATTGTCGATGCTCAATCGCTTGCACTTATATCAGTGTTAGATCATTATCCGCTATGTTGTTTACCGTTTTTCCATGATTGTTTCCGACACAACTGGAAATGTCAAGAAATGTCGCCGACTTATCTGTACAAAGTGGCCATGGATACTCAACTGTCCTGATCCCTGTCACCAACTCAACCTCATGATGAAGGATGTTATGGTTGGATCAAAAAAATATCCAAAAATTCTTGCATTTACGGAAGTAAGACCAGCTCAACTTCATTTTCATCCATTTCAGAAACTTATTATAGTCTCCACTAGCCTATGCGTATCGTCTCCGCTATCACCACATACTTCTCGCATAGCAATTATGGCAAATATCAGCTCAGGGATGAGCTCAAGAATGAACCCAGCCGACGCGGAATTCAGGTTGGCGGTGCAACAAGATTTTCGACTTTTGCTACCCACGTCCAGAGTATCATACGCTGTTCAGATGCAATGGAAAGATGTGTTTCAAAGGACCGTATCAAATTTGATACACCCGCGGTAAGTACTCCTCCATAAATCATAGTTTATGCCAGATATTCATGTCTTTCACAGACTAAAGAGTTACGAAAGTATATCATTCATGGCTCTGATCGTTTCAAATTTCAACTTCAGCTTCACAATGCAAATTTGCTACTACAACCTATTGCACGCGGCCTACTGACTCTCGAAGGACAGAACACAATGTGCTCCGATGTCTTTTTTGTCTTCATTGGCATTGCGATTGGTTTCACCCGTGTGTTTCAAGATCCAAGTAAGTCATGAACAAATCTATTGCTTTGTATATGACCAAATTGTGTACTGCAGCTAGTGATGTTTATTGTCATCGCGCTGAGACTTTTGCTGTTTTTGACCGCCGTTTTGATATATTCCTCAATGACTGTACAAAAGATATGTTTATCCTTGCTTATCTGCTTGACCCCAGTGCGTATTTTTCCCTATGGAGGACAAGCAGAAACTAACTTTCTAAAGTGTACTACCCAGATGGAGCTCTACGCCTTGAACTCCCTCCCCGATCTGAATTCAGGCAGAGCTCCTGTACACCTCTAGTCCGGCGCTTAATCGGATCGGCTCTTCAAATGCTTCAAAATGAACAAAAAAGAGAGCGATTGGGCACCGAGGAAGATGGGCGCACGATGGTAAAAGAGCTCACTGGTGAGAAACTCTGGATTCTATGACAACCGTTTCTGAGTTATTCTTTTGCAGCATATCTGTATCGCGAATCCCCCTTTGATATCCCTGTGAAGGATGCAAGTAAGCGGCTTGAATGGTGGAATCACATATCAAAAGACAGTGGTGCTTGTCAGGTTTCGGTGCGGGTTTCTTGCTAACTTATTGCATCCTCGCTTATATGTATTCTACTGCTTCAGAAACTCGGTATCAAACTTTTTAGTGTGTCACCATCCGAGATGTGCGATGAGCGAGGCGCCTCCAAGTTGTCAGGCCTTGATACTGCGAAGCGTAATGGCTTGACTGGTCAGAACTTAATTTGGATGGCTCAGCTTCAACAATATTGGCGGTATGGATTTTCGGATCCGAAATATACACACACGGCAAGACTTGACCTGGACCAGCCTTCCACTTCCAGCTCTATCCAGCTCCCAGCTCCGACTTTGAACGATCTTCTGAACCCGGCCGGTCCAGAGATAGACGAGGAAAACCTTAGCTTCAACATATCTGATCCATATGGGGCTACAGCACTTGAAGATGGGGAGAACGAAGACGACGAAGAGATGGATGATACGGGTGTCATTCCTATCATTACTCGAGCCAGCATTGACCGCCTCAAAATCGAGTCGCTTGTCAATTTGTCCTGTGGCAAACTGCTTGAGCGCTATGATCCGCCATCGCAGATGAAGAATGTTCCGAAGGAGAAGCCATCGAACACTCAATCACAACAAGCATCAAAAAAATGGAGTGCGAAGGACTCCGAGTGGTCTCTTGACAGTGTCTGGTAGATATTTAGTTGTTCAATACTTATAATACCTATGATACAAGATATAATACGTGTATTATACGGTATTATACCTAGAAAAAAAATTGCCTGCGGCGCTTACATAATACTGGTATAATACATATAATACGAGTGATACTTATCATACCACAAGCTCAATTCTTGATACCGTATCATACCAGACAGATTTTTATGATACCCAGCACTACTGATATGGGGGTTCTGAAGCAATCTTCAGATACAACATGGTCAGCGGGCTTTTGCTAAACAGTCGACACTCATTTATAGATATGCATCAAGTCAAAGTCAATGCAAATGAAGTAATTCAAGCAATAAATTCGAAAGCTGCATCTGCAAAACCTGTATTTTTGGCTAAGGGTCCGAAAGCAATTGGGAGCACTTCCCAGCAGTGAAAGCACTCAGAGCATATTGCTTTCAGTGCTTTCAGCACTGGGATCTGCTGGGATCTGCTCTCAGACCTTAGCCGAATATCCAGGTTTTGCAGATGTGTAGAGATGTCTACCTACAGTATGATGCACGGCGACTATCTTGAATTCATTGATTAATTTGAGGCACCCGGGTTGTGCCTAATTTTGCCCCGAAGATTGCATGTGCATACGATGCACAACATTCAGAAGCCTCTAGAGCTACTCATAGCCTCATACAGTGAATTAATCAGAACCAATCACTGTAATGCACCTGTAGCGATGGATCCCGACTTTTGGCCCCAGTGTTGATCGAGGAACAAAGCCATTTGCATTTGTGAATGAACACTCTCTAGGCTTCTCTAAGTTGCCTTTGGACTTCGATAAGATCTGGGTTGTTGTGAAGGACGGTGACATGTCTCCCTGGATTACAAATTCTCATTTGTTCAGGATGGACACACAATCCTGGTCACACACCAATCCACAGCTATCCACAGGCTTATACATCCCTCAGGCAAATACGCAGAAGGAAAGATGTAAAATGAAGCCAAAATAAGTCCTGAGCCGCCACCCGTGAGCTGCCAGTGAGAAGATGGGGGATGCACGATATGTATCCTTTGTACATATCACTGTTCGCCCTGTATTGAAATTTTGGTAAAAGGGAAGGCGAGGATTATTGATAACTTACCGCTATGTATCACCACATATTCTTGACCCTCTCTCACCACGTACTGAATCTGAAAGGATGTGACGCGCCAAATGTTGCAAAATAATTCTCATGTAACCAAGGCCATTTGTTAGTAACAGCTTGGCAGTTTCAAGTTGTTTAGCTGTTGTTTTTTCACCATTCTATGGTGTGCACTTGTCATATTCTTCCTTGTATCATGTATGCCTTTGCTCACCAGATAATCTTTTGATAATAACCTCATATAGGTTCTCCACCTTCATGATATCTATCGCCCAGGCCAATTGTTCATGAGGTGACAAATTTTACGATAGATTTGTGGAAGCATACTGGTAGTCGAAGCAGTTCAGAATTTTCAGGTCGCAGTGAAAACAGTCGGCACTGAAGAAATTCGATTCTCGAAGGAATCGGATGGGCTGGGTGTGTGAAAAGTTAGATCTTTGTTCTTGATACAGATATCTCAGCTTTGCTGGTGCAGGACCAGTTGTGTGCGAATGAAGAATTGTTTGTGGTGATCCTCTCTTGCCCTCCGCTGTGCATTCTTGTCCGGATTGATAGGATAAATGACATCTCGTATCGTGTGTGTCATTTTTGTTCCTTATAGCGGGATGTAGATTGAGGATCTTGAGCAGCAATTGAAGAAGACGAGCTTGCGAGGTCGTATACTTATCGTCCGTGAGTTTTGTTTGTTAGCAATGAACAAGAACACGATCAGCCTTGACCAAGTTGAAGTGAACATCATCAGACTGCACAACATAGCATGTCCTATTTGTATTTGGATTAGGGCCGAATAAGTACACGATACATACCAACAGCGAACAGGCTACAATAGCAAAGAGACATTCATAATAAAATAGGAAATAGTGGATACAAATGTAGGACGAACTGAGAGCCTTGGATCTTCGAATTGGTTCCACAAACCGTACAAGAGCAGCAACTCCTCCCAGACTCGTCATACCGGTTGTTCTTGACGCCCCCGCCCTATCATCACACCAACTCTGAGACCCTCAAACCTTGGGATCAAGGTGTTGGTCATGATCGTTTGTCGGGCTAGACGACGTATCAACAACACGTAGTCCCACTCTTGATTCACCATGTACCCCTGCCGACCCATAATATGGTTCTAATCTAATATCCTCATCGTAACTCATTCGACCAATTGAACCAGGGCGACTGGAATCGTACTCACTCGGACTCGTACGACCATTTTGCCCTCTCAGGGAACCGATATTCATGCTATGCTTGTTGTAGGACACTGGACGACCCGTCGTAAGACCGAAGGCATCGTCAAAACCGGCGTTCGATTTGGCAAAGCGGCTGTGGGTCTCGGGCACCCCGCGGATGTAGGCGATGAAGAACTTGAGAGAGTACCATATTTCCAGGGCAAAGTCACCTACAGTGAGAGAAGGATAATCAGCGACTATATTTCGGAGAGGTAAGCTTGAAGAAGACTGACTGAAATTTATTCTGTTACAAAATAGTACTAATCAGCGAAAGCTATCATTTGAACACGAGGGTGACATACGAGTCCCATAACGGTCGCCAGATACTGGTCGGTTTCGCTCCTTCAATACGGTACGCAGCGGGTGTGTAAGCCCACCACATGAAACAGGCGAAAAATATCATCTGAAGGTTTCCCGTTGATACACTGCCATCCATACAGGAACCCAATGTACTCGCCTCAATACAAATCGTGAGCGCATTCAGCCCATCAGCGATGTTGGTCTCTGACCAATACTCCGTTGCTAAATGAAGAGAAGGGTTCCATCAGTAAACTCACAAAGCTGATTGCCATTGGGACATGATACGTACCATGAATGACACGGCCCTCGAGAGCGTCGAACTGATACATCGCAATGGATATGTATCAGCGTCAGAAGATAATACAAGACCTTCAAGGAATCACTCACCACGAAAGATTGATACCACGTAAACATTACAATCAACTTGATAGCCAAGAACTTTGCGAGGGGTCGTCGACCGGCGAGTTCCTCTCTGGTGAGAGCGTAGAATAAGATGAGACCGTATAAGGCGATACTATGACGACGTGGGGTATGATGAACATTGAACAACGAAAAGACGACATAGACAGCTGTACCTGATAGTGACGAAATCGATGGCCTCGAGATAGACGTTGGCGTAGTGGACGTTGAAGCCTGAGGATTCGCATAGGACATTGAATGCTTGACAGATGATGCCGGTGATGGAGATGGCTGAAAGATGCGGGAAACCCGTCAATGATTGAACTTGGATGATGAAGTGGGTGGAGACATACCGGGTCTAAGTATAACATATTGCAGGACAGCCCACTGTGCAAATAAATCGAGATGAAAATCCTGCAACCTATACTCAGATATTTGCGGGTTTAGTTACCTTGAGAGTATACATGAAATATGGCTGCGGAACTTTCGCGTCAGTCAGATAATGACAGCATCAACTGCGGACATACCTTGGTAGGTCGATACCGCCAATGACAAAACTAGATATTGGATGCGAACATGAGAGCCATCCTCCAGAGTAAGAAAGAGGCGGAAAACGAACAGGAAAAGGTAGATTCCGTTTCCCTTTTCGGGCGATGGAACTTTCGGGGTTGTGGCCTGAACCACTGTCGGCCACGAATTCAATCAAGAGCATTCTACGAATCGTTGCGGTTAGGAAAGAGGCAAAGAGGGGAAGTGTAAGCCACAAAAACAGCTTTCTGTAATGGGGAAACACGCACAAGAAGGCACTGAGCGTGAATGCCTTGAACGGTCTGCGTGTGAGATTTCACGTCGTACATAGAGCGATAGAATGAATCACTGACCTCGTATACTATAAACAACAATGGGAATTAGCAAGACCGAAGTAGATGGAAAGGGCATTACACACCGACTTCAGCTAGATCATAGTATGTATAACTTCTGAAGAATCGATATGAACAGAAGGATATGACGGCGTATATTGGGGGCATGTAGAGGATTCGGAGACTGTGGAGATTTGGATAGGAAGGTTGAGTATTGGGAGAATAAATGAAGCGATGATTGCTCCTGACATTTGTCGTTGCTCCGCTGGCTTGGTGTATGTCCTAAGTTGTTCTAAATACGAAATGATACTTGAAGAATCGTGCTTGCGTACCGACAATGCTGAAAGACAGAGATCATGGATATGAGAACGGTCTGAGAAACGAATCAACGATTAACGAGCAATAGGTGTCAATGAATCAATTGAGTTAGTGGCAGATTATAGTAGACAGGGACACATACAGCTACAGAGCATGCACCGGCAATAGCCCATCCAATTCGATGTGCATCCCATTCAATCCCTCCATCCGGATTCCAGAATCCAGTTTGGTCCACGGCTTGCTGATTATCTGAAGGACATGTTGGCATTACGAGCAAGGATATTATGATATTGAGAGGTAAAGCTGGATAGTGATGCAGAAGGAAAACCCGATGAAATTGAGCGTGAAGGGGAAAGGGGCGGCGCAAGAAGCAGTGATGGAGGTTCGGTCAGAGTGAAAGATTGACTGAATTATTATATCGAATTCTCTTTCTCTCACGCCTGTCTCATAACTGCGCTGCGGTTCAATTCGGGTTCAATTCCGGGCATCTCGTCGCTTTCTCATCGTAAGCAGATCTTTTATCCGTGTTCAATGCAATGGCACCCAGCCGTGCAGCCATACAAGGATGAGTTGAGCAACAGAAGGATTTCACAGCTTTCTTGCCTTTCGGAAATACAAGCTCAGTTTCCATCGAAAGAAAGATCAGACGTAGCATAAGGTATATAGCATTGCTCGAAGTCCAGCCATACATAACAGCAGCTTGCTTCTATTATCAGCCTGGAACAACTGGAACAAGGAAGCCTTGAGGACTAAACGAGGAGGAGTACAACAATCCACGAGTATCAAATCCAGCCAAGACCATTTGTGTTTGTATCGCCTCACGGAATCCCATATCAGAAAAAGACGAGCTCCGATTCCATGGAGAACGACAAGACCATCAAGACGACTTTGTAATAGGATAATACCGTTATTGCAATTTAAGATCAAAACTAAATCGCGCCTTCCGAAACTGCTTAGCCAAATTTTACCTGTATGAGTATCACAGAACGCAAAACCTCTGTAGCCTCGTCAGTCCCGCCCTACGAAACAAGCGATGGCTCCGGCCTCGGACGAGAGCATGAGATGATAACGACGACGGTGACTAAGCCACCTCCGAAGCCCAATGACTGGGCTGTGTACAAGTTGTTGGGTGCGACCACTAGCTGAAACGAGGTAAAACACCGGTAGACAGAGGTTCGACCGTACTCATCGCCAATAATTATGGGAGTATCGCTCCGCGTTCCAGCACGAAGAATACGTCTTTCAGATCCACGATCGTGCGTCGCTAGTCCGTACCCAGGTTGAAGTTTTGAAGTCATACAAACGTACGAAGCTGGCGTTCAAGGAAGTTCAAGGATAGGATAATGGAATCCAGGAGCGCAAGGAGGTTCTTGACCTATGATTCGGTGTTTGGAGACGAGGCGTAGATGTACCAGATACCAATCTATTGATACCGTTATGACACGCGAGAGCTGCAAACGAGCGAATACTCACATTCACGGGACAGAACGTTACTTCTCTCCTTCTACCAGAGTTCATTAGTTCAGGTAAGAGACCTGCCCGAAACGTCGTTGCTTCCGGAGGAGCGAATCTGATGTACTAATGAACACGATAGAACGAACCTACCGCAGTTAGTAGAAGATCGCTCGGCTATTAGGATTCGGATGATTTAAATGGACGGATATTGAACAAAGAGTCGTTATTTGAGTTTGAAAGAAAGATCATTGCGTTTTGCTCCTAATGATCTTGTTTGGACGAGCTGAAGAGTTTCGGAATCGATAGAATATCCTAGAATTACTGCAATTGAGACCAACAGAAGGTTGAAGAGGATTAAGAGTAACGGCGATGCGTAATCACGCTCGACAGCTTAAGATTCGTCATCAAAGTCAAAGCTGTTTCGGAGTTTTCCAAGCCTCTTCGTCCCACTACGATGTTTCCTAAAGCTTGTACTGCTACCAAGGATTCCTCGAGGCGGAGCTCATTCACAACATTGAGAATGCTCAAGATTTAACTCAAAGCTCGTCTGTTGTCCTGCAAGCAGTCCAACGATCCTTTTGCTCAAGGTGGAACTCGGGGTTGATATCCACAAAATGTCGTCCTACACTTGTATCAAGACAGCTTACAATGCTTGTTCACCCGCTCGTAGAATAATTTATAATCGCCCAGGATCACAACATAAATAACATCGAACAGTCACCCGGATCCGTCATCTCATTTCTGTGAGCAGAGAAAGCTCCTTCCAACGGAATTGACTTGAAGGAACCCTTAACTGCAAGTTAGCCAGTTTATTCCGAATCTTCCGCTTTTACTGAAACTCACATTGTATGAACTTTCGGCGCCTTCAGTCGTCGTTGCCAATTCTTTCCACGCATCTCTCACACCAATATCTGGCCTCATTCGGCAGCGCGGCGTCGTTACTAAACCCAGGGAGGATGAGATTGAATCAGTAATTGTAGGTAGGTTGAGAATAAGACGAGAGGAAAGGCGACCGAAGGTGTATTAGTTTCGTTTAGATCACAGAAATGACTCAAAGCACGTACACCGGTACTGGAATTGGGCTCGCACATACTGTCGTTGTGAGGCCTACAACGACCACGCAAACCAAGGCAAATTGAAAAAACTGAGTCAAGATTGGTGCCATTCCTACTACAGTAGTTCGACTGACTGGCTGAGATGGGTGGTTGGATTGGGGTGTTACTGATTAGGGAAAAGGTTCGAAACGAGATGAAGTATATATGCATTTTTCGAATTTCAAATTTATCCTTTTGAACTCACTTGTTCGTCTTCTTGCTTCTGACGTCGTAGAACGAATCAGGAACGTGCAGAATGTGAAATCTACACTGAACACAGAGTTGCAAGAGTTCTAGAGATGTAAATAACTCGGAACCTTTGTATGATATCCTGCTTCCCGCATTTGTCAATAAAGGCCATCCTGTTCCTGACCACAACCACATCAAAGTAGATCAAAGTCCGGTGTCCTGAAGACGGAGCTAGGCTGATTGTCGTTGTGAGTGCTTCACCATTTTGAATCTGATGAAGCTCTCGCACCCGGCGCTATGAACATGAACACCAATCCGTGTCTGAGAGAAAATAGGCATCGTATAAATTCCATTCCCATCCACCCGCCAGGTACACGCATCGATACCAAAATTGGTAGTACTAGTCCATATACTCGAGTGCCTAGAGTGATGTCGGTGATCCAATCCCCGTCTTCTGAACAGCTTTTAGCCTGTGTAAATCTTTAGACCCAGTTCTGATTGATGCTGTATGGCGAATTGTTTTTGACATTTCTTAACTCGCTTTCTAACAGTTAGAATCAATGTGCAACCTTTTTGATCAAAAAATGCATACACCAGTGTGCAAGTTTACTGTTAATACACATAGCTGGAGGGAGTTTGGGGGCGATGATTCGAAGTCCTCTGAGAGGACCTTGTTGGAAGCGGAAATTCAAAACCATCTGAGCACATGTATAGGGGTATTTACTTGTAGGATATATAGGATGTACATACCCAGGAGGGACAACATCCCACAGGGTGCAAATCTGCATAAGTTGCTGCCACTTACAGAAGACTTTTGGAAAATTGATGTAAATTTCCGATAAGATAAGATTTGTGACTTATGAGATTATGCTCTGCAGAAAATTATAGAATTTCTGTTGCAAGTTCGAAATGCCATGATGATGTAAAAACGCAACATATGACTCCAGATAATACCCCAGAGTTATGTAGCTCTTTCAGGAGAAGCCCAACTTCACATCGCCGGGTTCAAAGTGTTAGGATAAAGTCAATCTCAGTTGGTATTGTAACAACTATATCTACCTGTTAGGATAAAGTCAATCTGCTGAATATTAGTACCGATAATATGTCTGTATATGCTCAACGAGCTCACCTCAGTTGGTATTGTAACAGCTGAGGTGAGTCGAGTACGCCGAACGTGTGATCTAGGTGTGGCTGTATAGTATCAAGTATGCCGTCTCTTGTTTATATGAGTCCCCGAGAGGCGTATGGAGTATATTGCCCAACATAAGGTTCATCTTTTCATTTCCTCTGGCATTTCATCTTCAAGGAAACTTTGAACCTGGTGATGTGAGTGTGAAGACATACATGAAATGAAGTACATAAATTTACATTCATGCGCCTGATAAATAAATGAGGTGAGTCCGGGGTGAGTCAGGTTCATTGTTCGAATTGGAAGCAAATTGAATTCAACTCACCTACAATCTCTTGCTTTTCCTTATATTCCATACTACATAGGAAGAAATCGACTTGGAGATCAGAATTTTGTTCTGATCTTAAGGTCAACTTTATACACTTTTTACCAGAGTGTAGTTTATGTACCGTCAAGTGTGATTCGTCATCTTCATTCTTGACACTGATGTCTACTTTGACTCGGAAAGCTGTAACATATTTTCCTATGGGTTGAATCTTCCATTACCGTTGCTTTTCAACCCTTGAACTTAGTCAATCAAATTGCCCCTATATTGCTGTTGTTTGTTGACACAAGATGATTAGATGGTTGGTCAGAAATGGTGAACCGCAATTGGCCATTGCTGATGGGTTTGGAAAATGGTAAATCTTCGTACCTTACTCATGGAGAGTCATCATGACCTTCATGCATCAGTTGTTTCATATTTGTCTTCCATGGAAATCAATCATTTATACAACATTAAACAGTTTGATTCATTACTTGCAAGAGGTTGTCAGTAATTATGGAAGTGTTCTCAATAGGAGGGCTGAACCGCTGAAGTGAACAAGGTTTAGGATGCTTTCTGCAAAATTCTTTTGCATATGGATACAGATATTCTATATATACCAGTGTGAAAATATCTTCTGGTGTTCTGTTTTCTTCCCCCTCAATGAATCCTGAAGAACACACCCTACTGTCTCAAGCTGCAGGCAATCTATATCTTGAAGTTTGGAGTATCATATGTACAACAGTTTTCTATGGTAAGCGACCAATGAAAGTCAGAAAGGTGTACCGTCATTCTCAAACTTTTTTGTCTAAGGGATCTATGTACTTGCAGGAGTCATCAGCATCTACCTTTTGTCAGCCTTAGTTGGATGAATTTTCATGGATCATACTCATGTTCTCGCAGTATTAGTACTGACATTGCCAGGCACGGGATTCACCCACTCCCCTTGACCGCTGTACTGGTGACAATGTTCATGACTGTTGACTTCGTTGGCAGGGGATGCTCGATCCTGACCCGAATATGTCAAGAATTTATGGATTCAACAACCGAGATTTCTCTCAAAAAACAGTTCAAGGCTGTTGGTGATTCAGGTCTGGTATGGACAATAATCCTAGGCTGGCCCCAAGGGATTTTAGTAAGTCAAAATATGTGTGCATAACTAGTCTAAATAATAAATGATAGCTTCTTTTGAGTGACTTCATTGTTGCTTGGAGAGCTTGGGCAATTTGGCCTACTCAAAGATATGTTGAAGTGATGTTAGTTACTGTGTTAGTCGGAAGCTGTGGTGTGTTATCCATGAAATGATCTCATTCAATCATTCTTATTTATCTATCTCAGTGCTCCGCATTTGTGATGAAGTTTTGTATACCTTGAACATATATTTTCCTGGTCACAATACCACCAGCTCAACACTTGGTGTTTTCAACATGCTATCCCTGGGCTTCAGTATACTCACAAATATTGTCTCCACTTTTCTTCTTGCACTCAAAACATGGTAAATATAATTTCTCCACCATGGTAAAATTTTGAGATTAAGATTTATTATCCCACAGGATTTATGTCACAACAAAGCGGCAATTAGCAGTAAGATAGGTTCTAGTCAGTATGACAATAATCAACCCGAAGTTCATTCATCCAGCGGATGCTTTCTTGCAAGCATTAATGAAAGGAGTAGCGGTAGGTACTTCAAATTGGAAATACTTGGTCAGGTTTAATCAAACCCCAATACCCATTAATTGTGAATGGGTGTATTCCAGGCACTATACCCTATCACAGTTTTTCTCATAATGAAGCTACGATTGTCAATTGTTGAAGACTGCATCTTGGTGCAAGTACAGACTTCGAACAACAGTGGTTGATCAACAGAAGACTAACTCAATTCTTTTAACTTTTCACTTACAAGTACTATAAAATGATGTGTTTTTCCATACTCTATCTCACACAAATATCTGTCACTCAGTTCAGTCCCCTAATAATCCCATCAATTTATTCGAGGAATAGATCCACCGCTATACAATCCTCCAGAATGTAATTCGGATGTTTTGCAAGGGGCTGGAACACGAGATCAAGACGATTGACAGGGAATGCCGAGATATTTTGACAAATTGCCCAATTGTCTGCGTGTCCGTTACCCAGGAAAATGGGGCCGTCTGTTGGTGAGTAGGGACTATCATCAGTGTACGGGCTTTCCTAAAGAAAATCAAGGTCTCATCAGGAACAGTATCTTGATAATAATTATCACTAGAATTGACATACAGAGGCACAATATCCATCATATCCATTGTATCCATCAGGAAGAGTTGCTTGGGTTTGGAAGATGACACTTTCTCCTTGGTGCAGGTCTATACTGATAATTGGAGATGGATTAGGGCCTTGAATACCTTCGGGATAAGGTACAGTGGGAACGAGGAATCCTTGTGGGTCAGTGTTGTTTCCAAATGAGAGGTCGATCCATGTTATGTTACAGTTTTGACAGGCCTGACGAAATTGTGATCATCTGTGAGTAGATATTGAAAGGTTCATTGAACTTACCGAGAGTAATGACCAAGTTGTATCCCCAACAGTGAGAACGTCGATAATCCGGAGTACTGCACCATTCCATCCTGTCTGAAGGGTCGAAGGTTCCTTTGGACTTGCGAGGATGCTTAGCCGGGTGACATTCAGCCATGAGGGCAATGGTCCTGCGAGACATTCATTTGTGTAGGTCTCTGCAGGGAGGTTGTTCTGATACACTGAAAGGCGATTTGCGTTTCCGCAATAGTAGTCCCTGTCTGCGGAACAGGTCATTACACAGTCCGTATCAGGCGCTTGGGATGCAGCGCCTGTGCTGTTACCACACCCTGGCGAATCGTGGTTCAAGAAAATGTCAACGAGTAGTTGATTAAACGTACAGCATTCATCTCCGTATTCAGTCCCCATCATCGTATACTCGTAGAATGCACAGGCATCTGCACAAGAAGGAGGGTATACCCCACCGACTGCTTGAACTTGAGCTGGGAATGTCCGTTGAGAGACGCTATCACTATAAATGTGGAAAGAGCCTCGAAGTTCAGATAAATGCCGTGAATCGTAATTAAAATGAAATAAGAAGCGAACGATGGAACTCACACGAAGCAACCAACAAAAGACCAGAAGCTCCGAGAAAGTGTAACTGGATTGCCCTCCTGCTCAAAGTCTCCGTTCCAGTATACGTCAATGAGGTTGGGACCCCCACAGGTTTGAGTAGCATCACCATTGCATAGCATGTCGCAATTGCTGGATGCAGTCTCCTGAAAACCAACTTGATGTAGATATTCATCGCACCCTTGAATACAATGATTTAGTATCACTTATGTGTCAAGTAATAGTAACGCCTGAGGTTCAAGTTCTGAATGAACTCGAGAAGGAATTGAAAGACCATAAAAGAAAAATGCTTTCGGCTTTGTGACATGACTCGAACAAGTGTAAAACTTAAAAGAATCGCTTACAGCATTCCCCGCCATATTCAACACCGGCATATGACCAGTTGTTGGCTGAACAGTACCCGATGCATTCTGCGGGTGTCATTGTATTTGATGGGAGATTGCTTTCGGTGGTAAGTAGACGACCGGCGGCAGTGTTGTCGCTAGGTTCGAGGGTATTCAAGGTTCATGAGGAATGCGTATCAATGTATTTTCATAAGGGGGGATTGAGAGCAGAGAGGGGAAGAGAAAAGAAAAGAGGGAAAGAGGAAAGAAAGTGTCAACCAGGGATGAGCAAGCATGTTTCTGGAGCAAGATACTCACACGAAGCATGAAAAAAACTGCCATCCATTTGGGATACTGCTACCAGATTGACGAGGTACAACCAGACTTGGGTGTGGAGCTGGATTGAAGTTGGGGCGAGGAAGGACAGGAATACCGGGAGTTGCCTAGGAAAAGGAAAAGGTTTATATACATAGGTCATTGGTTTGAATGAGCTCAAGTAATTGACTCCTAACCTTTGCGAGGTCAAGTACACAAACTTGGATGAAGATCAAAAGAATGGTGAAGATCACTTGACGAAAAATGTTTTGAGCACGGGGCATTGGCGCAGATTGTTCTACTCGTAGGAATACTATGTTGGTGGACGTTGAACATTGAACTCGCGGCATGTTTTTAAAGTCTATTCATATAAGTTGATCGAGGAGTGCCTGGAACTTGAACCCATGTCAATAAGTCTTATCATCATATCACCAGTCATTTTTGGCATGAACACTCTTGAACGCCATTGAAGTTGAACATAGTATCTGTCAAAGTTGAAATTCTAGAAAGACTGAGAGCATCTCTAGGCCGAAACGAATGTTAAAAAGTCGCATACTACATATAGTGACTAGGCCAGGAACTCCTTTAACGTTTACTTGGAGATGATATGGAAAGCCGCCCTCTTTGTTGAATGATTGTTTGATGATTACTGAGGCACAGGGACAGATGAGGCTGAGACATAAGTTTGTTTGAGGAATTCACACGGCAGAGGTGAGAGGTTTGTCCAATTCGATGTCAAAAATTGATCCGCTCTTCGACAGATTCACCTATGAGAAAACAGTCAGCGGGAAGCTCACATTTGTCTTGGACATATGTCGGGAGGATGACAATCTCTAAAAGGTCCTTCAAGGCCGAGTTTTGCGTGAGCATTTGATCGACAGGGGGCGGGATATTCGAGTATGCAATTTCGGGTTCTGTGGGTTCATCTACACAGCACACTGATCCTGAAGATGAATTTGATGGAGACGTAGAGTCTGAGGGACTTCCTATTAAAGGCCAAAACTTCGATCTGTATCCAACAACGTTGAGATGTTCCGGCTCTGTCTAAGTTTCAGCATCGACCTTTTCACTAGAAGAGACAAATTCAGGTTAGAGCTTGAAGTAGTGGTCGAGTAAGGCGCCAAGGTTACTACATTCGGAATGGGGGTAAAGACATTGGTCAAAAAGGAGGGGTTCGAAAGAGAGATTTGTGGCTTGAAATGAGTCGGTATCATCATCTGGCATAAAAGGACGAGCACTCATCAAAGAAAGTCGGTTTTGAGCAGAAGAAAACCGGTCTTGAAGAACGCGTCCATGCGTTTTCGGAACAGAAATATGCTAATGCCCAATCGTAAAGTTATCCCCAGAGGAGGAATATGCACCGATAAGAAAGGTTCATAAATAATCAACACGATCTTTACCCGGGATTTAAAAAGCTGAGCAAGGTACTGGGGGGATGATATGAGATATCCGTATCAGCAGCGAGAAGGAGCATTTGAGTCATTCGAGCGAGAAAAAGAAAGCGATCGTGGTCAAAGTACAAATTGTGTTATACTTGGACCAGATGAAGACCAAATATATTTGATAATTGACCAGGCATAGACTACACACGGTGAAGACAAAGCGGCGACTGAGGTTTTCGAGAGTTCGTACCGGGATAAAGTATACGGATTATAAATGAAGATGGCGAGGAGTAAAGAAAGAGGCTCGTGATGAACGACCTCTGGTCCACGAAGAAAAAATCATAAGGCGCTTCAGTGTCCTATTTTAAAACTCCGATTCGATTCCAACTTTTCGGCCCGAGTCAACTTCAGTTCGATTTGTTGGCTTTATGATTCATCCTCCGAACAACAATATTTACTACTAGTCTCGCAGACTGCGGTTCAAAAAGTAGGAAAAAAAATCTACAAGCTCTTCGACCTAGTATAATTTCAAAAGCTTCTTCAAGTTCAACATAAACGCCCCCAACTTCAATGGATAAAATCAACCTTCAAGGTCATTCTGTCAAGAAAAGTGAAAACACCGGGAATACTACGATGATCAAAGTACGCTACCTCTCACTGGAACAACGGATTCATCAAAGCCAATGAACGTTGATGGGTGTTCAACCACTTTGTGTATGCGCTGAGCAGGTTGTGGGGTCTTCCGGGAAAACAGTCTCCTTTGAGATGAGTAAGGATACACTGATGCGTAGCGCTCTGGATGCATATGCCAAAAAAGTTGGAAAAGAATGTCATACTATTCGGTGAGTTGATGACACGCGGGGCCGTCTCTCTCCTCCTTTGACACCTCGTCGACATTGACATTAATATTTACTTTTTTCTGTGTGCGTCAACCACGCGCTTTGATTTCTTGTAGATTCCGTTGGGCAGGTGTATGGATATCAAACTCGGATACTCCGGGGACTTTGAATATGGAAGACAGCGGTACGTGTTCAAACTATTAATTTTGAGCTATTTCTCTTTTGTTCTTACCTCTTCCTCGCTTCAGAGATTGTCAATGCCATAAATCGATGTATGTTACATCAGCAATTGTGTCTATTCGATTGAATTTATCGCACACCGCACACCTTCCCTCAATGCAGATGTTAAAAAGCCCTCCCAATCCGAATCATCATCTAACTACACTACTACTCCTTCAATGGACTCATCCCGGTCTCGCGACCCTTCTCTAAGTTTATCAGACCTCGAACGCGAAGAGGAGAAAGAGAAACAAGTGGCTGAAGAACAAAAGAAGGCATTTGAAGCGCGAATGAATAATCTGAAGAAGAAGAAGGAGAGGGCAGAGGAGAAAGAAAAGCTGGGCAAAGAAGCAGAAGAAAAGGTGAAGGCTCGAAAATTGACGGAGGAAAAGGCACGAAAACGGGCGGAAGAGAAGGCTCGCAAAGAGGCAGAAGAGAAAGCACAGAAAAAAGCTGAAGATAAGGCTCGAAAATTGGCAGAAGATAAGGCTCGTAAACAGGCTGAAAATAAGGCTCGCAAAGAGAAAGCTCAAGAACTGGCAGCGGAACAGGCCCAGAGGGAGGAAGAAGATAAGGCTCAAAAATGCGCAGCGGAGCAGGCTCAAAGGGAGGCCAAACTTGAAGAGTCGAAGCGCCGAATAGCAGAGGATTGGAAGAGAGTACAGCTGGAGAAACGACTCCAAAGGGAGGATGGAAAAGTAAAACAACAAGATGTGAAAAGCAAGGGGGATGAACTTGCTCGGGACAAGCAACGCGGGAGGCAAGCTTCGTCGATCTGGGGTACCTTGGTAAGCTGTTTGTTTTGTCTATTGAAACCTATCAATATCCCAGAGAGAGATAGTCTCCCATAGCACAATCGATTCACTCTCCCTGATAAAACCCTAAATGGCCTGTATGAGATAAACACAATTATCCTGGTTGAGTGAGCTCAGTGCGGACTGCTGCAGCGACATATCCTTTCGAGGGAAACTTCAATTTTGTCTCCGCAGTGTCATTAGTACAGTCAATGACTGATGCTTCTCATAGTATATTAGGGCCACGGAGGACGATCAGTCTCCGAGTCCTCCAGAGATTGTGGGGGTAAAGAGGAAAAGGTCAGAGTCTTCAGTAAACGTGAGTACTACCTTGATCCAGTCTATTATTCTCTGACTCCCTATAGAGCACTGTCAAAGACACGGAATCGGATAACTATGATGAACTCGTAGACGAAGACAACAACCCCGGACCACACTCGCCAGTGGCTCGGGTTTGCGAACGATGTGCTCGGCGAAACCGCGCTGATCAATGTCATCCTCAAAACAAACCGAATGCCTCTATCTGTGAGCCCTGTCACCAGGCAAAAGTGTACTATTCGTGGTCTACGCGCACAAGACGGATGAATAAAGACAGGTCAAAAGAAAGCGGAGTCAAAGGCAGCTTTGTGATCAATACAGAGCAGCGTTTGACGCTTATAGAAGTTCTTCTTGAGAGTCTGTAGTGGATGTAGTGGATGAAACAGCTCATCGTTGGGTGACGACAAGCTCGGATTCGGCAATGACTGGAATATCAACTAAACAATCACTTCCACCGAAAACAATGGTAGGTTAGGTTCCAAGTTGAGACGAGGTGGTTGAGGAGATACATTCAGTCGACTTGACTGGTGAAGAGGTCGTGTCGGAGGGCTTCGAAGCAAATTATCCAAAGTTTGATGAGCGTATAACCACCATTGAAATTCGACATCGAAAATACATTCGCTCTTCGTCAGATACCACTACGAGGAAATTCAGTCAGCGGGAACGTTGAGGTCGAAGATGAAGTTCAGGACACTAACATTTATCCTGGATACATGTCGTGAGGGATGAAGATCTCCAAGAGGTCCATCAAGGCCGAGTTTAGATAGGTGCTACGGGAGGTGTGATTCATATCTTCCTCCTCTCAATGGCCAACGCTTGAGTCTGTATTCGACAGCGTAAAAATCCTCTGGCTTTATTTAATATTCAGCATCGACTTTGTCGCTAGAGGAATCCAACTCGGGCGAGTTGGAGCTTCAAGTATGTTGTGGTCGAACAATGGCCAGAGCTATCGTATTCGGAGTGGACAGAATGATCGCAATCAGAGTGGAAAGATTAGTCGTGGAGCAGAAACGATGGGTCTTCAAAGGAGAGATCCGTGGCCTATAACCGGGCGGCGTCATCATCTAGCGTGATATAATGAGCTTTCGTTAAGGGAAGTCTCAACTTGAGGTATATGGAAACAGAAAAAACGCGTCCGTAAGTTTTTCGGGATCCAAACGGATGATTGTGAAGTGATCCCCAGAGGAGGATAAGACATCCATAAGGAAGGTTCATAAATAATCGACACAATCCTTGGCTCGGGATTTGACAAGTTGAGAATAATGTACGAGTGTTACGAGATATCCGTATCATCAGTGAGAGTCATTAATGTGTTTGCAGTCGAAGTAGAAAGGGTAACAAGGCTTGAATCGGATTTAGACCGGCGGCACTTCGTTATTGACCAACCCCGAACTATACGCTGAGGAAAAAGCAGCGACTAAGCCTTGACACTGAATCAAGACGTACATTCGACGGTATAGCCATTACCGTGCGACGCTATCATCGGCTTCACAGACGCTTAGGCAGGCGTTTCGATAGCGATGGTGGCGGGATGCTTCGATTGGATAGCATTGGTTATGTACAAGCGTGAAGAGCGAGTCAAATCGTTTCGGGACCGGGATGAAGTGATGAAGTGGCAGTCAAAAATGTGAATAAGGTAGTGGCCAAGATAGTACATAGATTCGTACATGGATGAGAATAATGACAATGATAACAACGAGGAGAAAGCAGACGGCTTAAAGTAGCAGGGAGGATCATGAGACTCATTATGAGAAGTATCCTCCGACCTCTGTTAAAAGGCAGTGAACATTAGTCGATAACGAAGGTGGAAAAAAATCATGAGACGTACGTTCAACCATGACATCGATAGTGTCTAGAGGAGAGAAAGGTATATAAGAACCATGGTTACACCGCAAGAACGCTTCGGGTCACACACCGTTGTCTTCCATCTCCAATGATTCAGGTGTATCACTGTCGTTTATCCGGGCCCCATCGTACAGGAATCTACGGTTCGAATAAGATATAGTCAGCATTGCGGCATCCGGGGAATAGAAAGAAGATGGTATGGAGGATAACAAAAAAATATAAATAACATCAACGTTCCACTCACCGAATAGTATGAGGCTCTTTCCCGACTTTAGTAGCATAAGCAACTAAAAGCTTCCGCAACGGCGTGACCCGCTTTATCTTGAAGAAGACCTCCTCCCCTGACGAGCTCACGACCTGTTGCCAGCGCATTTCCCAAACGTCAATCTTAGAAATGAAAGACAAACAAAAACGGCGTACTTTAACGTTTATCGGCGCGTTATCACCAGTCTTAACATCCTCCTGAGTAGGTGGTGCTTGTTGATCTTCTTCAGACATTCTTTATCAAGCTCTCGTTCGTTAAAAGTTGTGAAAGAAAAGTCAAAAACAAAAAAGGCGACGATAGAAGGAACGAGACTATTAGGCGCTTATGTAAGATGCCTTCATGATTGGTCCGTGCGCGTGCGTTACGCTTCACACCACAACGTTAACTGCAAGAACCAATGACATTTCCAAGTTTCTGCATAAAATTGCCATTTGGCGTTGCCCTCAGGCTTTAAAGATTTAGCATATTTACTCACTGGTACCATTTCATACATTGAGACAGTGGCTCATAACATCGAGAGAGACAGCCCATTAGCGGAAGATTTGATCAGTGATTACGGACTCGTCATTTTCATCATGCATGATTTATGCTCCCTCAAGAAGAAGATTTGAAGAACAAAATAGCAGCTTACCAAGGTACCCCAGATCGACGAAGCTTGTCTCCCGCGTTCCAAATCCTGAGCCTCGTTCTTCTTTCTCTCGTCATCCTGCTGTTTTTCTGTTTCCTCTTCCTCAAGGAGTTGTTCCTCTACTCTCTTCCGCTCCTCCAACATGCAACGCTTAGACTTTTTAACTTCCCTTTGAGCCTCCTCCACTGCGGGTTTTCGAGCTTTCTCTTCTTTTTCCCTCTGAGCCTGCTTTGCTGCCACTGTGCGAGCTTTTTCTTGGGCCAGTTTGCGAGCCCTTCCCTCTGCCTCTTTTTGTTCTTCAGCTGCTCGTTTCTCTTTCTCCTCTTCACGTTTGAGGTTCAATGAACTCGGAGAATGGTTACGAGATCGTGGTGAGTCCATTGAGGGAGTAGTAGTAGAGTTAGGCGATGACTCGCATTGAGAAGGCTTTTCAACATCTGATTGAGGGAAGAAGGTCGGTCTACAATGATTTCAATCAAATGAACACAATTGTTGATCCAACATACATTGATTTATGGCATTGATAATCTCTGAGGCAAGGAAGAAGTAAGAACAAAAGAGAAATAGCCTGAAATTAATAGTCCGAAAGTCGTACCGTTGTCCTTCATATTCAAGGTCCCCGGAGTATCTGTGTTTGATATCCATACACCTGCCTAACGGAATCTACAAAACAGCAATGCAAATGATCGATGCATACAGTTAAAAAGCAGGCATCAAAGGAAGAGGTAAATGGCCCCGCATGAAATGTCATGGAATACCAGTACACCACTCACCGAATAGTATGACGTTCTTGCCCGGTTTCTTTGGCATACGCATCTAGAACGCGACTCATTGGTGTATGCTTATTTATCTTGAACGAGACTATTCCTCCAGAAGACCCCACAACCTGGCTCAGCACACACACACAAAGCAGTCAAACATGAAACACCCATCGTGAACCTTCATTGAATTTGATGAATCCATTCTGCGAAAGATAGCGTGCGTACTTTGATCATCGTAATATTCCCGGTTTCAACCCCTTCCTTGATGATGGAGTCTTGAAGCTTTTTTTGAGCAGCTTGGAAGTTGACGTTGTCCATAATATTGAACTTGAAGATGATTCAAATGAACCGCTGCAGTTATAGGAAATGCTTTATTTTCTTTAAAAAGCTTGAAACGCAACCTGAGAAGCTCAATTACGAGGCAAGATACGGTTTGGGAAGGAAATGAGTCAAGTTCAAAACTCGGGAGGGAAGGTCGGAGTCGAATCGGAGTTATAAACTGGAAGGCAGAATGACGGCTCCTCCCGGGCTCAGCATCGAACCCGGAATCGGTACTACAACCTTTTCAAACATAGGGCCCTAGGGTCCCCCCAATGTTTTGCTTCTGTTCTTGTTACTTCTACGTTGACAATGGGGGACAACGGTACGTGGTTCGAAACGTCGTAGCAATAGAATCGCGGTTCTCATATACCTTTTCTGCAGACACCATCGGTGTTATGCATGAGTGTCATGATTCTCTCTCTCCACTCAAGACATCTCATCGTTGTCTGTTTCTACAATCTAGTATGTACTATTATCTTGACTTCCTCATCCTCCCTCTCGATTTAATGTCAAGGCTTAGTCACCGCTTTGTCCTCAGCCGCGTAGTCCATGCATGGTCGATTACCAAATCAGTGGGTCTAAATCTGGTCCAAGCTTCAATGACAAGTATTCGGTTCTTACTTTGACCACCAATGCTTTGTCCCGCTCGAATGACTCAAATAATTCTTCTCGCTGCTGATACCGATACCCCCTACCACCCCCCGCAATGCACCAATACCTCGCTCAACTTCTCAAATCCCGAGTAAAGATCGCGTCAATTATCTATCAACCTTTCTTTTGGGCGTATAATCCTCCTCTGGGGATAACCTTACGATCAGGCGTTGGAACGTCTCTGATTCTAAAGACGCACGGACGCGTTTTTCGAGACCGGTTCTCGTCCGCTTCCATATCCTCTAAAACGTGTCTTCTCAGACCTCGGTCTATCATGTCGGATGACAATATAGTTTTGCTACAGGCCATCGATCTCTCCTTCGAACCCTTCCTTCTCGACCAATGTCTTTACTCGCCTTCCGAATGTGATAATTTTGGCGCCTTGTTCGACCACTACTTCAAGCTCCAACCCGAGTTGGTTTCCTCCGGCTCTTCACCTCAGTGTTCACCCCAGAGAGTCGATGCCGAGACCCAGACAGAGCCGGAAGATTTTCACGCTGTAGAACACAGACGGAAGCTTTGGCCGTTGATAAGGACTCCGACTTCAAATTGCGGTGCTTCTCCTTCGACTTCATCTCCAGGATCAGTGTGCTCTAAAGATGAATACATAGAATGCGAGATTGCATCTACGAACATCCCACCTCCTGTGGATCGTACACCTATCCAAAATTCTGCCTTGACGGACCTTTTGGAAATCGTCATACTCCCGACATACACAGAGGATAAATGTTTGTCTCCTTCAATATCTCTTCCGCCTAAACGTTCCCGCTGACTGTATATTTTTTCGTAGTCGAATCTGACGAAGGCCGGATCGATTTTCGAAGTCGAATCGGACAAATCTTAGAAGATTACAAACCTCTCACTTCCGCTGTGTTCCTTGCCCTCTTCTATATGGAGAGGCTAAAATACAAGATAGACGGCATCCACTCGTTCTACTGGTGGTTCATTCTCTGCCTTCTATATGCTCATCAGACTTTGGACGATTTTATTTCCATTACCATATGGCAAATGTGAGTGTCCTCTTCACCTGGATCTATGACTTGTTCCATTCATACTATATCCAGCTCGGAATTCATGAACGTCGACCCGAGCTTCGCCGCACGGCGTCAGAGGAACGGGTACAAGGCGCTGCAATACGATCTCTACATTAGTCAAGTCGATTGGGTGTATCTCCTAAACCACCTCCGTCTCAACTTGGAACCAAACCTACCTTTGACTTCGGCGGACGCGATTTTACAACTGATATTCCAGTCTTTACCAAATCCGAGTTTTTCGTCCACGGATGAGCTTCGTCATCCACTACAAGCTCTAGAGAAGGCTTTGGAGGAGGATAGGGAGACTGTTCAAAGGATACAAGAGAGTTTGTTGTGATAGTGGTGACAAAATTTTTATTTGAGCAAAACGTTGAATAATATATCGGGGAATTTCATGGTTATTTGTTTATATGAAGGTATGAATCGCAGTTGTGCGTCCAGGTCCGGGGAATGGCCGAGGTGTAAAATAAGCAAGCTTCGCTATACATATTCCATACTCCTCGAGGTTCAGAGCGTTCTTGATGATTCAGGTCTGGACTCCGGACCGCGGTGCACATCGTAAACCTAGACATGGACCCGAGTTCACCACCTGACTAGAAAGTCGAGTATAAGTTGAAGTTGTGCTCAGATTTCGTGTTAGATCTTCCCCCCTTTTGTCACCGGATTTGGAATGTCCCGAGCACAACATGATAACGAAGACCAGAATGCAGCTCTTATTCCTGTTCAGCTCAAAGCAGGTACTGATTCTCAGGATTTTACTATTAACATGATCCTGCCTGTTGAGTGTATGAATACTCAGCAAGCTACGCACATTCCATCACATTGCAGCACAAATCCCATGAAACAAGAGGATAATATAGATCTTATAAAGCAGCAGCCAGCTCCCGTCACTTCAGCGCATAAGGATAATAATGGTTTGGATTCCCCAGTTGTTGAACACCATCAAACTTCTGGGGATGCTAAATTCTCCCATGTCGAACTGGTAAATCCCATTTCCCCACATGTTTCATATTCTCCCAACACAAGCAATATGGAACAAGACAATACAAATCTGCCAGTGCAGAAGCAGGGTTCAAGTTCAGCAAAAGTTAAGGAAGAGGATACTCAACCTCCGCTTGGTATGCCTCATTACCGCTCTCCATATTCAGGTAAGATATTTAATGAATGAATATGTGAAGAGAGGCTGAGAGCAATTGACTCTCAAGCAGGCGGGAGGTTGTTTGATTACGAGGAAAGATATGCACCAGATCCTCTTGGGGAAGAGATGAGGGAGAATGCCCGCGTGTTTAAGGTGTATTTGGATGAAGCAAACGACTTTGATGATGATATGTTGAGAGGATTTAGGGAAACAATTGATTCATTGCTGGTATTTGTGAGTGACTTTCATTTATAGTGAATCGTACTAACTCTAAGCAGGCAGCACTTTTCTCTGGAGTTATAACATCCTTTATTATTGCAACCATAACTAACCTCCAACCTGATTATTCACAAATCACAGCAATTTTGTTAATTGAACAGGTTCAACTCCTCAGGGCTGCTGGAAATTCCACTACTATCAGTACCATTCCTCAATCCTCTGTGGATCTACAGAATGTCTCAGTGGATATGAATGATCTTTGGGTTAATGGCCTCTTTCTTGCAAGTTTGTCTCTAGCCCTGGTTACTGCATTCTTGTCAGTTTTAGTCAAGCAGTGGCTGCAAGCTTATACTTCCATATCAGCTGGAAATGCCAAACAAAGGGCTATAATTCGACAATTTAGATATGCTGGGATTGTAAAATGGAAAGTCCCAGAAATTGTGGGAATCCTTCCCCTCATCCTTCACACATCTTTGGCCCTATTCCTGATAGGATTGTCATTGTACATTTCAGTCCTTCACAGCTCCCTTTCCTGGGTTGTTTGTACTGTCACAAGTCTTGCATTCACATGCTATTTTAGCAGTGTCCTTTTACCGCAAGTGTGGCTTGAGTGTCCATACAGGATACCATTGCTATTTGTGTCAGCACAATATATAATATATCCCTTCAATATCTTGGTATGGTCATTCAGATGGATTGCAGCCAAGTTTCACACTCAAACTGAGGATTTCAGAGAGAATAATAGCTACCCATCATTCACCCAATCTTCATTGAGGAATGCTGAACTTCAGTATTTGGAAGATAATGACAGAAAGCAGTTAATTTTGGCAGATATTTTAATTTGGCTCCTTTCATTAGAGTCAAATCAATCCATTCAAAAGATTGTTGCCCAGCCTGTTTCTTCAGTTTTGATGCATTTACCTTGGACAAATCCAACTAAGATATATTACACAAAGCTCAAAAATCATGCAACTCAAGTTGCCAGAGCTTTATGGGATACATTGTCAAAGTTTGAAGAATCCAAGTTCCGTAGCTCCGGACTTTTGTTTGATTGGCCCTTCATTGAATTAGGTCAGAGGGGGTCAGGTGAAGTGGGAGAATTATTTTTTGAAGGTACAAAAGCTTATTGGGACAATATTGTTTCCAATAATGAACCATCAATAATTTCAAAATATTTCAAATACTCAGATATCAATTTAGAATGGCTTGGGATAAATGATGGGTGGAAAAATGCTTCACTCTTAAAGGCTGTGATAAATGATCACTTTGCAATGACAAAGGTTCTTGTGGAGAATGGCGCAGATGTCAATGCTCAAGGAGGAGATTTTGGCAGTGTACTGCAGGCAGCAACAAACAAGGGAAATCTGGACATAGTCAGATTCCTCATAGAGAGAGATGCAAATGTCAATGCACAGGGCGGGTTTTTTGGGAATGCACTCCAGGCACCAGCAAGGTATGGGAATTTGGATATTGTCAAGTATCTTGTGGAGAATGATGCAGATATTAATGCAGAGGGAGGGGCATATGGGAATGCACTGCAGGCAGCAGCATTTGGAACAAATTTCAGTATTGTCAAGTTCCTTGTAGAGAAAGGTGCAGATGTCAATGCTCAGGGAGGAGCTTATAGGAATGCACTCCATGCTGCAGCCTTTGCAGGAAGTTTAGATATTGTGAAATATTTAGTTGAGCATGGTGCTGATGTCAAGGCTCAAGGGTTATTTGGGACTGCATTGCAAGCTGCAGAACAACAGAAATGGTCCAGTATTGCTGATTTTCTAACAACATATGCAAAGAATGCACCATAAATGAACATTCTACTGGGGAACAGATGTGAAATATTTGAGCAGGAAGGAGGAGCCTAGATTATGTTTGATCAAGAAATTCAGAGGACACTTGTGGAAATGTGGTTAGGCCCTTATTTGAGTAGGCCTCTGATTGGTAGTTTATATGTCATGGTAAATTGTGTGAGTGTAAGTATATTAACCATCTATTCTGTTTTTGTATGCTTGAATCTGGTCAGAGAGGAAGTGAATCAAACATCATCCATCCAGTGCATCTTGTGGGTGCATTCTGTCATGAAGTACATAGCCCCTATCATTTTCCTTTTCTCACTGTCTCGACACCTTTACTTGTATGATACATCATCCCATCACTATCACGTTCCATCACTGTCAATCCCCCATCAATTACTGATCCACCTGACCCACCTTCTCCTTCTACTGGCTTCCACCACCTTGCTTGCCCCTGAACTGTATGATATTACATTTCCTCGCAGACTAGATTATGTATATATAGCCAGCCCCTCACAGCCTGGTCCCTTATCTTGACCTCTCTGTCATTATCTTGGGACCAGGTATGTGTCATGCCCTGGCACTAACCTACAGTGCCCCCAAAACCTCCCTCTTGACTCCAACAATGCCTCCCCGGAACTCCTTCTCTCTACAGAGTCCCACAATGTTAAAACCTCCCCGACCTCCTCCATCCTACAACACCAATGATGCCACTCAGCCAACAAACAACCATCTGACAGCCCCAAAAACCCATACACGCATCCATCATTCCGTCCTCATGTACTTTAGACCATCCCCATTAAGTGCCCGCTTCATACAATGCTTCCTTGTCTTCTTCAGCTTACTTATATAAAGACCCTCATAGCATAAACATTGGTAGCTTGGTATATTTTGAACACACACCCTTTACATGGGTCCAGTCCCAGTCCCTTTGTACCTGCTACCTATATGGAACTTCCTTTACTCTCTGTTTCTTTATCTCAGTCTCTCTACTTCTGTCTCTCATCTCAACAATTGCCTAAGCAATCCAATATACACTTTTACCTCATGTTTAAGCATCCCAAGTGAGTTCCCAACCTCCCTCGACTAATCCTAAAGCTCCCCAACAATGTCCATCATTTTGGTGAGCCAACCTCCTCAACATCTCATTAAGCTCCCTACTTGTTCTACAAGTTTTGGGACCTCAATTTAGGTAACATCGACGCTTCCTACAACATTCCCTCGCATATTGCTTCTCCGCTACCACCTCCATCATTAGGGAACACCAACCAATATCAACCCCTGTCCCGGGACCTCCTTCACGGGCCTCCACTTCTATCTAGGAGTTCCTACTCCTACAGCCTACACCTCTTACAAGCCCATAAGGCTCTATGTTGACCTTCTCAGCTTCCAGGACTAATGAATAGCTCTCACAATGTCCTAGCCATCAAGGTCATTAACATACTTCAATTACTGTCCTAGGGACCTCCCTGGACCTCTCAGGAACCTCCCCAAGGGTCACCACTTACACTTCTGTACTACTACTGTAAGACCTGGGTCAGAATTGGTCTTAGGGGTAGATTAGGTATGAGTGGTTTACATTGTAGTGTGCTAGGAGCAAGCTGGATGTCAAGTCCATGCCTCGGGCCTCCATTCTGCCGCTTGGTATTCCAAAGATCCACCTTTTATTGTAATTTCTCCTTATTGTTCTTTCTCGCTACACATATCCTTTTGTTCTAGTCCCTCCTTATTGTCTTTTACTTTACCCTGCAGGTACTACTTGTATAGCTCCTAGTAGTTAGTCTAGCGCTCTGCACCGATGCGCCGATCCGTAGATATAAATACTGCCTGTATGCTACTGTAGTTCCTCAGTTTAATTATCAACTTAGATCTCCCTTCCCAACTTAGCCCTTCTCTAAGTCTTCAGGCTCAACGCCTTGAAGTACGTTCTACTCTACCTTAGGACTTAGACGTTCTTTGGTTTGCTCCTCGTCACCGGCGACACTGCTGCTCCGACTTGGCTGCTACTTAGCTCCTCCCTTCTATACTCTTGATCTCTGGGGACTAACAGCGTAACGGTGGTGTTGTTAATAACTTCACTACTGTCCCACTTGACCTTCCGCCCTTAGACACCTTGTGTCCTCTGGCACGGTTACACGGTGTACATGATCTTAACACTGGAGCTCAAAGGGAGCTATAGGAACTGCAACTGAGGACAGGAATGACCTAGTGGTAGTACAGAGTGGGAGATGTGACCCTTAAGGGGGTTCATAGAAGGTCCAGGGAGGTCCCTAGGATGATGACCAGTGAGGATTGATGTACCTGGGAGTTAGGAGACATAGGGAGGTTGCATAGTGCAAATTGTAGTAGCTAGGAGCATTAACGTAGGACTGTTACAGCTAGTAGTTGATGTGAGCCTCCGACGTGAGAGCTCCCAATGGAGTGTGAGCCCAGGAAGGAGGTCCCGGGACGAGAGGGGTGGTGGTTGGTATTCCCAAGAGGTAGAGGGTAACAGAGAAGCATATATAGGTGGGTGTGACAGGGAGCTTCAACATTACTTAGATCAAGGTCCCATGACTTGTGGAGCAAGTAGGGAGCTTGAAAAGTCTTGGGGGAGGTTGGCTCACTGAAACAATGGATGTTTGGGGAGCTTTAATATTGGTTGAGGGAGGTTGAGGACTCACTCGGGTTGCTTACATGTGAAGTAAAAGCATATATTGGATTGTGTAGACAATCATAGAAGCAAGAGATAGAGGTAGAGAGACAGAGAGTAGAGAAACTGAGAGTAAAGGAAATGTCATGCCCTGACCGCAACCAGACCAACCCCAGCATCAGCCCACACGTTCTCACATTCCTGACTCTCTTTGCACCTCCCTAAGACATCCCTGAGGTAGTACGCACCTCCCCAAGACAGTACCACCACCCCCTGAAAATGTCCGGACAACCATCCCGACACGCGTACGAAACCCTCCGACACCAGCCCCATTAAGTACCAATCTCAATCGCCTGCCTCTCTCAATTATCTGCCTCATGCTCCCTAGGTTCTGATGTTCCCTTGTTCACTTCCCGTACCTATTTAAGTAGCTCCGCAACGTCCCCAAGCCCCAGCTTGGTATATTTTGTACACACACCCTTTTGCATAGGTCCAGTCCCTGTCCCTTTGTACCTGCTAACCATACGGATTTCTCTTTACACTCTGTTTCTTTATCTCTGTTTCTCTCAACTCTTGTCTCTTGTCTCTACAATTGTCTATACGATCCAATACACGCTTTTACCTCACGTCTAAGCAATCCGAGTGAGTCTCCAAGCTCCCTCAAACAATACTAAAGCTCCCCAACACCTAATGCCTCGGTGAGCTAACCTCCCCAAAACCTCCTTGAGCTCCCCAATTGTTCCACAAGTTCTGGGACCTCAATCTAGGCAACGTTGAAGCTACCCCCTATGTCAAACTACGTGCCGCTTCTCCGTTACTACCTCCAACACTCGAGGACGTCCACCTCTACCCCTAGTTCCCGGGACCTCCACTCCCGGGCGTATACCTTCTCAGGAGCTTATACACTCAATACTCATTCTCTCTACAACCTATTCGATCTTACGTTGATGTTCTAGCGAGTACAACTCCTCCTACACAACGCTACTAGGTTCCGTGACCCTACTTCCTCTACCTACGCCTTAGGGACCTCCCTGGACCTTACAGGAACCCCTTCAAGGGTCACACCTCTCAATCCCAGCCACTACTAGGTCATTCCCGTCCTCGGTCGCGGTTTCCGTAGCTCCCTTCGAGCTCCAGCCTGCTCCTAGCACGCTAACGAGCTTGCCTCGTTTTTGTGTGAAAGAGAAAGGAAGGAATCTAATGGGCACTCCAACCAACCAATCTAATACACAATATGCGAGTTCACTGCTATCAAATTTATTTAATAGCAAGGGGTAGCGTTGGCAAAGGTTCCGCAAAGCTTTGAGAGCTAAGTACGAAGCTTCGATCAATCAATTTGAATCGTTCTAAGGATTCGATGTATTCCTTTGATCAAGGTAGATTCAGCACGATTTGTGCTTTGGTTTGTATTGATTTGGGTATATCAAGAATTGGGGGTTTGAATCAAAGTAAATTAAAACCGAAACACACAGACCCCTACGGAGGGCTAGAACTATGTGCTGGCACAACCACACAGCGTGATTTGCCCTTAAGACCAACGACTGATCCTAAGTTCGAAGAATACCCAACAACTGGATATACTTCTCGCAGTCACAAGGAGCAGAACACAACGTTCCTATACTCACAAGTGCCGGGCCCGAATGGCTGCTAGCGAAGAGGTTTCAGTCTGGCGGGAGTGTGTCTTTCCTTTTTACGGATTAGCACTGCAACGTCGTCCCAAAATCACTTTTTTATTCCAGATACATCGGATCGCTATTTATACATACAGAATATAGAGGCGCATAGTACAATCAATTTAATACAATAAACGTTCGGAACCGCAAGGAAACTTCTACACTCAGTCAGATACCATTTAATTTGAATCTACATGTCCTTATTTGGTCCATATTGGTTCCAAGATTCTAGTATACCTCCAAACATAGGTAGGTACTTCAATATTCATTTAATTTAATTGTTTTTAGAGAATGACTCGAATGGTGTTCAACTGTCATTGCGGTTCAACACTTACTTCGATCGTTTGTCATCTCGTCCGGAGGCAAATCAGCTCTCCTCGATTCTAATCCTATCAATCTGATTCATCTGGATTAAACTAATTGCTTCTCTCTTTCAACAGACACCCATTGTGCCTATACTCTATCAAGGGAGTTACGCATAGTATTCATTTAATTGCATTCTTCAATGTTTTCTACGTCAGGTCTCTTTGACATCCATTTGATATGTCTTCGGAGCCTCGCAGTACTTCGATCGTTCTTCTAGTCATTTTCCTTAACCATGCAACTTGATTGGTCTATTAGACTAAATCGCAGTCTTTTAGATTAATGCCTGATCTTGTTCTAGAAGGAGTATTTGATAATTCCTGAGTTCTAGAAAGTCATTTCGAGTC